GAGTAACCAAAGAAGAAAAAAAATGCTGAAAAATACATTTTGTAGTCGACACACTAGAAAACATACAAAGTAATGTATGCAGGCACTTCACCGTCGAATGTATATGAGTAAAAAAAGATTATTACAACAAATTCAGTCATAACGTTGATGCACAATTATGAGGATATTCGGGTATCTCGTTGCCCAGATTTATCCAGTTTCTAAATGTTGCCAGCGAGCAAGGAAAGACACTTTATTATCTTTCAAACGCTTGGTTTTAATAAAATTATGATTCTCTAGCAGTTATTTATGTTTGTTTTTCACGAAATCGGCGTTATTCCAAAACATTTAAAACATTTTTTACTGAATTATTCTTGCGGCACCCCTAGAGATGTATTGCGACACCCCAGTTGAAAGTCGCATATCTTCGTCAATCAAACCTGTGAACGCAATTTGCATTCTTCATTGTGTAAGATTTTACTCTCACTTGGTGCGTCAAAGACTGCGCCTGTCGATCGCTGACGCAGCGTAACGTCAGAAGAAGACACCTCTCATGCAACTGCCATTACTGATTCACAGCGTGGGAACAATATATGTCCTTTGAACCACCGCTAGAGAAGAGACTTTGGGGAAATGAAAAGTAGCTCAGCGCTTAAAGCCCTTCTGTAATAGTGTGGCCAGGAGGAATTAGACCACCCAGCGTGGTCACTGACAGGTGGCTATCTCATCAACTCAGCTCTCAATTAACATAAGAAAAAAAGGATCATGAGGGCCAAACGGGCATCGCTTAGGCATCGTTTTCTATATAGAGGGAGCAAGTAGCTACAAATACATGTAGTACAATGGGGCTTTAAATGTTGGAGACTATTCATACATCTCTGTTTTCAGCGTATGAAAATGCAGTCCACGTTCTTGAAGGCGATGTCCTGAAATTATCATGTTGTCTCTTGAGAGACATTGATATACGCCCCTCACTCTCGAGACGAAATCAATAAACGTATGAACACCCACTGAAAATAGTTGAAAGTTTTAACACGTGACGGTTATGGATTGGGACATTAAAGTTTTTGTATAACTGTTTGACATTGTCATAAAAGTCGTTAACATAATTATATCAATAAGTATGGACATGAAAGAACACCGTTTAGGAAGTTTAAAGAAAAATACTCACCGTTTGATATTGAAAAGGAGATAACAATTTTAATCTGCATTTATTAGTGTCTACGTCATTTTCTGTGGAAAATAAAGATGCATATTTTAGCTTGGAAGGTTCCTATAATAGGAGAAGCCCCTTTTTATTTGTTTTTATCTTAAGTGTTTCTTGTTCAAGAAGTTTTTCAAGAATCTTGTCTTTATTATGAATCTGTTAAAAAGAAATATCATGATTGAACTGACCACGTAAGTGGTTTCAAACGCTCCTGGAAACGGCGAAGGGAACATACGCAAGCAGTTCACAAACCTTCCAAAATGTCAGTCTGTCTCCTGTAATTATACTCAGACCGTGTTATTATTTGACGCAATGGTATTTACTTTACGACGAACTGTCATTTTTGTTATTATGACAGCCTTCTGGAGTCGCATGGAGAGACAAATCATATCGCGGTTTATTATATTCTCTTTCTTTTTTTCTACTACAAGTGTCTGGCATGTGATCTGTGGTGCTGAGGACAAAATATATCTCCTCTCAAGGGGAAATAAAAGCACACCACTCCGGGGATAGAATTATGGGAAGTCTGTTTAATTAGATCTACGGTAGCTTGGGGATACGTTTAATAATACCATTCCCTCCTCGCCATCGGACGTGATACAATGCACTGGCATAGTACAGCAGATCAGCCAGTCTGACTCCTTATCCAGCGTACAGGTCATTGATACCGCCATTTTTTCAGTCAAACTACTTCGGCCTCGTCTTTCGACGATTTTATGTCGACGAGTAATGTCCGTAAACCCTTGAACAAAGGCTGACCTGGGTGGATATTTTAAAAGCAGGAGGCTCGATTTGAAATTGAAATTTCCTTCGAATAAGAAATAGGTAGCCCCATAAGTGGAGAAGTAAAGATTTTCAGTATTTTTAGCTCTCCGCAACTCCAACGACTACCAAGCCTTACATGGCTATATATACTTTCTCGTTTCAGAGCTAGAAATTAAAGCAGACAATTTTTAACACGCCGGTCTGTAGGGAATTACTCGGCGCGAAAACAATTTCCACAATAAAGAATGATGGGATGCTCATTTTCCCTCTCTCGTTCTTTCTCACCCTTTAGTAGTGATTTAAATTATTGGTATTTAATGGGGTGATGTTTGAAGAATCACACTGGAGGGAATTTAAATGTGAAAAATAAGTAAAACGTATATTTGATGGCTAAAATTGGTCATTTGAGAGTCTTTGGAATACACGAGAGAATCAAAAGGGACTTCAGAAGATCAAAATATTTGACTGCTGGAAATAAATCATAAGTTCAATGTCAGATTTCCTGTAAATAATTTGAGCGATGACATTTTATCGATAACACTATTCCCATCGTGACGTATATTTAACAGTTTATCAACCTTTTTCTTCTAAGACATTTTGACATATATAATTGTGTACAGTTCTAATGCAAGAAAGCATTGGATGTATATTAAGAATGTTTTTTTTAACTCATGAATTTGTTGCATGAACTGAAAAGAGGTATAAAAGCAGTACACAATTTGCTCTTACAATCCTGTATATCAAATTATTTGAATGAATACATGAATATGTTAAATTAGCCGCCTGACGAGCGAGAAATTAAATGATCACAAAAGTGGGGTAAAATACATACATACATACATACATATTGGTATTTATTTAGCGCCTTTACATGAACATGCTCAAGGCGCTTTACATTTTAAAATACAAACAAAATATCAAAATCAACGTTGTTGTTGTGTTAATACAGAGCTATGCATTTTGTACGCAACAAATGTAATGCACAAAAAAAAAAAATTATACTCCTCTCATAAATCCCCCAAAAATGAATGTGTCGTTCCGTGTCTGCGTTCTTTTTTAAGTGCATTCAATATACTTTGTTAAAATTAACATCAAATTATGTTTTATTATTAGTATTACTATTATTCCCCACTCTCTCTCTCTCTCTTCCTCTCTCTCTCTCTCTCTCTCTCTCTATATCTCTCTGAAACTCCCTTGCTGTGAAAGAACAACGTGTCTTTTATATTAATCGCATGTCAATTCTTCAATCTGCAGTCCTCTGGATGTAAGACAAATACATAGACATTCGGTATAGCAAGATTGTATAATCCTCAGAAAAAAACTATAATGTAGTTTGAAATTTGAAGCTTGAAGTTATTATTTTTCAATGATCGTTCGCAGAAAGTGTGATAAAATATTAAAAGCATGAAAAACATGAATATCAATTGATTAAATAATCTGAATTCATATATTAATTTATCAAAGGTTAACGGGAATTATCATTCCCATGTTAACTATTTTCATTTTGTGTACACATCCTCAAGGGTTTTGAAATAATTTGATAACCGTGCCGTTACAGTTTCTGTTTTGATCGCTCTTTGTCGCTAGAGCATTGCTCAGCGAACAGCGAAATAAATAAAAAATACTCATGGAGACAGTTGCATAAATTACAACTTCCATACCTACTGATAGACTTTAGATTGTGTGTACTATACATACAAGAGGTAGAGTTGCCTGTTGGGCTACTTTCTTCATTTCGTGAAACAATATCCCTTTTCTCTATTTAAGAAAAGGGAGAAAATATTCCGAATCATTTTGTCTGAGTCGGGTTTTTATTGCAGAATCGATCGTCTTGGAAACGACCTGTATACCAAGCAAACCTCATCTCGCACAATCTACGAGATTAGACCTGTCTCATGAAAGTCTAATCGCTCCAGATTCATGCATGTTACATGCCCCCGATGGGACCCTCCATCATGTCCAGTATTACATTAGGATCAAATGGATGGATCTTAATTCGATTCGATTCCACTGGACTTTAATACTCGAAGGATTATTCTCATTTCCTTGCTACCCAGCATCTTGTTTTTAGCTCTTGTTGACCACCCCCTGTATTATTTTGTTCGACTCCTCTTTTGGTTCACGTTTGTATACACGGCAGGCACGAATCGTATAATGGGGGATTTAAATAGCAATCTAACTTTAGCTTCTATTTTGTACGGACATGCATTGCGTGATTGATTGAAAGCTATATACCGTAACGGAATTTACGTAGCTCATCTAATTACCGCAACGACTTATTATGATCATATACCGTAACTTAACTGCCTGAGAGCCTTAAATAAACGGGTATAAATAGTCATTACTGAATGTTTCATTCTGCATGGCAGTATATTCGTCTTTAGATGACCGAAAGAGTAAAGAGACTTGAATGCATAAAACCAAACACATTTATTCGTGTAATTTCATTTCTAAATCATTATTTATATGCAATGAAGATGTATTCTATTCAGTGTGATTAGTATTTTAGTAATACTTCACTATGATTGATGCATTACATCTAGTTCTGTTTTATTGTGTATTCCTCAGTTGACAACTGCAGAAGAATGCTATACCAGTAAAGAAACATAATTATGTAAAATCCTTTGCATTTGTTTCCCATATATTAAACTAGGCCCAAAGCAAGTACATTTTGTGTAACACAAATGCAAAGACTATTATAACAAATCAAATCAAGGGAAATTTCGATGAACTACTGTATTGCCTATGGAAATAATGTTAAGATGATGTGGTATGTTATTTATTGTAGTGCTTACATATTAAAAAGGCAATTTGAGATGCCATAAAATTGCTCAAGGTTGATTTTTTGTAATAATACTTAATAGTCTTTGCAATCATGTATTGTGTTGTTCAGGAGATTGACATGACTGTCTTGACAATATCAAAATGTCTGAAAATTTCTCATTCAACGATGAGATGAATACCAAAGATTGCATTTTCCTCCTTTTCAGGTATATGTTAATAACCTTTGTTTAAATCCTCTTCTCTCTCTTTTCCTTTCGTCTCCTAGACGATCACGTTTTCGAAAGTCTTCGATCTTCCTGGGTCGACATCGAACGGGCACACGAACCCGACCTTCGCATCGGGGGATATCAAACTAGCAAATGGAATAATTGAACAAGTGGCAATAAGTGGAGAAAGTGTTAATGTCAGTGATGGACAGAATGATCCAAGGTAACAAGACCTTTGTATTTTTTTCGTTGAATGATGTTAAAGATAACGTTGAGCTCTGATTATGTGATTACACTGTAAAACACCTATCTGGAAACAATTTGGAAAGGATTAGTAAAAAGTGTTGGTGTATACCATAAGGTTTTAAGCTGTACAAGACTTGAAAAACGAAAAATCCAATTTTAGGACTATTATTTCCAATAATTTATTTGAACTTTATGACTACGGTGCAGACATAATATAGTATTACTACTAGATCCCATGGAAAACTCATTTTTTATTTTCATTGTGCAATGAGTAAACTTGCAGCCGATTCTATTTCGCATTTATATGGATGTATTCGTAAAAACCTTTGAATTAAAAAAAAAAGATTTTTAGAATGATAGAACACCTTGGTGTTGATGTCGTGTTGATTATGATTCATTACGAGTACTTGGAGAAATAGGGAAAAATCCGATTTCCCAAGAGTACGGGGGTGTTAAAAACACCTTTTCCTTATGAGAGAGGAAAAAAAAAAGTATCATCGATGGAATGACAACATAGTGAAACTATACAGGTACCGGTGGATGATTATAATGCAACAGTGCCTCCTAATGGAGTTATTCCGAATAATTCTGATTACAAATTCTTCGAAAGTTCATTGTTCAAAAATCGAACTCTTTTCACTATTTTCTCAACGTAATATACATGCTGATGATTTTAAATGTAATTGTAGTTTCAATAGACCCATTTGGAAATTCGTATACAATGTATGCCACGGTTCATGAATAATATGCTCATCAGACACAGATAAGCATTGGTTCACCAAGGGGGGGGGGGGGTGGGGGGAGGGGGTTGAATTTGTAAAAAAAAAATAAGAAGGTGACTATATAATAGAGGGCGTTAACTTTCACGATTTAAAAAATGATCGCAGTCACAAACAAAGAGAATGAAAAAAAAAATTCTGTACACCGTAAAAGGTATATGAGCTTAGCAAGAATACATGACATTTTTTTCTCTCGGATTTTACAAGTTATCAACTTATTTATAACCTATTCTTCATATCGAGTTTTTCTGTACCTTTGTAATGACATTGCTATTAATGTTGCTATGATAGTGGAATATTAAAAAGACATTTTCTCCCTTTTTTGACAGGATCGACAAGGAGTTAGACAAGTCGATAGGCTTCCAAACCAATTCACTACTATGCATGCCCATTCGAGATAACAAGTGCCAGACGATAGGTAAGTCATAATGAATTTCTAGATAGACGGCGCTATAGAAATAACTATTATTATTATTATCATCATTATTATATCCTTGTCTGGAATTGTCTTAATATCCGCCTTTCAATCTCCCCTCTCTATTTCTTTTTTTTTTTTTTTTTTTTTGTGCAATCGTTTTTTTTCTTCTATCTTTTACAAAGCTTTGCATCTTGTCTTGTCTTTGGAAGTGTCTTTTTTTTAATAACAATGCCCTTCACTCTTTCAAACGCTCCGACACCCGAGGCAATTTCACAGTTAATTGCAATTTTATCCAAAATCTTATGACCTTTTAACAAACTCCCGCTGTCATTAGGTTCCGTAGTCATTACCCTAGTATTAAAAACCTATTATTAATTGAGAATTCGAGCCTTGTTTCTCAAGTTATTCGCACAATAGCGAGAACTTTCAGGTAATCAATAAGGACAGTTTGAATTGAATTGAATTGACGAGATCTATTGCCGAAAATTGAAAATCTTGAATTTACATATAAAAATGCAACGTATAAAATACTTGCCAATAGTATGATATAAAATAGGTAAATATAAAGTTAAGACATTCAGTAGAGAAATTCATATTAAATGAGTAGAAAGAAGAAAAAGAAGAATAAGGAAGAGAAAAAAAAATATGGAAAATTGAAGGAAAAAAAGAAGGATACATGGTTGATAGTAAAATAAGAATTTACAATTTATATGTTTATAATACCTGTGATGAAATTCAGTATACAAGTACAAATTCAGTAATGAAAACCGTTTCTGACCAGTGTAACAGATTTAGATAACTTTTTGATAAATAAAATAGGCTTTTCAATAAAGCTTTCGAATGATTTATATTTACATAGTATATTGAAACAGGCTGCGGCATTTATGATATATAGATACAGATGCTTCATTTCATTTCATTGAACAAATATTAAAACTTGAGTATTTAGATTGATATGCTATTGAAAAACGTGGTTGATTGTAAGACAGGTTCGGTATTAAATTTAGTTAAAGTAATAGATATTCATTTGCAATTTTCAGATTAAAACAAACAAGTGTATCCGTCAACATGGTCAAAATAAATCAACTAAATAAAATGTCAAAATAAATCAAATCTAACAGCATAATCCGATCATGATTTTATAGGCAATACAATAGAGCATTTAAATTGCCTCAAAGTTGATTACTTGAACGTCTTTACGAGCGTGTTATCATAACTTCGGGTGTGACTGAATGAAAATTATAGAGAAAGGTGTATTCTCAAAATGACCTTCTGAGATATGGTAATGGAGTTTTTCTCACCGGCAGAGCCTATACATTTATCTATATACCTGCCTTCACTGTTCACGTATGAACAGTAATTCATAGGTACAGTATATTGATGAAGTCAAATAACGCTGATTGGTAAAGTACACGAGCCCTTTAGTGGGTACTCACCAATAATTAGTCGAGGCCACTCCAAGATTACGTGTGATTGTTCCCCAGTGGCTTGCCGTCAGCCGCGCTAAGTGCATTCTGGAAGTTAAGAGATCATACCAGTTATCCCGCGCTCGTCTGGTTCACTTTGGGAGAGAGGTGGTGGGAAGATCGAGGATGAGCGAGAGAAAGTGCATGGACGGGAGCGGAGTGGAGAAGAGAGGAAGGGATGGAATGAGAGAAAGAGAAAGATAGAAAGAGAGAGAGAGAGAGAGCGTTAGAGAGAGGGGAAAATATAGAGAATGAGAGAGAGAGAGAGAAAGAGAGAGACAGAGAGAGAGAGAGAGAGAGAGAGAGACAGAAACAGAGACAGACACAGAGAGAGAGAAAGAGAGAGAGAGAGAGACAGAGAGACAGATGGGAGAGAGAAGAGAGACAGGTACCACGTGGGTAGAGGGAGACAGCGACAGAGATAAGTGATGGAGAAAGAGAGAGAGAGAGAGAGAGAGAGAGAGTGATGGTAGGGATGAGACGCATAACGCATTATGGAAATTAGAGGTCAATTCAAAACGTCCCATGTGTAAAGTAAATTAGGTCGAGAACGTTTTATGATGATAATTCAGTTGACTTAGGAATCCCATCGAAATATGTGATAACATCTTGAGATTACATAAAAAAGTATTAGATATTGTGCTATCTGATTTCCAAAGTCCATAACGAGTTCGTTTATTGTAATAGCGTTTTTATATTATTTACCATGTTTTGCGTTGTGCCTTGAAGTTGTCATATTTGTTAAATGTTGATGCTTTTATCTTTGATGTAACAGGTGTCGCCCAGGTTTTGAATAGGACAGACGGTTTCCCATTCGATGAGAATGATGAGCAGCTATTCGAGGTAAGATTTTTCAAAAACTATTATCATAGTACAATGAATGAATGAATGGTGGTGGGTATTTTACCTGACTGCCAAGAAAGCATAAATGCTTGTAAGTAAGCAACCAGACGGCCGACGGCTTTAGGTCCTCTACGAGGGACCTGGTAATGAGGATTAATGCCTTACCAAAGGGCACTGGCGCATCGCGTTAGTTGTCATTAGCAGATTCGTTGTGAGATAAGAGAGAAGAGTGGGGAGGGTGGGGGGGGGGGGGGGGGTCTCACAGGGGGTACCCAACCAAAATGCACGCGTGTATTGAGCATGTGCTGTTCTTCTATCCACCTTCGAAAAAATAATGACTCTGAAAAATATGATAACCTTTTCCTCTTTTTGTAAAAGATTTTGAACACGTACATTAAACAAAGTACAATTAATACTCTCCCTCAAGAACAAACTGCTGGAATTTTACTTTAAACAAGATTCGTGAAACGCAGAGCAAGCTTGGATATGTTTTTTTTCTTTTTCTTGTCTGTATTGTATTGCAGTATGCACTTTAATAAGTGTTATATGACTGTGTTACCATCTTCATAAGACAGCACGGTATAACTCTTTAAAAGACATGCTGAAAGACTACCAGACTTTGTGCGTGGGGTTTGTGTGTAAACTGTCTGCCCTGTATTTATTTAACGTAGCGAGCAATATTTTGAGAACGCACAAACAATTGTTAAAAATTCAGTCATAAATACCAATTATACAAGCAGACGACTGCCCAGTTAGCATTTGTAATACATTTTACGCGCGAAAGTTAATGATCTGAATCGACCTATCGTCCATTATCGTTTGGTCTGTAATTAACGATTGATCGTTGTTCAGTTAGCAACGCTCGAACGTGGTTAGGCTGATGAAATTCGAAGCAGACATAGGCTATAAAGATTGATTAATTCATTGCATAATGTATGCAGGAGAGAGTAGATCAAGGACATCGCATTCCCGATTTCAATATTCGCTGAAATTAAAACATGCAGTGAGCTAACATTATGACTGCCCGATGCATGCATTTCAATTTAATATACTTTCTCCCCCCTCTCTCTCTCCCTCTTCTTTTCTCTGTATCTATGCCCACGTTCTCTCTTTCTCTTTACGCTCTTTCTATCTCCGTTCTCTTTCTCTCTCTCCTTGTCTCTCTATTCGTCTTTATTTTGTGTTCTCTCTCTCTTTCCGTTCTCTCTTCTTTGCCTTCTCCCCCCTTTTTTTCTTCTCTCTCTCTCTCTCTCTCTCTCTCTCTCTCTCTCCTCTCTCTCTCTCTTCACCTCCTTCTCTCTCCCCCTTTCTCTCTCTTTCAACTGTATACTCACTTATATTTAATGGCACCCAATGAATATTATTAGATACACGAGCGTTATTAATTACCACCACTTTGCACCAATACAATTTATTCAATGCTAATCAAATCATAAAATTGAGCCTATTATTATTTATTGACTTCATCAAATATAACTACGGAATTTCTAAATGCCACATTGCTTTTAAGGTTATTTGAGAGATGTTAATAACAATATTTCCAGGGAAAGCAAAATATTTTTGTTAAGGTTTTCATGATAATCGCAGAAATAAACCTCTCCCAAATCCAGTGAAAATGTTACACTGTTGGGGGATATATTCCAATATTCATTTTAAATGAATTTGATAGATCCCTGTTATATAGATAAGTAATAAACAAACAAGAACATCGAAGTTTAGTTTGCCACCATTAAGGCTCTAAAATTTGAAGAAAAGCGAAACTGATTTTGCATTAAATTAAGATATTTAACGCTAAAATAGTGATGCTTTTCAACATACACTACACAATACCATTATACGAGATGACGATGGGCGGTTTTAGGCGAAATAAACGAAAAAATCTTTCATCCCACAAAACGTATTGCTATAATGTCATCTCTTTTCCACCTTCTAGTAGCCCATCCTATCCCTCCTTCTTCTTCACTTAATGTCCACTGGATAATAATGAAATCGAATATGCCTGTTTTTTCTCCATCCCGTATAGCTCGAGAAACCTTTGGCTAATATACTGCAAATGGTTCCTTCAATCAATGTTGGCATTAATAGGGTTGTGGCCGGCAGGTATGCAGAGCACGTATAACAAGGCATGGGTCGTAATGATTTCTCCTCAACTCTTTAAAGAGTGTCTATATGGGGAGGGGGGGGGGTGAACAGTGCCCGTAATTATCGAGCCATTACAATTTGTTCTTGTTCTGCTTTAAGAGTTTATTGATGAGTGAGACGTGAGCTCGGGTTTCTTTTCAAATGGGATTTTCCCTCTCTCGAGCTTGTATATCTTTCATTTTCCCTTCTACTGTTTTTCTGATTCACGTTATTACAATCCTAACAGGAAAATGTTCCCTTATCCTAGTCCTACCAAGGCTGATCACCCACCATCCATTACAATGCTGACAAAAACATGTACTTTATAGGAAGACTGGGGACTCGAGGGAAGGACATACGAGTAAGAGATAGTGTGGAGGAGGGAGGGAGGGAGGGAGGGAGAGAGAGAGAGAGAGAGAGAGAGAGGGGGAGAGAGAGAGAGAGGGAAAGGGAGAGAGGGAGATGGAGAGAGAGGTATATCAGATGATTTTATTATTTCATAGCAAAAGTCGGGCAACATTTATTTATTTAGGATGTCCTCCATAATTATCACGCCCAATGGGATTAAAACTGTATTAATGTAGGAGTTTCCAGTTTGATACCAGGAGCATTTTAAGCACTTTGAAATCGAGAAATCTTGGTTGAATCTATAAATCCATGGATAACCAAATACGATTTTATGTTTGTTACGAATTGCCAACCTCGTCAAGAGAGAGAGAGAGAGAGAGAGAGAGAGAGAGAGACAGACAGACAGAGAGGTATCAGATGATTTTATTATATTATAGCAACGTCTGGCAACATTTATTTATTTATGATTTTCCTCCATAGTTATCACGCACAGGGGGATTAAAACTGTATTAATGTAGGAGTTTGCAGTTTGGTACCGGGAGCATTTTAAGCACTTTGGAATTGCCAACCTCGTCAAGGGGAATATTGTGTTGCCATTAAAATGTTGAAACATCGGGCAGTAATACTATCATCTCATCTCTTTCGAGAAATGCCGATGTGAAAGTTTTATCCTCCACGGAATAGATTTATACATTCATGTTTAAGTGAAGCAAGCTATGCGCTGGAACCAATTTTCTCATGGTTGATAAAATAATGCGTGTTATGTCCGTTTAGTATGGCGATATAAAAATCTGATATTTCACGGAATAGATTTAGAGATTCTGAAGTGGAGCAAAATGGATGTTTGAATGGTTAATGCTATAAAATTGATATTTCTCGGAATAGATTTACAGATTCTGAAATGGAGCAAAATGTATGCTTGCATGCATAATGCTATATATGGTTGCAGAAAAAACGCATTTGACTCTCATTCAGGAATGAGTGATGTACTGCAAAGTGATTTTGAGAAATGGCGGTGGTATGTTGTTTCCCTCGTAGGGAACTATGAAGAGCGAAATGTGATTCTGGAGTATAGCATTAAGCTTTTACAAGCCCAATCTTGGGAGAAATACGATAACGTGCAAAGCTTTTTTTTTCTTCAAGAAACAGAATCGTTCACGCAACATAGAATTAATGTAAATGTCTAGAAATTGTTCTTGAATGTCAATTCATGTTGGGCCTTGCTTTATAGAAAGTTGAGAACTGTAAGAGGAACTGAATTCTTCTTCTCTTGGTAATATTGTAGGATATCTGAGATGGTATCTCGAGGAGTTTTTAATAACATCATCCGTAATGCTTACATCATTTTGAGTAGGATGTATCTTATCTGTCTGCATTTTCATTGTCTCGTCAAGTTGTTCTCTGAGTCCCTTTTGGGCAATTTATTTGATGTAAATGGCTTTTAGTTGTTGAATGGCCACTCCTTTGCTGATTATCACATTATTCACTTAGATTATGGGATGCATCCTCTTAATTTTTCTCTTTCATTTTTCACTTGACCTCTTCGATTTTCCCGTTACCTTGGTAACTCGTTTACCGTCTAATACAAGTGGATGACCCTTATACAGTCCGTAAAAGATGCTATGGTCTAGACAGTGTGGGCGCGCATTGTGTGATAGGAAAACCATCTATTTCATCCAAGACAAATTGCCAAAGAGAGACAGAGGGTATTGAGGGAAGGGCAGCGTCGCGTTGTCGATAAAACTTGACGGGAAGATGAGTGCATAGGAAACTTCTATTATAATCAGCTTTGGAAAAGATATTGCAATGAAGAAAACAGATTCAAATCCATGGTAAAAATGGAGAGACGGAGTGCGAGAAAGAAAAAAAGGGTGAGGGAGAGAGAGAGAGACAGAAAAGGAGAGAGAGAGAGAGACAGAGGGAGAGGGAGAGAGCGGGGGAGCAGACACACAATGAAGAAAGAGACAGATGGCGAAGCAGATAGAGAGATAGAGAAACGTAACAAAAGGTGGAGAGGGGAGAGGACAAAAACTCGCTGTATGTTTATTATGAAGTGGATTTTAAAAGGGAATCCCCATCCCATCTCTAGAAAAGGTTGATAATTGAAATTCTCCGAATTGCTTTATTATTAACGTTTTTTAAATATTTTGTTAAATGATTGTTTAGACGCTACATCGTTACTTAAACGTCAGGTGGATTTAGAAAAGTTTTCTCCTCCAACTCCGTCGTGATTGTTTTTTCGTAAAAGGATCCTTACACAGATCTTCCAGTGACTCCCATGACGCCAAAATGACCTTCGTCTCCCATGTTCATATAAAAACCTCATTCTTCATTCATTTTTCTCAGTATTGAATGAGACAAAATGACCCTATCAAATCGCCAAAGCTCATAAAACGAATGCTTCTGTCTTCATACGTTTTAGAATGAAGTGCGCCGTCTTTTGGCATGATTCCATGACCCAGTTTCTTGTAATTTTTTGGCCCGCGCACGTTTCTGCATGCAGGCATGCATACCCGACATTATTTTAAGCATTATTGAATTTCGTGGAAGTCCCACCGAAAGCAGGTATGATCGCCTCGCCGGCGGTGGATATTAAAGCATGTCAACGCAGTTTATTCTTCTGCCTCAGTCAACATGTCGTCTAGATTTGTCGGCAAGATTACCTTCAGGAATTATTTAGAAGCAATCTAGAGAGGCAACGCAGGCCGGTATATAGAAAAGATCATCCCGACATCAAAATGATAACAAACGTAATTGAACCTCTAGGCTATGCAAAATCTATAATTTGAGGTACATGGCCGTTCGTGTTATAACTACAAGTGATATATTATTGAATGACGAACGAATTGGTTTGAACATTTTAAGTGTGATCATAGTGAGCTTATATATTTCAACATCTCAAGTGGCGCATTGTAGATCGGTATGATGAATCTGTCTTTCAGCATGAAATTGACTGGGCGCGAAAATGACTTTTACTTTCGCGTTTTAGTTTGGATTTTGAAACGTTTAGGCCTCTTTCTTTCTCTCGTTGACAGAAACAGTGTTATCTTTCTTTCTCTCTCTATTATTTTCTTTATCTCTCTTTCTCTCTTTCTTAATCTCTCTCTCTCTCTTTCTCTTTCTTTATCTCTCTCTCTCTCTTTCTCTCTCTCTTTCTTTCTCTATCGTGAAACTTCATTGCAATGACGGTCTCTTATAGAAGATGTAGAAGTTGCGCATGTACGCTCCCTGTCTTCTAACCGACTCTGATTTTATATTGACTAACTGAATCATTGGTTTATAAAGTTTGGTCTTAGGGAGCACGAGCCCCCGTCATCTCAAAGTCCCGGATCCGCCACTATACCTATCTCCTACTCATGTCTTTATCAGCGTCTACAAATCAGTGATAAAATATTTGATACTCGGGATGTTTCTAAAATCATCTACCTTGAAAGAAAACAAAATTATTTTTCCAACCTTCCGAAAGAATCTCATGCCCTGGAGATATCCTCAACTTTCTATTTCTTTCACTTTCACTAAAATAATGTCATCTACCTCTAAAAGCATCAATCCGAATTTGTATACCATCGCCGCAGTTATAAATCATGACTGAACCGCAAAATTATCTGAGCGTTCATGTTATATTCAGCCGCAATATCAATATTCTTTTTGGTGAACCGCAAATTATGTGTTCTCTCTATAAAGCTTGCAAGAATGTAACTAATATTACATCGTGGATATATTTTGAATGAGATTAGCGGTCACAAATGACCAGAAATGACTCTGTTCCAATCAAACATGATTTTTTTTTTATAATTTACCTTCTTGTCAAAATAAGGTATTGGCAAAGAACTGACGCAACTTGCTCATTCTAAAGCATGCTGAACACGATGCATCATTTCCGTTGCGTTGTTACATTCGAAGCTGATGAAAGTCTAGTGATCAAATTAGTGCGTGTAGCATAAATTCAACACAATAATATTGCACTGTTAATTTTGCGTGTATTGTTTGTACCATGTCACATTCCTATCAAAGACCATTTCAATCGCTGACGTAGCCTTGCGTCAGGAGTCCTGCGTCAGGAATTGACGCCTCGTGCGCATGCAACGGAATTAATTTGACACAATCGTGTCCTTCATTTACAGGCATTCACAATATTCTGCGGACTGGGTATCAACAACACCATCATGTTCAACGAGGTGACCAAGGCAATGGCCAAGCAACAGGTTGCATTGGAAGTTCTCTCTTATCACGCATGTACCACCAAGCAAGAGGTCAGAGCTCTAAAGGTAGGTCTAAAACTCAGAACAATAAGTGTAAGGCAATCAGTGCTCTTGTCGTTTGGATTTGTTAAATCAGAAAGTGGAGGCTGGAAAAGTTATAAAACGAGATTGTGATAGAGGTAGAGAGAGACAGACATACAGAAATTGAAAGAGGGGGGGGGGGGGCGTGGGCAAACGATTAAGGGAGAAGAATCGAATAAGAGCCTGTAGTATTTTTACACCTTAACATAGTTAACCGGATTATAAAGCACTTCATCCCCTTCAAGTTGCTGTAATATAATTTGAAAATAGAATTACAATTTTTTTTTTGTGGAAGTCATGACGTGAAAATGATAAATTGGTTTCATCATGTCTTGATGCAATCTTTCTTTACCTTGTTACATAATTATAGTAATCTTTTAATGACTTCATGACTATGGGATTATCTAATTCTCTCCTTTTTTTAACAGGATGCACGTCTTCCAGACATCAAGAAGCTTAAGCTGGTTAGGTTTGATTTCGATGACTTCTCATTAGAAGCAGACGAGATGTTGAAAGCATCCCTCAAGATGTATATCCAGACGGGCTTCCTTGATAAATTCAAGATTAGCCAGGATGTGAGTATACAAAGAAAACTATCCTGTTATTTGGAACACCCCTTCGAATATGCTCGTTGCCTGTTGCGTCATTAGATAGCATTATCGCTTGCGCTAATAAAGCGTATGTAGGACAGAAGTGCATCCGCCAGTAAAGGAATATGAGTATTACAAATATATCCTCTGGATCACCACACCTAATATGCCTGTTGCATGTTGCGTTATTGGATAACATTATTATCTGCGCTAAGCAATCGTTTGTAGGAAAGGAGTGCATGCGTCAGTAAAGGATGTGAGTATAAAGAAACAAAACTATCCTGTGGAACACCCCTCCGAATATGCCCGTTGCATATTGCGCTATTAGATTGCATTATCATATACACATAAACACAGTACTCATGTTGCAGTGCTAAAAGTAAAATGGCTACTGCGGGTACTGCTGATAACTTTGATTTTCTTTGATCTTTTAAACAATCAATGAACAACGAATATGAATACAGTCTATAAAACAAATATATCCTGCCTTCATTCGAGTCTCTGGATTAATATGGTCCCTCGGCGACTGCAATAGTAGTATTGTGGTCACGTATTATTGCAGTCACCTTGCGCCCATATTAACCAGAGCCTCTCAAGACAGTGTGTATTCGTATACTACCTGCGCTAATCAAGCGTATGTAGGAAAGGAGTGCATGCGTCAGTAATTCCAATTCAGTGATTGTATTGTTCATTTTTTTAGTGCGCTGTCACATTCGCATGGTGCGTCAAAGCCCACGCCAGTCGTTGACGCAGTCCTACGTCAGAAAATAACGCCTCGTGTGAGCCGGGGGGAATAGCTCTTATTTTGTTAAAGATCATTGGAATGGAATAGGAATTATTCCATTCTCTTCATGATTTATGTTGTTTATTTGTTGTTAATCAGTGTGAAAATATTAGTAACGTAGTGCTGTTAATCACAATTATTAAATTTCCAATAATTTTTTGCAGTTTGCATCTTTTCAATGAATGTCATTTAAATCTTTAATATACCTGAGATTCAGTTTACTTAAAATCTCAGTTGTTGTTAGAAAGACTAGGTGCAGCTGCTTGCTTTACAAGGGATTGTGATGTTAGTGGTTAAAAACGATCTATAAAATTAGTATGCTTACTTATTCTCAGCAATAGTGCATGCGGTTATCGCATTGATTATATAGAAGAAGTAAAAACACTTTCAAGGAATAACAGGAAATTATTTGGCTAATTTAGTCGATATAAAAAGTATTGTTCATGCTCCATAAGAAGAACATATTCTCTTTTTTCTCTTTCATAATTGATACATAGTGTTCATTAATGTTGACCTCCGCAGAGTTATCTTTTTATTATTATTACTGGAAAATCCCGATAGAAACACGATATTCAATGACGACATTCTACATTACTGAACTGCTGGGCTACGTAATATGCCTGTAGGCATGATGCAACCAGTTGTTTCATATCTAACAGAGACTGCCATTCATTTAATAACCTATCAAATTAAAGTCCTATTTGATTAGCGCTTTATTGAGATTTAATTAGATATGACCCTCAACGGCTGATACTTCCATAATTTGACCTTTCATTTTGGCAGTCATCAATTTCAGTTCAGGCAGTCGCTAATCCACCCTCTCTATCTCTATCTCTATCTCTCTCTCTCTTGCTCACTTACTCTCTGCTTTGTCCCCTATCTCTCTCTCTCTCTCTCTGTGATATATTCCCCCTCTCTCTCTCTCTTATATTTTTTGATCTTCCCATATTTATGTTTTAATGTGCATTCATGAACATTTATCTTTCAAAGAACACCATTCCTGTAAATACACAGACATTATTTATAGTCGTATTCATTTCTCAAATGCCCCGATGACATGATCGACAATACATATATATTATTTTTTATATTTTTAATCATTTTTTATATTTTTAATCATTTTTTATATTTTTAAATCATTTTTTGTGGAAGCTGCTTGGTCTTGATTGTAACTGTTTTAGTTTACTTTCATGTCGACTATTAGTATTATTGGAGTATACACTTATTGAAGTTACTTTTCATGCTGATAATCTTCGATTGCAGGTCTTGAGTCGATGGTTGCTGACAGTACGCAAGAACTACAGGCCTGTTGCCTACCACAACTTTAGACATGCCTTCAATGTTCAGCAAGTCATGTTTGCCATACTACAGGTTAGTGAGTATATCCTTATTACACTCTCTAATCTCAAATTAATTTAGTTAATCAAATTGAAACGTTCTAATTTTTAGCTCTAGGAATAGAGGGTTACGTTTGACTGATCTAAACGGGAGTCATTCATTTCATAAGCCATTTTCACGTCAGTCGTCCACAGTATTGCGAGATATGCAGCTTGAGCGATTGAGCAATGTAAATTGAATGTTATTCTGACATTTACACAGCAATGTTTGAATAGTGCTCAGTGCTCCTCTCTCTCTCTCTCTATTGAATTACCAATTACCCTCGTTTCCGATAATGCCCTAGAAAATATAATCGAGCAATGTCGACTTATGTCACCACATCAAAACAAGTTAATTACAATCTGTGTATTCATCAGTTTGTTGATCTAATTCATCCCTAATGTATAGGTTCAACCAAATCGATGGAGTACTTCTGGTCATAATATGTAGGTCACGAATCGCGATTGAGAAATGAAAGATATATTATCCAACTGAATTCATACAAACCAATTACTATTCGTTATTATTAGCAATACTATACCCTGTGAACAAGCATTAAATAGTATGGTGTTGTACATCTTTTTTCAATTCTACTCTGTGACAAGTACGATTAAAATGTTACTTTCTATCTTAAACCAAAGCAACTATTTTCTATTATTTATTTTCCAGGAATAGAAATGATTATAAAATCTAAATTTACAGCACCCCAGATACGTTTCCACTTTTTCCAAGCATATACTTTTTATGTAAAACTATGAATATGAGTATATAACTTTTATTCGCCTTGGACATGCTGCAGTGCCTGAACTTTGTTGTCTCGTAATAACTTTCAATAAATATGTTATTCTGCATGTGACCTCGATCATCACTGCGCACTACAATCAAACAAAAAAGCTTAAAGATAAAGTTGAGTTCTGGTCATGCGATTGCATTTTGACATAAATTGTGTGGAATCGATCAGAAAAGGTTGATCATCTAGCAAATAAGTATTGGTGTGTACTGCAAGGTTCTGGAATCAACAAAATGATCAGAAATTTGGCCCAGTCTTGGTAAAGTTACAAGCACTGTACACAGAAATATGTATATGGGACTACACGAACATGTGGCGTAAAAATCCGTCCCGATTTTTATCCAGTTACATGCCACATTTAGAATATTAAGGCATTTGAAGAGCCATGCTTGTCAAGGAACATTTTTTTATCTGATGTTCTTCCATACTTGCATAATAACAATGATAACGCTCACAAATTATTTTCCCCTCTTCCCAGAACTCAACTTTCTCTTTAAACTGTCTCTCTTGCAATTAACAGAATACAGGGGTAGCCAAGTACCTGTCGGATATCGAACAGCTAACACTCCTTGTAGGGTGTCTCTGCCATGACCTGGATCACAGAGGAACGAATAATGCCTACCAAGAAAAGTAAGATACTGTCAATTCTTTCAACTTTACATACTAAGAACAAGCGACTCAAATTGAACTACAGTCAACTCAAACCTGTCTATATCCACCACCCAAGTGAAACACAAAAAGTGGTATTTGTAGACAGGATCCTTTAGTTCGTGTTTCAATAAGAACCCATTTTCAAGGGAAACAAAAATGTGCTCTTTGTAGACAGGTGGTCACGTAAGCAGGTTTCACTGTACATGTATAAAAGTTTTCCATAAGCAGCATATTGATGGGCGAGTTGTTGAAGATTTTTATTCGATTGAAATGCATGCTTTTGTCGATGAGTATGAATAATTGAGAGATTTATGTTGCACAATCAATCTTTTAACAGTATGTGTCTGAACGTAAATCCATCGACCCCCTTAGAAATGGATAAATCATAATCTTTTCGATAATGCGCTCCGAATAATGTCTCGGGATTATCCCTCAAAGCACTACATTTTCTCCCGAGAGGAATATTTACATAAATTAACCATTTGTCATAGACATGCTAGAATGTGTTCTTACGGTGATCTTTTCCTGATTCAAAGCAACAGAGGCCTTTATTGTGATCATATTATTTTGCTATTGATCTTCCACGCCGTCTTCCTTTGTGATGCCGAGATGTTTCATGGTTACGGACAGCGTCTTGAGATGAAATTTTGCAATCAACACTGTATAAGATATATTTTGGCGCGCTAATAAACGCATCATGAAATTTAATACCGTATGTACAGCTAAAAACATTTGAAGAAGAAAATTACAACGTATGGAATCGCTCTTTCACAGTGACTAAAATAGAGAAGATACATGTCTCTCTGCGAAGGAAGTTCGCTGACATGTCCTACATTTAGAATCCTTAAGGTTGCCGCCATGCCGTCATCGAATTTCATTGAGGAGAAAGACAGAATAGCTTGAAGTCCTTTTTTTTCTCAAGTTGTTCATGAAGTCTGTTGGAAATGTTAAGGTCACAAGTAAAGCAAGGCCTTTGGTTATACGCGTAAGTTAAGAAGCTCTACAGATCAGATAGCTAAGACAAGCGTATAATGCGTATGTCTTTTCGAAGGACAAATCCTTGTAAGTTAGCTTCGACAGGTACAGGCCTATTATTATCCAGAGCCGTGTTCATACTGTTTTTATTTCGTCTCTTGAGAAAGTCCTTCTAGAGGTCACAATATCGGCATGAAAGGATTTCATGTTTCGGAAAGAATTCGCCCAGGCATCTTTGTATTGATAATCTTTCGAAAGAGGCTTTGTCAATACGATGGGAATGTAAAAATAGCTTGATATTTTTGTCGTATGTCGTATCTCGGTATGAAGCAATTTGCTTTGAGAGATATCACGAGAAAGCCAAGTATAAATCAGAACACTATTCAAGGCAAAAAAGGCACGAAGAAAACATGTAGTGGAGTCGCCGTGATTTCCTATACGAAACTAATTTCCGGGGGAGGGGCATTTTACTTCCTGTTTATTATGTTGGTTATATTCCTTCGATGACATTCTTTTTAATTGATATTATGTTGAGGAATTTTAAATTCTGAATACCTGATAACTTCCTCGTGTAAACTCCTTCTCTAAAAAAAAACTGCTCACACCTAATTCACACACCTGGGCATTTTCATATTACATGCTTAGCCAAATCTTTGTCATAAATCATTATTAACGGTAATGTGTTACTGTGCTTGTCTGCTGATCACATTAAGGTCGCTAACTCTATGTAAAATGATATGAGTCTGCGTCCTTCTGCCTTTCAGCAGATATCAGCAGCTAAAATTAGATTGTCTTTTTGACCCTGAATCTTCACCATCCCTCGCAGTTCTTGGAAGGTATACAAATAAGTAGCACGGAGGAATGGAGGATGGGAAAAAACTCTTCTGCCTCTAGCTGAGTATGTGTAAGCACATAGGACTTTGTCTTGTAAGGGGGTAATGGAATTATGAGTGTTACTTGATTTATTCTATATGCAAGCCCCGGGCTTTTTCCATTTTGGGTTTTGACGGTAATTTCGCCCATGACAGTGAACGCAGCGTGAATTTACGATGAGGGAACGGTAGCTCACCGGCTTAGTGAGTGAACAAGAAAGATATTCACGTTTAGATGAATTTTCATGATGAATGCCGACATGAAATTAGTTTGTGACTAAAAGAAAAAGAATGTTGTAATGACAGAGCATAATAATTCTGAATGTCAGAAAGGGGAAACCGCTGTCTGACGTTACCACACAAAAAAAATACATGCAAATATTTTGATGAAAATTGTTTCCGGTTAAATCGGAAAGAGAAAGAAAAAAGATTCTCCGGGATTTATTTTGTCCATCTTATAAAAATAATATCTCGTTGAAGCTTATCATCATATTATTACTTGTGTTATGCGAACACAAACACGATAAAGTTAGTACCTTTTGTACCGATCTGCTTTATCATCAGTGATAGTCTTATATTACCCCCCCCCCCCACTTGTAGTACGTGTCTGTCAAAAGAGCTGCCTTAATTAGACTGATTTGCATAATTTTGTGATATCCGTCAGAATTATGACAAGACTGAGAGAGGGAATTATAGAAGAAAGAAAAAAATGTGTTGCATGCCATTACCGTCTGGAATCACTTTTATAATAAAGTACAAAACGAATGTGAGATCGAGTAGAGAAAGATGGATAGCGGAAGGCAGAAACTGGGGAGAGATAGATAGAGAGAAAAAAGAGAAAGAAAGAGAGTGAAAGAGAAAGAAAGAGAGAGAGAGAAAGAGAAAGAAAGAAAAAGAGGGAGGTAGGGGATTGGGGTCGTGAGAGAGGGAATTGTCTAGGCCGTACAGGAGCAAAAGAGTGCAACTATATTGTTTAACTTTGGTATACAGGTGCCATTAAAATGAAGAGCAAACTTGCTTTGTCCATTTTGACTGCATTTCTCGTCGAGCGCGAACGTCGATACATATATTTTCCCGCCCATCACGGCACATTAGTTTGCACGGAGGAGTATCCTGAGTAATATGAGTCTCTGTCAACAAGTTGTCTTACCGTCTCGGGTAGAGGACGTTTCTTTCAACCATTAAATATGTTTGCACAGGAAATCGAACACTCTCAAATTGAAGGCAGGAAAGTGAAGGAAGGGGCTATGGCTGTTCGCTGAGAATATTTCGAACCGTTATGTATGGCGTCGGTACTGATTCATCGACAAATGTTGTGCTCCCCCCCCCCCCAGCCCTCCAAAACAAAGTAAAATACCCTTTCATTTGCAACCTGATTTGGTTTGGTGCATAAATTTCAAATACTTGGGTACAAAAAAATAATCAAAATACGAATTAAGAACTGAAAGAAATGCCTGGATAGTTTATATTCAGAGCGTAAAATGGCTCTGTTCTTTCTGGGGATCCACAATACTTAATATCGAAGGGTGTGGTGCCAACCCCATTCTCTAGTGACTACGAGTACCTCGTCTTGTTCTAGACGAGTGCATTGATTTTCTACACCCCTCCTTCCTCATCGTTTCGAATCCCTGATAAATCGGAGTATATATGATAATTATAGTGAGGTGGAACGTACTTCATCCCACAATGAAGAATGAGTGGGGATTATAATTTCTCCGAGGTGCACAGTTCAATAAACTCGTCTGGGAAAAGTCTAATGAAGACCCTGAAACAGACGTTGACTCTTTGGAAGAAGCATTCAAACCAAGAAATTTGCTGTTTCAATCATAATATTTGTTTAAACTCTTTTAAGAGAATATGTTTTAAAATCCTTTCCACATGCATACCTGATTTATACGATATATTACGAAATAAAGAGGATTAATTCTGTTGCCATGGCTATAATAACACGGATCACTCTCATTTTTTACCAATGATAATCCTCAGAATATTGCTCTATCATGTATTCATCATTGTAGGATTATAGGATATAATTATCAGTCAATAAGTGGGTTGATCCATCGAAACTCCCTGAATAATGTATTCACTTTGAAGGAAGTTCCATTAATATTGTCTTTAAAAGAAGAACAAACCTCTTTATTTGCCTGATTCTGTCAATATATTTTTTGTCTATCTGGCTCTGTTCATGTTTTCCAACGATCTAAAAATACATCACCAACATTTGCGGCTTCCATTTTCAACTTCCTTACCATCAAAGTAATATATTCTGTGCTTCCCTGGGGATATTCTTTTTCACGAAAGCACTTGGATGAGAAATGCACAAATCACCTAAAAATATGTTTTTTTAGACAAATGCTATGATGTACAAGGTGGATTGTTTTATCATGAATCCTCGTATATGTTTATTCATCTATTTATTTATTCTGTGTTCTTTATACATGGTAGTCACTTAAGTGCATAAAACCGATTTGCAAGAGAACCTTGTATAAGAGGGCCCTCTCTTATGAATATTTTAATATTTTATTTCGTCGTAGCAATTTTTGTCCTTCCAATTTTATTATTACCATCTTAAAACGGTTTGGATGTTGTAGTAATTGGGTTCGGATATAGAGTTACTCTTGTCGAAAGGGTAATGTTAGTTAAACAAAGAGGAAAAGTACTCGATTTGGGATTTATCGAGAGGATGAAAGTGTTTATTAATTCACAAAGAAAATCCTGCCCGAATTGTATTTTTCTATTACAAAAAATAAGTCCAAGTATCAAGAAATCCTTTATTCATAAGACACTGTATCTCCTTCTACATCAGATTATTCGTCAACAAGTGCACTAATGCAGTTAAACGATTCCATTTGTTAAGAAAGGAGCGGTTTTTGTCCCAATCGCAAAAAATGAGCAAAATGTATCATCTTTAAACCAAAGTGCAGGAATACAAAGCACAACCGGGACTTTTATTATTCGTCGTTCATTTCAGGTGCCTTGGGATCATCCAAATTAAGTCTCACGATTAAGCGTCTCGACAGTAGACCTACCTTTTGTGTTTTTTCCTTCCTATTCAAGATAATTGACCTTACTAATCCACTTCAGTAGGCCTACTCGTCTCGAGCTCAAATTATCCTCTTTTTTTGTGGACGGACGTACCCCTACTCTCAGATTTATCCGTTCTACCCGGCCTCTCAGGTCACGATTAATTATTTAAAGAAATCCCGAGGACCCTGCATTAAGAGGGCAAATCAGACGTCCCCCCCCCCCTTCTTTTAGAATTAACCTGCCAAAACACTTTCGCGCACGGGCCTTCGCTGCAAAGTGTATTGAAAGGGCGAGTCTTATAGAAGGGCGAATGTGTATACGGGCGATACGTGCCCTGGCGTTCGGGATTCGTTCAAAATGAACGGATAGATGAGTGGATCGGATGGAGTCGGATTTCGCGCCGCCTGAGGGGCAGATATTCGGCAGGTAAATGTCACGCGTTGCCGCCTAGTCTACTGGTTTATAGACGTCATTTGAAAGGATTTTAAAGGAGCTTTCACTCGGCTCAATCCGCGTTAGGGACATATCATGAAAATTCCTAGTTTCTGTTGGATTCGATTAACTCGTCCATTGATATTAGTGACGATTCACTTACAAAATATCAATGCATGCTCTTTTTGATTAGCATGATTTTTTAGACACAATAAATTGTTTTATTCATTATGTATTATGAATTAATGTGATTGCAAGCAAACGGTCATATAAGAGGAGCGTAAAACAAGCAACAACAACAAAATAAAAAGACTATTAAAAAAGAATAGAAAGAATTTAAACGCAACGGTCAATCGAGAGTATATTGCGGACGTAAGGCAGAATTTTACATATACATTTTACCCAATGCGTCTTCTCATATTTATATTACCAATAATGCGCTCTCCTAATATTTCCTATTTTCGACTCTCAAAACCTTTCGAGGCGGTTAGACTTCGCTTTAACTCACACTTCCAAAATTGCCTCTCATGGAGAAATCTTTAAAGATTATCAGAGCAACACGAGTTTAGTTCTTCCAGTGGAGAAGGCTCATCAATAGAGTACACTCACCCGTATTCAAGGCACAACTCTGCTAATAATAATAATAATAGTAGGAATGGGACAAATCAAAGTGCCCCTCCCCCCACAAGTCATCTGTATATCGGCGACTATTTTTCAACTTGTGTTGGGAAATAGTATGAGCTTTGTTTGAATATATAGAACACGATCGCTTTTTTCGATTTTTTTTTTCTTCTCTTGAGCGATTTCAATAACCAATAAAATATTGTACAAAAGAACATCCCATAGAATGTGTGGATTACGTAATAACTCTACTCATGTTCTCACACTTCAATAGGCAACGTACAAGGTTATTGAAAATACCATTGGTTGGAGCTAGACATTACAATTCTACGAATAATCACGATTCCTTTGCTTTAACCAGGAAATCACACCCCCCCCCTTTAACTCACACTCCCAAAGTTACCTCTGAAGGAGAATTTTTTAAAGATTTTATCAGAGCAAAACAAGATAAGTCCTTCCACGGTAGAAGCCTCATCGATAGAGTACACTCACCCAAAATACTACCACAGGCACAATTCTGCTACTAAGAGAACAAATAATAGTGACCTCCCCCCCCCCCCCAAAAAAAAGTCATCTGTATACAGGCGACTAGGCCCTATTTTTTCGTTTTGTGTTGGAAAATAGTTTGAGCTTTGAATAGAACACGATCGCTTTCTTCCTGTAAAAATAACCCTTGGACAATTTCAATATCCTATTATAATAATTATGTGCCATACAAAATCACGGGGGCATTCGATTAGTTTTCACGACAAAAACAAGTATGGGAGCTTTGGATCGGCTACGTTCATATCTACATAAGATTATGCGTGGGGGGCATATGCATCTGATACAATGCCATTTCACGTGATATCACTTCATGACGGGGGCGAGGTTTGTAGCAACATTGAATTATTGCAAATATTGATATTATTATATTGGTTTCATCGACGGCTACGTAATATGAATGGATACAATTTTTACACATCACAACTTTACCAGTGACTCTCACACCAGTTTTTTGAAAAATGGCTAATTGCGTTGTTTCAAAGTAGTGACAACGTTTTCATCAGTAGGCCTAAATAACGATTCTTCATTACGTTTGCCGCGTACATCATTGTTAGTATTGTGTTTGATAATAGTTCATCACGACAGTGAGCCCATGGGGTTTATTGTAGCCCAGAGGTTTACAGTAGCTTATAATCATGTCCATGCGGGGGGGGGGGGGGGAGGAAATGGTTTCATTGTCTAAACTATTTACCTCCTAAGACACCAGTACTGACCGTGTAAAACCAAATTCTGTCCGATCTTCCTTGAATAGGGTATAGTAAGGTCGTGGGCTGCTTCTAGCGAAAAGCCTAATGCATAAATACACGTTGTACGAGGCTCTCCTGGGATTGGGTTACTCATTAACTGGAACGCACGAGTGAGAAAAAGAAATACGAGTAGACAAAGTTTCAGGTGAAAATCGATGGATTTCCCTGGACGGGGCGAAAAAATACGGAAACCGGAGTGGCTGTGTATGTTGTTGGCTTGTAGTAAGATGGTTCGATTGACAAGTATTACAGATATAGGGATGCTTACCTTGGATACAATTTACATAATGATGAGAAAACCGAGGAGTTGTGTATGCTGGCTTTGGCTTAGCGAGAAAAACAAATGTTTTTGACGGTGTACAACTGGCACTAAGTTGCCGGTATTTGGTTTGAAAACAAAGCAGAGAGCGAACAAGAGGAATGCAAGCATCTTCAAAGATATCGCGTTGTGCTGTAATCTGATTAAATATCATCTTTACATTTTTCAATTATATTCTGTTTGATCCAAATATGTGATAATGATCTATGAATATTTAACACTGTATTTATACCGTGATTTCTTTTATATGAAAAATTATGATTGAGATAAAAAATATAATGATTTTCCATTTCTTTGCATTTCTTTACATGTCTATAATATTCCCTCTTCAGACTGTCGGTTCATTATTGTTTTATTTGAAATAATACTCTTTTCGACGAAGAGGACGATGAGAAGGATGAAGAAGATGATGATAAAGACGACGGAGATGAAGATGATGATGATAATGATGGTGGTGATGGTGATAACGATCCCATATATTAATCATTCTTATAGTGATGATATTCATGATTCTTATAGTGATGATATTCATGATTCTTATAGTGATGATATTAATAACTCTTATAATAATAATGAAAATAATAATGATATAGTGATGATATTAACAACTTTATAGTGATGATATTAATAATTCTCAATGGTGTTTTCTCTCTTTGTCTCTCGGTAGGTCTCAGTCACCTCTAGCTCAGCTGTATGGTTCTAAGGCTACCATGGAGTATCATCACTTCAACCACGCAGTCATGATTCTTAGTAGCCAGGTAAGTCTCTTTTCTAAGTAACAGTCAACAAACAAGAGAAAAAATATACAAGTATTGCTGTATTTTCTCTCCATGCCCTATAACAGCCTGAAAAACATTTCAAACTTGTTTAGAGCGAAGGTGTCGGCAAAAAACAGAGGCAAATGAGAATATTATGATCCATGGAAACCGAAAGAGATGATGTTAATGTTGGGACGGAGAATGGGATGTTTATGTAGAGTATAGTGAGGCTGATGAGGTGGATAATTAAGGTGATGATGGCAAGGATGAAGGGGATGATGATAAAGATGACGGAGATGAAGATGATGATAATGAGTGTTTTCGATGTTGGTGACGAGGACGATGATGATGATGTTTTTCAGGATTGCGGTGGTTGTGTTGATGGTAGTAATTATAATGGAATACAACTTGGCAATGACAATAATTAGAGTCATTTATCTTTTAACACAATCTTCCATAGTGACTGTCACAGGAAAATACCGACCCATTATAATTTTATCCACATCACATTGGAGATTACCATTACACCGTCAATGGCATTTTTCAAGTAGCTAATAGAGTTTCTTCTCAAGTATAGCAGGCCCGGGGATGGAAATTGAATCCTTTTTAAACCCAAGTGTTCGATTTTCTTTTTTCTTCTTCAGGGTCACAACATCTTCGGGAACTTGTCACCTGAGCAGTATAGCGAGGCAATGAATATCCTCAAGCATTCGATAATCTCGACCGACCTCGCCCTCCACTTCAAGTAAGTCTCTCTCATCTCCTCCACCGCTCAAGGGTCGCCAAATTAAAACAGAAATGCCCGATATTTTCTCTTGTTTCTCTCGGAGCGTTATGTTTCTTTCTTTAAAATCCGTCTGCGTTAGTTTAGCCAGGAGGGATTAAACCTCCCTGCAAGGTCACTGACAGGTGGTTATCTCATCAAATCTGCTCTCAACTTAAGAAGAAGAGAACCATGGGGACTAATGGTTACCGATTAGGCATTGTTTGCTATATAGAGGGCGCAAGTAGCTATAAGTAGTGTAGTTGGGCTTTAAGCCAAGGTTTGTAATATAGTCGCAGCTGCCAACTTTCTTTAAATATTTCATGGGTCAAAATTGCCGAAACAATTGGTGTGATGACAGCTGTATAATACACCAATTCTTTAACTTTCTTTCTTTAACAAAATATCAAATTATCTATGATCTGTAGGACATGAAAAATGATTCTCCATTCTTTTTGTGAACACAAAGTTTGTTTCTTAATTCAGTGGCGCCTACTGTTTGTTTGTACATGGACCCTCGAAGTTCATAACAGTTTTCAGTCAATAAAGAATTATTTTCACATTTCCTGTGTGATTAATTTATTTTCAGAGTTCGGGGCCAATTCTTTGAGATGATAAGGAATCAGACCCATAACTGGAATTCACCACAAAACAAAGAACTACTCAGGTAAGTGTGCAGTGACACAGCGTTGTATACCGCTTGCAAGATCTAAAGGTATTAGGCAAAACAAAACTAATGCACACACAAAAAGCCGATACAAATATTCTACATGCTTGGAAATAATCATATGAATCAAAACGAAGCCGAAAATATTAACATGAATTGCAAGTGAAATGGTATCCCTTTAGAACATAGAGAGTACGATTTAGAGTAATTATGCTGTAGCCTACTTCTTAGCGGCATTGTTTTTTCTTTCGATAAAAAGAAGCTTTGAAAATAAATGCAACGGTGGCTTAAAGTATCTTTTGAATCCCTGGATAACAATTGTGGGGGAGAGGATTAGAATTGTAGCAGTGCATGAAAGGATTGAGAAGAGAAAACGAGCTAACGCTTCTCCCTGAAACATGAAATTTCTTACGCCCAACGTAACTTAAAGTGCAATAGCGTTTTCTACCAAGTCGGCTTTAGAGATGAAAGAAAAAAAAATCATCAGAGAAACAGATCAGGGAAAGTTGAACGAGATCAGACAAACAATATGGAATATATGACTAGTGCTAGCAACTCTCAAACGTTATAACTTTCTTATTCATCTAAGTCCGAGTTAAATTTTCACCAATCCCCTTTTCAGATTGTTATGTTTCCTTCAAAGCAAACTCTTAGGGTCGTATTTCCTCTTGGTAAATGCATGATTATTTTGTAAGGTTCATCACACAATGTTGAACAGCATATCATTTTTCCCCCCATACCGACATGCAGGTCGATATTGATGACGGCGAGTGATGTTGCTGCGAGCACGAAACCATGGAGGATACAACAGAAAGTGAGTCATAAGAAGAAAATCATTATTAATTGAAAGTACTGTATTTTATAGAATAGGATGAAAGGTGAAGCCATTATTATATTGAATCCCGGGAGAAGGGAATATTATTTGTAGTTGGTCTTCTGCACGCGGGACTGCCCAGGTATATTCTACACCCCCCCCCCCCTCTATAAAGGATTCCATCTTCTAGGTCCTAGATGATGGTTGTCCTAGGGGGTAGTTGTCCTGGGGGTAGTCGTCCTAGAGGGTGGTTGCCCTAGGGGGTAGTCGTCATAGGGGGTAGTTGACTGGGGTGGTTATCCGGGGGTAGATGTCCAGGGGGTAGGTGTCCGAATACGGTCTGGAACACATACTTGACCTGAAACATTCCGTACATAAAGTAGTTTATATTTGCATCTTTACGCTTTCTTTCTTTCTCTCACTTTCTTTTTTAGATCGCCGAACTGGTGACGAGTGAGTTCTTTGATCAGGGAGACATGGAGCGGAAGGAACTCAAAATCGAACCCACGGTAAGCATCGCTGAATTCTGTGGATTAATGAATTGAAGAATTCCCGGAAAACGAATGAACACTGTCCGATCCATCATTTTGTATGTGGAAGAATTTTGCAGTGTTCCGACTAATCATTTATGTTTAAAATGTCATGGTATTCTCTGGTGCCGTACATGATCTTTTAAAATTACATGAAACATATACCGAAATGATTTGAGTATGTCTTGCAAATATAATTACCTCTATTTTGTGAGAATATAATATTGTAGTTTGTTTTGATTGTCAAGCAATTATTTTATCTTAAAGATATTCTTTAAGATAAAATAATTGCTTGACAATCATAACAACAAACTTAACAAACCTATTATGTTAAAAGAAAGAAATTATTAATAGTATTATCATATGAGACTGAGAAACTTTGAATCAAAGTCTTACACTTACAGTATGATTTTCTTTTTCGTGTTTACCGTTTTATGAATAAAGAAAAGCGATGTAAATCAATTACTTTAAATTCTTTAACCACGATCTTGTTTTTATTTCAGTCTATGTTCGACCGGAGCAGAAAAGATGAGCTCCCAGAAATGCAGCTTGGTTTCATTGACGGAGTCTGTATACCACTTTATGAGGTAGGTTATAGTTTTTTCTCAATTACCTCGACGTGAGATGACAAGAGAAACTCAAACGGGACAAGGGGCCCGCTTATAAAGATTTGCGATGGATCCAAATCAATTACAAGTCCTTCAATCAACCGCAAGTTTATGAATATAGTTACGATTGATATTAATCGAAAATAAGTTGCGATTAATATCAACTCTTTATGAGATGGGGCCCAAATTAAATAAAGTTTTCTTTTGCTTTTTGTTGTAACATTTTACATTGATGCGATGGTCAAGACACTGTTATAACTCTAGAGTCTAGACTTTGGAATATAACCAGAACATTTTGGGATGGAATAGAGGCAGATCCAGCATTGTAATAAAAGGAGAGGGTCTTATATTTTCCGTCAAATGAGAAATTTAAAGTCCTGCAGGAATAGTATTTCCACTACATGATTTCGTTTTCTTTTTCAAAGAATGTGGGCGTAACTCTTCCATCCATTTTCTGGATAAGGGGATAAGGTTTAACGACCTGAGTTTTAAAACATCGGGATCTGTAAAAAAAAAAAAAATGGTTCAAGGCAGGTGACTGACTTTACCTGTGAAATATATTATCTCGGTGATGAGACACATAACCCAACACATTTGACATGTATTTCTGTTTTAATTTCCTCCTTTCGCATACAGTCTCTCGTTCATGTGTCAGTCAAGTTCAGACCTATGCTGGATGGTGTGACAGCTAACAGACAGAAGTGGTACGACCTCAACGAACAGAGAAAGAGAAGGAAAAAAAGCTCTTATCACAACTCGAAGCAAGGGAGCGTATAGTTCCCAAAGTATCATGAATGAACAATATCCAATTGGAAATGATTGGAACTTTAAATGACTTTGCATGCAAGAGAGTATTGATACCACGTGATACAGGATATGCTACAGCAAGACTCTGAAAGCGATATATAGAAGTATGTGGACCTTGAGAAGGAATATTAATGGTTTAAGAGAACATTGTTTGATGGTTTGTTTTAACCCTGACTGATTAAGAAAGCATATGCATGCTTGTGAGGAAGCAACCAGGTGACCAATGGCTTGAAGTCTTCTCTGAGGGACTGAGTAATTAGGAGTAATTACGCCTTACCAAAGGGCACTGGTGCATCGATTTGGTTTTGAACCCAGGATCTCTCAGTTACGAGATCTCTGCTCTACCACTGAGCCATCTGCCCTCCACTTGATGATATGGCATATGGATGAACAGGGGGTGTATGGACAGGAATTAGACAAATTCGTTGGAACCAATAATTATGAGCAAGAGAAAGAGAGAGAGAGAGAGGGTGAGAGAAAGAGAAAGAGAAAGAGAGAGGGAGAGAGAGAGAGAGAGAGAGAGAGAGATAATGATGAAGACGGAAACAGAATGTAGGTTGGAATAATTAACGAGTCATTTTGTTATGATTCCATACTGAAATGCATAATCACAGGGTCCTAATATTGCACTCTGCAGTATACCTAAATCGTCTTGAACGTTCGAAATACAAACTGTCATGTAAAGAAAAATTAGAATTTTGAAGCAATTGAAACCCCCTTTACCAGCCCCTCCCCCCCACCACACACACAAGAAGAAGAAAAGAAAGGAGGTTATTCTCAATTGTAATTTCATTCACCATTAGTATATGTGATCTACTTGATCGTAATACTAATATAACAAGGATCTTTTTCTCCCATGATGATCTCCATGATAAACGTTCAATAATCCATAATTTTGATTTATGAAGAGTAAATTCCCGTAGCACTATGCTACAGTAAATACTAAAGAACAAAATTGATTTGTCATGGCAGCAATAAATTCCTTTAAATGAATTCAGAAATGTTATGCCGAGAGGGGTGGAAATAACTCACTTGTTAAAATGTCGTTCTGTTAAGGAGTTTGAGTATTTATAATTCAATGCCATATTATTATGTGCACGTCACAAAAGGCAAAATACTATTGTAAACAAAATATCAGTGCTAATTGGATACACATTTTCTCTACTTCTAAAGAAATAAACAGTATCGCCGTTTCATTCAACATGACATAATTATGTCACAACTTAGTCGAGTAAACGGTACATGCATATCATATTTCAGGATCGAATCTGACCGATTATCTGATTATTAAATATTTCATTATCAAAAGTTTGACTCAAGAAGGTATGAAGACGTGTAAAGAGTAGACTGAAAAGTGGAATGAAAATGAAATTGAATAATAATCAAATGTGATGTGAATATTGTTATTAACAATATGAATGTACATATTTGTTATATCAGAAAGCAAACTTATAATAAATGTACATATACATTTTATTACCTACAAGTACTTTCATTTCTTATTCCCAATAAGTAATCATTATAAATTATGGTTTACAGATGATGTATATGTTTAATAATTTCGACTTGTAATCAACTTTATTATTTAAGCATAATTGAGATCTTTTGTAGCATGATGACATTGCAGTGTGTCACCCCTAAGTCAATAGTATACTTTTATGAAAATCCCAGTCAATGTTTACCAACTTTCATTCTTTATCATACCAAACTTTTAAATCATATAATTATCAAATTTAAATTATTCACTGATAATGGTTCCAAATGATATTAAACAAATTTGATATCCTTTCCAGAAAACGTTACAGCGAAGGGACCTACCCTAAAAAAATCTTATACCCCTAGTAAACAGGTTCATATATCTTATTGGTCAGTTAATATTTCATGTAAAATTGTCATACCTTATCTCATGGCTACGCTGTATAAAGCAATGAAACGTTGTCACCCCCGTATGATATAACTCATTTACATGCTTATAGCAACACTTTGTTGACCTCCCTACTACCAAATTGATTTTTCGGTCAAGCATTGAATCAACTACCTCAAGCATGTTTATCTGCCAAAAAAAGTTCATCTGCTAATTGTGTTAGCACCATAAGCAAACTATTTGGAGTCTGGGACTCATGCAAAAGATATACTTCAAAAGAAGAACCCTACCTACAAACCGGTAATCAGAAAACTCACTTTTGGAATTGAAGATATTATGTACCATTTCATCCACTTTTAACAAATAGTAATCCTTGAAACGTATTCTCTTAGATGATTGATTTCGTGCCCATATTATTTTACATTGGAGAAAATTCTCCCAGTCATCGTATGATGTTCTATAGTTGATGAAGTATACTGAAACATATAACATCTAAGACAGTAACGATGTATAAGATTGGAACTTGAAAGAGATGGAATAAAATCAAAGTGGCTTACCTTCAGTGCATATGTGTGTGATGATTTTGTGGGTGTTTGTGTGCAGATATTTTTTGAATTCTTACTATATATAATACATCCTTTTAAAGGTACTATGTCCCATTTGCAGGCCAAAAAAATGAAAAAGTTAAATTCCAACTGCATTTGACAGATAATACTAATTTAGAACTTCCCTAAAAAAGGTGGGTCTTGAAAATGTCTTCAAGTGGGAAAATAACGACTATTAGTTGTCAAATCGACTTAAGGGCTATAGAGCCCAAAAGTAATAGTCTTGATTTTCAGACAATTGTACCGAATGGTCATACGTTTTATGGTGCGCAAAGATTCAATCAGTTTAATCTTGGCCATCACAAGAAGTGGGTTATTGATGTAGACAAATGCTCATGTACCCTTTACAACTCTTTTCATGTATGTTATTACCAAAGAAGAAAAAAAGCCAGTCAGTCACTCAATAGTGTCTGACAGTGAAGTCTAGCAAGTAAACGGGTTTCCTTGCATAATTTGAATATGAGGACAATGCTAACGATTAAATTTCACAGATAGGACACACATGACATATTCATAATTCCTGCAAAGTTCTACAGAATTTGAGGTTGGCTGCAAAAGGGACATAGTACCTTTAATAATGAAATAAATTAATGACCACAAAAGTTCAAAATGACTTGTGTAGTCTGCCTTTAAAGGCTTTTGGAGAGGGCTAAAAAACAATATTCGACTTGCAAAATATGATAGATTAATAAGTTGCATGTTTGATTGTATTGGACTAATTGGATGGTTATTTGATGATGATTATTATAATGAAGATGCCAGATGATGACAGTGGTGATGATGATAACTGGTGGTGATGATGATGACAATGTTGATAATGACAGCATGATATTGATCATGGTGGTGGTGGTGGTGGTGATGATGATGATGATGATGATGATGATGATGATGATGATGATGATGATGATGATGATGATGATGATGATAATGATGATAGTTTTTTGTCTAGTGCCGATATCTCCCTCGGCTAGACGCTTATGACGCTTGCTCTAAAATGGTTCACAGCTCTGGATTTAATGAGTGAATTCAATATATTGGTTAGACTGTGTTACACACAAATATGACCGACATATTGTTTCTCCTAGTATCCAAATACATACATTATTTTGACCCCTCCCCCTCCCCAACAAAAACAAGAAAAGAGAAAGACAAAATGACACACTTCAAAATGCACTCTTCATACTCAAAACAAATGGAGGTTTACAAGCTTTTTTTTCAAGTCTGTACAAAAAAGCACAGCACTGTGCAGCAAATTTATTCCTTTCCTTTTTCCATCACTCGGTCATCATAGAAACTTTGCTGTAGTAGAATCGAATATCATCTAGATATATTTTCATAAAACAATCCAAGTTTGTATATATTTATACAATACAATAGTGTTAAAAAGGTCTAGCTACACACCACATCATAGGTAATGAAGACTAGACTCGAAGAGGGCATGTAGCTGTCAAGAATGCTACACCAATAGTCACAACACACACAAAGAGAACCCGACTAGGAGTTAAATAAATACCAATGGTTTATAGGGTCTAAGCAATCCAATTACGTGTACATCCATCACCCAAATAGCTAGGGGTTTTTTGAGTAAGAAAGGGCTACTTAATGCACATGTTTAAAGATACATGCTGGTGCAAAAAAGTACAAGTATTTGTTCTAGAGTGATGGCTTTGCGAACTATCCTTTCTTGGCAAGTAGTTTAGTGTCAAAGAAACCCTGACAAACGAGCACCAACATATTAAACGTAGGGAAGCTTTTAAGTACACTGTATGTAGCTGCTTCTGAGGAAACCACACCTGTCTATTATATAAAGGCCCTGTTTTTGCAACATTAAGAAGAAATCATTGACTACATGTACCAGGTAAAATACAATCTAGAACTTAATGAAGTTGAAAATTTAAAAAATTGTCATAATGTCAACAGTTCATTGAACACATACCCTAAGGAAGCCCAAAGTCTTTGTAAAACCCTTCATGAAGCCTGCACAGCATTTCATCAGGAAAAAACAAAAAACACAATGATAATGTCTCAAGAGTCGGAACGGTATTGACTGTGTAACATTATACAAGCTAGATATCTGGAAACTGTTCTGTAAAGACTTGAAGTGATATGACACGATACAAGTCAACGCACTTTTGGTTCTGATGAAGTCGACCCATCTTCCTTGCCAACTATACAGGCCATGAAACCAACTTCTGATTGATCTAGTCAGTAAACATAGCACACTTCCATGACATTCCATGGCCACAATATTTCCTCAACACTCAAATCACAATATATATCTTTATTTTAAAAAAAGAAAAAAAGTCTGATATAAATGCCCATGAAGTAGTACACAATCACTATCTGTTTACAACAGCTCTTTACAATAATAACCCAATCAACTGATTCATTGTGTCAAAAAGGAACAAAACAGAAAAAAATTGGGCATGTAACCACTTTGTCGACCTTCCAATTCAAGAGAGAAAAAGTATTGGTAAGTACTAGCAAGATACATTTCATAATTCAATATTTTCAAATGTTTTCATATTTGAATCATATTCAATCCATCCCAAGTCAAACCAGTAACACACTGCTCGTGATATGCAGTCTAGATACCTTAAGTAAACTGATGTTTTAATAATAACAAATTGATACATTTTAATGATACAGTTTGATCTTATATTGTACCTTACAGTGGAAGGCCCAGCCCTCACAATGGGAACAACTGAGTTTTGAGGTATTTTACTATAGCTATCACTGGTTTTATTCTTTGAAGTAATAAATTAACCATGTAACATTATGATATTACTGCAACTTTAGAAATCGTTTGGCAATTTAGCTTAAAAGGGAGGGAGGGGGGGGGGGGACTATTGTATCCAAGAAACACATATTATTCATCAAAATTTGTTATGATACTGGAGGAACCAAAGAGATAAAATAATGAAGAGATAGCACATGCCATATATAGAAGAGTAATAAGTGAAAATCATTCGGTCATCTTCATCATCGGTCCTACAAGCATAGTTTTAGGGTCAAGGGTTAGGTTTATGTCAGTCACCTAAGTCTATCCCCTTACAGTATATAACATTTCATTTGTTTTGTTAGCATTTGACCAATTGTGTGCAGGACCAATGGGATGCAAGGAGGACAAAGTACCATAAGGGCTTTCGTAAATCACACACAATACAAAAATCAAGAATTCACATCACTAAAGAAGATTTTGTAAACATGACAAACCCATCTGTGACCTAGGCATTAACAAAAAATAAAGAAATTTCATCTATCTACAATTAAACAAAAGTCATGCTTTAATGTGGTATTAGAGCTAGCAACTGTAATCTAGCCTTTAGTTTTACATCCATTGTAGCATGGTATATTCATATCTGGTTTAATAGTCACCCCTATAAAAGATCATCTTGTTTGTATGGAGCCAGAAGGGCGTTAACCCATATACCTTCTCACAGGGTCAATGCACTTTTGGCTCCAAAGTGACGATCTGCCTACAGAGAACTCAAATTGTTTTAAGTAAATTTCAACTTAATTTAAAAGGATGGCAAATATATGCTTAAAATTACGTTCTAAAAAATCAAGATGCATTGTACATGTTAAATCTCACATCTGTAAGGAAATAAAATAATACACATCAACAAAATAATGTTAATAATTCAATCAAAATACAATTTGATCTCTGCTATTCATGGGTGAAATCATTCATATCCAGAAAGAGAGAGAGAGAGAGAGAAAGAGAGAGAGAGAGAAAGAGCCTTCTAATGTCTTTAAAGAATAAATAAAAGAGAGTAGAATATCAAACTAGATATTATGATAAAATGACAGGTAGAGAAGAGGACTATCCTCCACCCAAAAAGAAAAGTCAGGGAAAAGGGGAGATACATGACAAGGGTTAAGACTGCAACTTACATTCTGTGATGTTGTCCAATTCTGGTTATATGATCTAACCTTTATGTGCCTATTAATCTATCAATATCACAGAAAAAGATTTGGCAAATAATAAAATGATATCACAAGATAACCTCAACAGCCATTCGCATTAAGAAATTAAAGAAAATTAAAATTATTGGCGATCATTAAACTCATTTTGATCTCATTTGACCCTTACAAGGCAAGATGTACACCACAAGAACATATTTCTAATTCACAATATAGTTGCATAGATTGGCAAACTTCAAATGAATTAAAAGAAATTACACTTTATGTACTGCCATTGGTGAGTTATCATGGCTTTCCTACACTTAAATATTGTCGAAAAAAAAAAAAAAAAACCCTAAAATTTCATGTAGTTAATCTCAAACAAATCAAGATAAGTCTCAATTGCTAATTTTCAAATCGTACAATAGTATTTAAAAAAACACAGATATTTGTACTGTTTATTAACTAACAAACTGCTTACATTTATAATGTCAATGTTGACATTATTCCATATACTTTCAACAAACTAATTATGAATGACTAGTGAATAACTTCAATCACATGCAATCAATGTCACTTAAAGCCCTGTATTGTCCACGATTCATTAGTAGCAAGGTTTCTTTTGATTTCAGTAGTGCACAAACCCAGCGCTTATCAGCAACTTGTCCTTCAATTGACTTTACTGCACAGGTAGAAGTCGGATTCATTTGTGATGCATCTTTTCAAAGATCGCTTTAACACCATGTTGTTTATATGTGACTAGATTTAATTCATTATGACCTCATATCAAAACACATGACCCATGTCATCGTCTCTCAACCTCTCTGCTCGTATAAACCCCTTTTAAAGGTGTACTGTATATAAAAGACCAATATATAGTATATATTCTGTCGGTTTCGCCATAGGTTACAGTCAAAATCATTTGTGATGAATCTTGTCAAAGACCGCTTTAACACCATGTTTTTATGTGACTAGATTCAATTCATTATGACCTCACATCAAAACACATGACCCATGTCATTGTCTTTTAGCATCTTGGCTCATATAAACCCCTTTTAAGGTGTACTGTATAAAAAAAGACCAATATATAGTATATATTCAGTTTCTCCCTCGATTGAAGTCAAATCCATTTGTGATGAATCTTGTCAAAGACCACTATAACACCATGTTGTTATGTGACTAGATTTGATTCATTATGACCTCATATCAAAACACATGACCCATGTCATCGTCTCCTTAGTTATCAGCTTGTATAAACCCCTTTTGAAGGTGTACTGTATATAAAAGGCCAATATATAGTGTATATTCCATCAGTTTATCCATAAGTTACAGTCAAATTCATTTGTGATGAACCTTGTCAAAGATCACTATAACACCATGTGTTTATGTGACTAGACTCGATTCATTATGACCTCATATCATGTGTTTGTCGCCTTTAATAGCTCTCAGCTCGTATAAACCCCTTTTTAAGGTGTACTGTATATAAAAGATCAATATATAGTATATACTCTATTCTCGTACAACACGCACTGGAACATTCAACGTTCATGCCTTCTAAGTGAAAGAAAACCAACTTGCCTCTTATCATATACACGTATAAACTATACTTTTTTGAAAAGTAGAATATAAGCAGCTCTAAGCTGGGTTTAAATTAAAAAAAAACATTACTTATAGTTGTTGGATTAGGTTGCTTGCGGCTGCAGGTTTCTGAATTTTGGTAGGAAGAGACCAAACTTTGTCTCCACACCGGAGAAGGTAGCCACAGCTAGTTGCATGCCACCGATGTGATCTGGGTTGACTGGAGGTAGGTCAGCAGGATGATGGGATAGCTTCACTTGGGATCCCTCCGGTCGGCTACAGAGAATAAACAAACAATGAGGGTAGTTTAAGGATAAAAGTGTTCAATATATTACAGGTAGAATTATAAAGTAGCATAGAGGAATTATATAATAAGATATCAATATATACTTTCTTTTGTAGATTGATTCAATGTGTTCAATATATTACAGATAGAACTATAAAACAGTATAGAAAAACTATAAAATGTGTCTTTCTAGGAAGAAAATAGTTACAAAATAAAAAATATATATGATAAATACAAAACCCTCTCTTACTATTTTGCACAATCAATTGCTACTGTGACTAAATGTGATCCTTTCTTGTTTACAATTTGCGATGAAAACAATAGATTGTATCCCGATATTAAAAAATCACCAAAATTCCTCTTCTGGATATAAAGAATAAATGAATAAAAATTTAAAAAAAGGAAAAGAAAGACATGACTGCTTACCTTCCTCCAAAGTCAAATGGCAAAGCTCTCTGTAGCAGCTCATATGTTACCAGGGTAACACCAAACTGAGGTGATGATCGGAAGATACGTGCTGGAAAGAGAAGAGATCAAATCACATTTCCAGGTTATGAATTGGTTACGAAACCAGATTCGCATATTTAATGAGTTATGACCTTTGACCTACATACTCCTATATTGAACTTAGGCTGTGTTTTGATACCATGAACCTTCATATCAAATTTCATTATAATCCGTCAATCAATACTAAAGTTATGGATCGGAAACCAGATTCGCATATTTAATGAGCTATGACCTTTGACCTACATACTCCGATATCGAACTTAGGCTGTGTTTTGAAACCATGAACCTTTATATCAAATTTCATTAAAATCTGTCAATCAATACTAAAGTTATGGATCGGAAACCAGATTCGTATATTTAATGAGCTAAGACCTTTGACCTACATACTTGGAAATTGAATTTAGGCTGTGTTTTGATACCATGTACCTTCATATCAAATTTCATTAAATTTGTCAATCAATACTAAAGTTATGGATCAGAAACCAGATTCGTATATTTAATGAGCTAAGACCTTTGACCTACATACTTAGAAATTGAATTTAGGCTGTGTTTTGATACCATGTACCTTCATATCAAATTTCATTAAAATTTGTCAAACATTACTCAAGTTATCAAATGAAAACCAGATTCGCATATTTAATGAGCTATGACCTTTAACATACATACTCCGATATCGAACTTAGGCTGTGTTTTGAAACCATGAACCTTCATATCAAATTTCATTAAAATCTGTCAATCAATACTAAAGTTATGGATCGGAAACCAGATTCGTATATTTAATGAGCTATGACCTTTGACCTACATACTCCGATATCGAACTTAGGCTGTGTTTTGAAACCATGAACCTTCATATCAAATTTCATTAAAATCTGTCAATCAATACTAAAGTTATGGATCGGAAACCAGATTCGTATATTTAATGAGCTATGACCTTTGACCTACATACTCCGATATCGAACTTAGGCTGTGTTTTGAAACCATGAACCTTCATATCAAATTTCATTAAAATCTGTCAATCAATACTAAAGTTATGGATCGGAAACCAGATTCGTATATTTAATGAGCTATGACCTTTGACCTACATACTCCGAAATTGAATTTAGGCTGTGTTTTGATACCATGTACCTTCATATCAAATTTCATTAAAATTTGTCAAACATTACTCAAGTTATCAAATGAAAACCAGATTCGCATATTTAATGAGCTATGACCTTTGACCTACATACTCCAAAATCGAACTTAGCCTGTATTTTGATATCATGTACCTTCATATCATATTTCATTAAAATCCGTCAAACATTACTGAAGTTATCGATCGGAAACCAAATTTGTTACGAATGGACGCACGCACGCACGGAGGGACGGACAGCAGCGTTTCTATATCCCCTCCTACTTCGTCGGCGAGGGGATAATAATTATTTTAACTTCAACCCTGGTGAAAAACATTATACCTAACCCTGACCCCAACCCAAAACCTAACCCCAAACCCAATTGTAACCCTAACCCTCTACTTTTGATGAAATGAAGATGAAGGCCAGAGTAAATGTCAGGTCACGCACATTCAACTCAGATAGGACGTTAAATGGAGGCCACGTGTACAGGAGAGTCACCACCTTTGCACGTTAAATACCCACTGCCCTATTTTATAAGAGTAGGGGAAACCCCGGTTTAGTGGACTACCTGCACACCCCCAATTATTTATTTTGAGAGGAGAGATCCAGGAGTTGCAGTGATTCAGTTCCCTTTCAACCTCCCAGGCTCAGGTGACGCCAAATACATAATAATAAAAATAAAATATCCTTACCGGGTCCTCCTTTCCAGAATGCATTGAAACCCTCTTGTTGGTAGATCTTCCTAGCACAATCTATCACTCCGTTGTACGTGGTCTGACCTCGTCTTGCTTCCACCTGTAGTCTTGTCTTGATCACATCGGCGGGTGTGACAGAGTACGCAGCAGGTGCACCTGATCAACAATAAAAGTCAAATTTGGGTTTCTAGACATTTCTTAAAGGCATCGTTTAACAATGTTAAATGTTAAGATGCATGGCCCTATGTGTTATCAGTGTCTGTGATATGGTGTAATATTGAAGCCCTAAAAAAAATCATGCTTCAAAATGATCAAGAAGTGCCTTAAAAAAGTAAAAGTCTTTGAGTGACCGATTTTTACAATACTAGTTTTCCCCCATAGACTGTAGTGTCATGAAAACTGTTAGGCGAACGCAAAATTAGGTTTCGATTTCCAATCATAAATATCTTGATATTCAGAGAGGCAATCGGCTTGTAAAAGTCATGAGGTTCCTGACTGACCTAAAGGTTTATAATTATCATTGCAGCATGAGCTAAATCCAGGATTTTGTTTTAGAATCTGAGACAAAGTTACCGGATCCCTTTAACATCACTTTGCATCATATTTTAAAAGACAAGTAGACTAATGTTATCAAATTAAATTCATATCCTTGCAGCATAGTTGCTCTAGCTTTCCTGAAAAAACAACTGATGTTTGCAAGATGGACTCCGACCACAGAGATGCTTTATACACTATGGATAAATGAAAGTTTGCCAACATACAACAACTAGATGGAATTCGACTGCGCGCAGTCGAAAATGATGCCTCCGTTATAGAGCAATTTTACAAACCAAAACAGAAAAAAAAAAATCGAATTCACGTTCAATGGTAATCCATTGACAGGTTCTCAGAATATTGTGATTACAAGCAATTTCTCATATGCATATATGACCCTTTGATCTTTGACCTCATGACCATAAAATCTACTCAGTTCATTGGCTCTGCAAGATGTTCTGAGTTAAATAGTAATCCATCTGTCAGTTCTAATGAGAATGCGTTCACAAGCTATTTTTGCATACATAATGGGCCCATGACCTTTGACCTTTGACCTTATGAACCAAGAATCTACTCAGTTCATTGGCTCTGCAAGTAACAAACATGACCTAATTTTGGCATGAATCCATCAATCGGTTCTTGAGATAACGCGATCACAAGCTGTTTTTGCATTCATAATGTGCGCTGTGGCCTTTGACCTTTGACCTACGTGCTCCAAAATCTAATCAGATTGTCTTCCTATGGTGATACACACTATCATTAAGTTTGAAGTTTTTACATCTCCAGTGGTTCTTGAGATATCATGATAACAATCTCAATGTATGGAATTTCATAAGTTGACCTCTGTGACCCTTGACCTTTGACCTACGTGCTCCAAAATCTAATCAGATTGTTTTCCTATAGTGATACACACTATCACTAAGTTTGAAGTTTAAATCTCCAGTGGTTCTTGAGATATCATGATAACAATCTCAATGTATGGAATTTCATAAGTTGACCTCTGTGACCCTTGACCTTTGACATACGTGCTCCAAAATCTAATCAGATTGTTTTCCTATAGGGATACACACTATCACTAAGTTTGAAGTTTAAATCTCCAGTGGTTCTTGAGATATCATGATAACAATCTCAATGTATGGAATTTCATAAGTTGACCTCTGTGACCCTTGACCTTTGACATACGTGCTCCAAAATCTAATCAGATCGTCTTCCTATGGTGATACATACTATCCTTAAGTTTGAAGTTTAAATCTCAAATGGTTCTTGAGATATCGCGCTAACAATCTCAATACAAGGAATTTCATAAGTTGACCTCTGTGACCTGTGACCTTTGACCTACGTACTCCAAAATCTAATCAGATCGTCTTCCTATGGTGATAAATACTATTCCCGAGTCTTAAGTTTAAATCTTAAATGGTTCTTGAGATATTGTGATAACGGTCAAACGGGACGGACGTACGGACGGACGTACGGACGGACGGACGTACGGACGGACAACCCGAAAACATGATGCCTCCGGCACCACCTTCGGTGGCGGAGGCATAACAAACAAGTTTTATGTAGACATGTACTCAACGTTTTTTTTTAAATAGACACTTTTTATTCATTTATTTATACTTTTTAGTTATAGCTAATCATTAAATTACAGAAATGGAAGTTGATATATTTGAGTTGGTGGGAGGGTGGACGGCAACATTCAAAATGATGTGTTCCTGACTTTTGTAATATGTGAGAATGTGGGAACATGTCACCTGTATCCCTCAAAATAAATAATATTTAATTTGTATATAGCGCTTAATACAAATGACTCTAAGCGCTTTACAAATATAATATTACCCCTTAGCTATCTAAACTGAGGAAAAAGGAGGCAGACAATGTAAAACTCCCGCAACTAAATCATGACATATGACACGATAAGAGCGACAGACATCTTACCAGCGATTGTAGCAGATACGAGAAGGGAAAGAGGCGAGTTGTGACCATCTTTGTCGGCAGAGTATTTCTTGAGGTGAGCGTAAGTCGGGAAGTAGATCGCTGAGAATGGGATGTCACGCAAGAAGCAGGCTTTCGACCCCTGACACGCAAGAAATCAAAACAAGACAAAGATAGTCAATTTACGTTGCATGCAAGTGGCGCGGCATAATGACTGGCATTGTTTAAGGGGTCACCAGTCTTATTTGTGGAATGAAATGCTATTTAATAATAATAAGAGGAGTGTGCAGAAGATGTTCCTATTGCTCTGTTTTCCCCTCCCCCTCTCTTCCCCCCCCCCCCAACCATTCAGTCGTTTTTGCAAAAAAATATTAACCCTGCAATAGTGATTTCTCATGTGAACATTGTAATTCAAATACAAGTCAGTGGTTTTAATTTCTGCAAGATAGTTTATGAGGTAGTTTAATACCATTTCTTTAAATAATTTCTGTTTAAAGCGAAACTGAAATTATATGCTTTTATTGTGCATAAAAAATATGTAAAAATATGTAGTGTCTATACAGTACCGGTACATGCTTTTGGCCTTTCTTACCTTATAGAGTCCAAAGAGACCAAGATCTTTCAGAACGGTGATGGCAGATACTCTGGGACCTGTCTGAATCTCACCGGCTACTTGCAGTCTAATCTTGACAATCTCTAAAGGGTTGGTGAACATCACCTGTGACCCACCAGCCTGTCAAAGGTCAAAGTTTAAAGGGAAACATAAAACTATAAAAAAATATACTCTGGGTCTAGTCTGAACTTAACAAGTTCTAACAGTTGTTGAACATCAGCTGTGACTCACCAGCCCATCAAATGTCAAAGGTTTAACATAAAATATATCAGCAAAATGCTCTATGAATAGTCTGAATCTCAGCAACTATAAAATGAACCTGCTTTCTGATTTTAACGATTTCAAGATAATTGAGAGAAAAAAAAATTGGCATAAGAAAAACGAAGTGTAAACAAAATATTCAAAAGATATTTCTGAGCACACACAGGAAAAGCCCCCCCCCCCAAAAAAAAAAGGAAAAATAAAAACTGTGGGGTAAATCATAGATAGAAAGGTCAGAGAGGATAAAGAGAAAGACAGAATAAGAATTAAATATCCATATATAATATTCAGCAAACAGGTACTGATAGAATAGAGTTCATACATCTGAACCCATGACTCACAGTGTAGCAAGACTGACCTGAGAATATTTTGTATGTAAAAAAAATGTAATATTTATTGATGTAGTAATACGTACACATCCTCCTGCAAGCATCTCTCCCCATACTGGAAACGTGCCATCCTTTCTCCTGACTTTGTCCCTCATAAAGTCATTCATGGTTAGCTTGATAGCTTTCTCAGGTGCTACTCCAATCAGCTGAGGTGGAAGACCTGCAATAGACCACATCACGATTAGTACATGTCCCAAATGACCCCGAATATCCACAGATCTTCAAAACATGATGGAGGTGCTACATAAATAGCCTTAGTTTCCCCTTTTCAAAGAAAATTTCCAGCTTTGTATCATGGAGTGCACTGCTTGTGCATAAATGAATAATGATTACATAACTTTCATGAGCACGTATCCAGTATTTTGTCTCTGTGTATTTCACAAGTTGGTCTGCAATGACCTTTATCTGCTCATGCTCAGACTGCAACTATGAAATTTTTTTTTTTCAACAACATTGAAATTTGTACTTTGAACAAAATTATAATAGTTTGCAAGAATAATGAAAATGAATAAGTGGTATGAAAAATTGAAAGTGTCTATTCTATTAAAGGAGAATAAAACTCAGCCCTTTAAGTCTCATTATCCTGTAAAGAGTAATATTAAAACATGTTTGGAAAAAAAAATAGCTCATTAGAGCCTTCAGAGATGGTTTTATGAACTATTTAATATGACACGCGTCATCTGTCAAGCTTCCCCTTTACGTTTGTTCATTGTTTTTCCAAGCCCAGCAAGTGACAGTTCAGTATCTCATAAATCAATTTGTGGACTGGCCGCACCACTTCGTCTTAACGGATAAGGTTAAAAACTGATGGTTTGATTTGGCTCTTTCACACACAAGACATTGGACATAAGGTTTTAAAGACATCTGGTGATGACTGGCAAATGCCTGCAAACCTAATAGGTAATAAAGATTGTGGTGACCCAGAAATCATTTACCCTTAACCAATGACACATTTTCAATGTAATCTGTTAAGTCAAATAATGTATACACAGCATGAAGTATCAATGAAGATCTGTCGGTGACATATCGTCCCTATTTTCACGAAGTGACGGTAGTGAATGAAAATCACATACACTTTGCATGCAGATTTTCCTCCGTACCGTCACTTTTTGAAAACAGGAACGATATGGATTCCTGAAACCAGGGGAGTGTTTCACAAAGACTAAGATCGACTTTAAGTTTAACTTAACTATGGCAGGCCGTTCATGGCACTATTTTTTCTCACAATTTACTGGCATTGGTCTCTCAAGGACGTACAAATCCATGGTCACAAATCTACAGAATTTTCATTTGTGGATAATTCATTATTTGAAGGAAATTATATTATCTAAAGATCATAATGGTGAGAGCAAACAGTGGCATGAACAGCCTGCCATAGTTGAGTCCAACTAGTCTTTGTGAAACACCCCCCTGAATACATTGTGTGCGGGTAAGCCTGAATCCTATGACCAGGGTAATAATATATATATCTGTAAAGCGCTTTGAGAGGGCCTTCGGTCCTGAAAAGCGCTATATAAGAACTAGCTATTATTATTATTATTATAACACCGCACTTGACCCCTGATCTGTAAGCCCTCACCTCTGTATAGACCAAAGACCCCTTCATGCCTGATGACCTTCTTGAAGCAGTCAAAGCTGTTCTTGTACATGAGTTCACCCACCATCTGACCACTCCTCTGGTTCTGCATTCTAGTCTTGACCAGGTCGATGGGATAGACTGCTGTGGCTCCCGTAGCTGGAATAATTTCATATTGAAAGGTTTTGAAATCATTAAAATTACAACAAATCATTACAAATTGACTCTACATAAATTACACACTGATAGACTTTTCTTTAATTAATTTTCTTTTTGTGGAGAATTTTCCTTCTTTTTCTTTCTCCGCATGTGGCAGAGCATTATGATATCAATGTCAGATGAACAATTTGGTCTGAAAATGTTATTGTATTCATCTATGACTAGCAATAGATGAAATCTTTGTGGAACTGACTTTGATGGCCTGTGTTTTGTAGTTCATATATCCATGTCTGTGTTCAATATTTTATATTGTTTAAGATTTAAGAAGGATATTAAATAGGGTGAGGGATTCAAAATGAAATGACCCATCGCCCTCCCAAGAACGGGGTTTAAGATCGATTCATGCTCAACTGATTTAATTCATTTTCACTTGAAAATGTTGAGTAAGTTCTGTACAAATCAAAACAGCATCTACGGTTTGATAATCTGGGGGGTGTTTCACAAAGATCTGAAGTTGGACTTAAAAATTATGGAGAGCCATTTGTAGCCTTAAAATGAAATATATTAAAAAAATGAAAATTCAAATATTTTAGACCTTTTATAAATTCCACATCAAGAACATGAAATCTCCTTGATAATAGAAAATATGAATGATTTGAATCAACATCATATGTCTTAAAAAAAAAACTTTTAAAAAATATTTTCATAGATGCTAATAGCTTTCCATAAATGTTAAGTCCAACTTAGAGATAAGTTCAACTTAGGATCTTTGTGAAACACCCTCAGGTTTGTCTTGAAAATGCCCGTAACTTTCACCTACCTCCTGCCACAGCACCCAAGCCGAATCTGTAGGCAGACTCAAAGATGGTTAGCATGGCCGTACGCTCCACCTTCTCCTTGGGTTGGGACACCTGGAGTTTATTGATGACATCGGTCGGTGGCGTAATCTTCACTAGATCCTCAAACGTGACTCGTCTGCAACACAATTCATGCACACAAAAATAACTGAAAATGTTTTTATGGTATCTTACACCTGGGAACTGTTTCACAAAGCCTTTTTTTTCAATGAAAAATGACAAAAATCAGTGACAAATCTGCTGATAACCAATCAGAAGCAAGGATTGCACTAGCTTATAACAAAAATTGTCATTTGTCACTGGTGACAAGTTTTGGGCCCAGATAGTCTTCATGTGCTGGCTTCTTCACTGCTTTTATTCCATGTACCGTAGTGCCTAATTCATTGAAGCCCCTCTCGAGCAAATCTGTACTTTAGAATATTACTTGTTAGAATATTAGCGAGTTTAATGAATTGTGCTAAAATTAAAGTTTCCCAATAACAAATCAAAAATGTTATCACCCCCCCCCCCTTGCATTCATAAAAGGGAGAAGAAAAAAATGCTATTTCCTTCATGAGTCTTCATCCCTCTATCAATCGCTTGTTTGTTGATTCCATAATAAAGTTATTTTACATGAGAACTGGATGATACATTTAAGACTACACACAATTATTTTATGCTCTGGGAATTACTGGTGTCCATTATGCATTCAAAGGGTATAAAAAGCAAACGTAAACACTGCATGAAAGGTCAGCAAAGATCCTGGTCTGATCAGTATTGCTCATCAAACTTCTCAGAATTATTGTATGCATAGATAGGAAGAGGTGTGTATGTGAGAGGAGACGCATTCAAGATAAAAAGTACTCCAGTTTTCATGTAAATTACCAATTGAAACTTTAATTGCTCACTGGTTCAGAAATGTGAACATGTCAGCACGTGCGCACGTTATTAGGTCAAACGCTCAAGTATATATTTCAATAAGTACTGTTCAGTATGATAAAAGCCCAGGTTATATTGCCTTGTGAAAGGGGAAATTAAAGGTATTACAAAGTTTTGGGAAATTTTGAAAATTGGGTGGATAGTGATTCTTTACAATTTTGATATATTTGGATGCCCCTGTGGGTGTAATATAAGCACTAGAAATTTTAACCCCTAAAACACTTCTGCTTTCGAGAAAAATTGAATATAAACATTTACCGGTGCTCCCGGTAAATTTTGATAAATTTCAAATAGCGCCTACGGCCGTACGATGGTAGCTGCGACCATGAAAATCTCGGAATATGTAGTTGTGATATATAATTTCCAAACGGGGAAATCGGTCGATTTTAGTCAAGAAACATTGTTTTATAGCTTAATTGATATCTTGACCTTGAGAGGGCGCTATACAACATAAAGAGTTTATTATTTACAATTTCATAACTTTAGACTCAATTTCAAACGCGACAATGCTGTAGAATCGCATATGCTTCCAATATGTTCATTTGAACCAAATTCATGACCCCATACCAAAACTTTGTAATACCTTTAAGATAGTGACTGGGTGCTAGTTTAGAAGAAAAAAACACCAAAAAATCCCACAATTAAAGTAAAAAATATGGAATAAATAGATCAAGGTGATTGTTTAGAAATCCCCCCTCCCCCCAAAAAAAGGGTAATTCCCCATATGTCATACAGGACATTAGGACAAAGGTAGTTATGTAATCATCATATAATCACACCAGACAGAAACATTAGTCAAAACTCATATTGAGATATTCTTCCATATTTAGATGAAGTTAAAGATATAATACATATTTTTGTTGAATAGGATATATTTCAAGAAATGTTCACAAAGGATTAAAAATATATAATCCTCACATTATAGTGTATATCCCTCACCAAGCTGATGATTTAGGAATTCAAAACAATTGACGGGTAATGTTTGAAACTGATGAAGCAATAGACATCATAAATATCAAATAAGTCCTGAGCAAGCCAATTGTTAAGATATTTTTATTACCACATGAGATGTGTCTGGAAAAGGTGGAAATAAATAGACATCTATGATTTTACTTTCCAGACCAAGCTGAATAATAAGGAGCTCCAAATTTAATACAAGAAAGCCAATTTTGAATGAAAATTGTCCAATGTGGCCAGATCAAGGGAAGAGAGTGTGTGGGAGACATTAAAGAAGAAATAAGCCTTGGCTTGCACATTGCACAAAACTGTTAATAACCGATTGTAAATCTGCCAACAATTTTATTAGGTTCATGATTCTAGTACAGCCCTTCCCAATAAAAATGTAATGTAAAATTCAGTACTTGTCAAATACTTCTTATTCTTTACAATTTCTTAAATTTTATTTACGTGTATCTGTCATTTGGTGGAAAAGAGGAGAGAAAGTCTATTATATTTTCAGATACAAATACAGAAGAAAAATGGGTTAGTTATGAAATAAGCACCAACTTCATTTCATTATACACAATAATAACCGAGACTCACCGTTTACGCTTAAATATTCTTTGAATACTTAGATAAAAATAACATGAAATTACAATATTATTACCACTGAAACATATGGAAGCATTCACTGATTTAGATTTTCCAAATATTATTAAACAAATTAATTGTTATGTATCATTGTCAATTAGCTACAAAAACTCAATATAAAAACTATTTAAGATATTTTCATTCAAAGTTAATGTTAAAAAGTCCATGCGATTGGTAATTTACTAGCTATGATTTTAATAGTGGACAGATAATTACACGTCACAAAAACTTTATAACACCATATATTTGCTAACCCAAGTGAAATCATTACTTCCTTGTTATTTTCTTGGTCTTCTCTGTCAAAAATCAACAAAAAATTAGCATTTATAATTATCATAAGAATATAGTTTCTGTCTTAATCAATTTCTGTAATGTATTTTAACTTAATTTTGTGTAATTCCCTGATTTCCAACGTTAACTGTCTTTATTCATCTCTACAACTAACATTGTTTTATTATCTTATCCTCCTAAGTTCACTTCATTTTCTATCTCATAAACCACAGATATATCATAAGGGGAAAGGAAAAAACCAGAGCTTACAAAATAATTCAGTGCTTTGAAATCTTAACCCCTTTTTTTTTATTAGTAAAAGGGCTATTTCAACCTGAAGGTATTATCTCTCTATGCACTTCAGCCAAGGAGAAAAGGGCATACCAAAGATGAGAGTGTTTAAGGAATGTTTGGGACAGGTTCCAAAGCTTTCAGATAACATTGAACATCATTTGTAAGGTATGTTCGGTCCCAAAACCATCAGGTAACATCAAAGAAAATCATTATGCACTTCAGCCAAGGAGAAAAAGGCATACTAAAGATGAGAGTATTAAAGACATGTTTGGTACAGGTCCCAAAGCTTTCAGATAACATTGAAAAGCATTTGTAAGGTATGTTCGGTCCCAAAACCATCAGGTAACATAACAAAAACATTGTAAAGGTATGTCTATGTTTACACCAGTCCATTAGTCAATGGGTAACATTGAAAAACATTTTTTAGATGTTGACAAGTATTGACAATTATTTATAAAGTATGTTCACCACAGGACCCAAAGCCATCGGGAACATGGAAAAGCATAGACAAGTTTTAAGGTGTATCCTGCAGCTGTCAACAGTAGCAGAATTTTCATATTCTTAAAGTTTGATTCTTCTGATCTAGTGTGAGGGTGAGGGTGATCCCATAAGATTTTGATTTTCACTTGTGGTATAGATAGAGGAGAGTTTTGAGGCAAAGACAGTGTGATGTTTGACTCACCCTACTGATTCCTCCAGGCAGCATATGTGAAAGAGAATAGCTACCTCCATGGGGGTGATCTGGGAATATTGCTGGGCTGCATGAAGAAACTCCTCTGGAGGGAGAGAAAAAAAAGGAAGAGAATATTTCAAGATAATACATGATTCTTAGACATGCATAGTGTATTACATTCTTTTGGTTCTCTTTTCACTTGCTTTGGATCCTTTATTGCAAAGAGTAGGCATCCCTGGAGTTTTTTAAAAATAATAATCATTTTTATTATCATTCTGCAGGCCTAAATAACCCTGAAAATTCTCACCTACTACTAAAATTAATTCAAGTTTTGGAGAATCCCACTATACATGTCTTTGATATATTCATTTCTCCATCTACTACACACTTCAAAGTCACCACAAAATGCACTGCAATAATTGCTGCGGTTTCAGAAATTAGAGCGGCTTCCTCACAATCATTCCAACTATCTCTGACTCCTCCTTTTCCCATCCCTCCTCCCCACACCCCTACTGTCATATCAGAAACTGGTTTGGTATCCTTAACATTATTCAACTATCACAGACTCATCCCTTCCCCTTCCTAACCCCCTCCTCCCCACACCCCTACTGTCATACCAGAAACTGGTTTGGTATCCTCAACATTATTCAACTATCACTGACTCCTCCCTTCCCCATGACTCCTCCCTTCCCCATCCCTCCTCCCCACACCCCTACTGTCATATCAGAAACCGGAATGAATGGCTTCCTCAACATCATTCATTGATCCCTGCATCTTCCCAAATACTACCCTTCCCCCTTCCCCTGTCTTCTTGGTTCCTAAAAGGCTTATTGGCCACTAAGATCTGCAACCTGGTTCAAAGTTTATCATGATCACAAGAACCTTGACAAAACCCAATAAATGACTATGGTGACCTTTGTCTGTTAAGGTCAAGACCTTGAAGGTTGAGGTCGTAACCTTACTTACCCTTGGTTACAGGATGCGTATGGGAGCCACCGGTGGTCTGTTCATAGATCTTCTGCATGAGTTCCATGTCCCTAAGAAGACTGATGAAGGCGTTGAAGTACGGGAAGCTGACCAGATGTTTGGTCTCTCCTCCTGCCACCTTGAAAGAGTCATGAAAAAGGTTATTTCATAAAAATACTCTTCATACCCTTGAAGTGTGACATACTGGTATTAATATTAATAACAATATTGGATATTCATGTAGCGTACATATCCACCATGCATGGTATTCCAGGCTCTCCAACTATTACCCTCACTGGCTCTGCTAGGCTGCCGATTTCAGCGCTCACAGCATTCAAGGAATTCCTTCCTACTGGTACCCATTTAACACCTGGGTGAAGAGTGGCAAAAGTAGATTAATATCCTGCCAAAGGACATTAGTGCAGTGTGGCGGGACTCGAACCGTGGACCCTGTGATTCACAGTCGAACGGCTTATCCACTAGACCACAAAACCTCAACAGTCACAGTAAAGACAGGATTCCTAGAATTTCATAAAACAAAATTCCACATTCCTTTTCCAACCTTTTCAAAGTCTGAAACATGTATATGCTGTGAGGACATGAAATAAAATATGAGAGATTGTCAGTGCCAGCGTTCGGGGGTGCGTCGAATGGTCTACTCACACGTCCCATTTAAGCTGTAGTTGAGAGTGTATTCAAACTTGCAATATCTCTTCATAGGAGTAATATTTGGAACCAATTTCTTGAATATAGTATAGCAATGTGGAGCCGCTTACATACAGAGCAAACTATTTTGTGGTGATTGGTATACATGATGTGCAGATTACAGCTATATCCATACCTGCCAACCTGAGACAAGAGAAATTAGGAGTAAATTTTTCTGGATGGACTACGAGGTCGCGAACCACCGAAGGATTGGGGTAGTAGCCCGTAGATTGGGGGGGGGGGGAACTAACGATCATGTTCGGGCTGCGCTGTGTATATCTTCTATGACCGCGAGCGCGGATGTCGACGTGATCTGGTTATCAGTGCTGTGTTATGCTTTAGTCTTATACATACATACATACATACATATTGGTATTTATTGAGCGCCTTTACATGAACATGCTCCAGGCGCTTTACATTTCGAAATACAAACATAATAGTTATATACTCTCCAAGTGCATTACACTAAAAAAAAAAAAAAAAAAAAAAAAAAAAAAATTAAATTAAAAAAAAATCGGAGTTTTGAGGCATGCATTCGGAATTCGGAGTTGGTATGAAAAATGGGGAGGAACTCCGCCTAAATCGGGGTGGTTGGCAGGTATGTATATCCACTAATAACCCTGACACAAAGTTATAATTAACACTTCCATAATATTATGATCATTGAAATTCACTAGGGCAATTCTGGTTGTAAAAGAAAAGAATTTGGAAAATGTTATATTTCACTGTATTATAGATAAAAAGTTTATTGGTTTCCGCAATATATCATTTTACAAAGAGCCTAACAACGTATTGAAAATGATTATAAACTACATGTACATACAATATCGGTACACACTATTCAGAAAATTGTCCTTCAGTTGAACTTAAGAGAAATAGTTGAGAATCTATATACTTACTGTGACCAGGTTGTCTTGGACATAGTCAGTCAGCATGTGACCCAACACGGTGGACATGATCTTGTTGAAGTCTAATGCAGAAATCATGCCTACGTTGTTCTTGTCCATTTTGACAAAGGCTTGTTTTGCATGCTCCTCTTGCAAGTTCTGTAAAAAAAGAAATTTGCATAGATGTCCAAGTAACATTAGTAAAAAACAACCCATTTTTCAATATCACCGTAAATAAAAATATCATATTCATAACTTTGAAATTTCATCCAAATTATTTTTAATTGTAACATAATTCAAATTTTGATAAAATTTAAAACAGAGAAATTAATCAAAATTGTATTACGATTCTTACATAATTTTGTTAAGCATAATGTGGTGTGACCTTGATTGCAATCTCATTGTCAATGTAATTATACAATAAAATCGAGATTAGACTGAAGTAATTATTTGAGCACATATTATATTGGCATTGTCAAATAATATCTATGAAGATCAAGATGTAAAACAATCCTACAGCTGAATTTCTAATCCTGTATAATTACATCTAAGTTAATAATAAAATATATAAACAGAAATAATTACACATTTCTTAGAATGACTTTAGCTCATTTTCTGCTTTAAATTCTCAGCAATATGATAGCATGTATAAAATGCAACAATGCATTTAATTACAGAATAAACTTTACGATAGATTACTATCTAAAATCATATTGAAAACTAAATATATTTATATATTTTCAACAGGATTTTGCCTTACATGTAGAAACTGTGTGAATTCCACAAAGCTGAGCTCTTTTTTCTTTTCCGTTCCGAAATGTAGTTTGATGAAAGTGGAGTCAAAGTTGAATGGGATTCTCTGGTACACTTCTGTAAGGCTGAAAACTTGCTTGAATTCATCTGGAAGAGTATACAGAATTATAAGATACAAAAATAAAATTTCCCTTTCCCTACTAACAATTTCTCAAACCTAGAATAGGGTTAATTATAGGGTGGGGGGGGGGGGGGGGGGGGAGAATTTCTGTTAAAATGTATGTACATTTCCTGAACTTCAGATTATTAACCACCACCATATTTTATGTTAACCACAATTGAAAAACATTCCCTTCTATATTACACCTAACAAATGGAAAAATGACAAACAGTAGCTGTTGTTTCACTCATGTATTTATTTCATTCAGTCATGCTTTTCTCTTCTCTTCTACTTCTTGTAATTTTTAAAGTTCTATGCAGCCTATCCCAAAGATCTTTATGTAGTTTACCCATTGTGAATTACAGGCACACTAAAATCCAGGTTTACACCCTTTTTGCAAGTGTAGCATATTAACGTACATAGGTGTGACTATCCTACATGCATATGGAAGCAGGAGATCGTCAAAAACATGGATATACGTCGTGTCGTAATTCGAATTGCCACACTACCTAAATAATTACGTTGTGTCGTAATTCGAATTGCTACACGACGTAATTCCGAATTACTGCCCAACGATTTAACGTAATGACGTTAAATGAATTAACTACACGACGTTAAATAATTAAGGTCGTGTAGCAATTCAAATTACTACTCGACCTAAATAATTACATCGTGTAGTAATTCGAATTGCCACACTACCTAAATAATTACGTTGTGTTGTAATTAATTACTGCTCAACGATTTAGCATCGTGTAGTTAAATCATTTAACGTCGTGTAGTTAATTCATTTAACGTCGTGTAGTTAAATCAACCAATGAGGTCTTTCGTAATATATGCGATGCGAACATCATATTTGCGCGCCAAAAATATGTATACGATGCGTGTTCGTGCGCGCTATAGTAGTGGCCGGTCTTCGCATCGCATATATTACGAACGGTCTCATTGGTTGATTTAACTACACGACGTTAAATGATTTAACTACACGACGTTAAATCGTTGAGCAGTATTTAATTACAACACGACGTAATTATTTAGGTAGTGTGGCAATTCGAATTACTACACGACGTAATTATTTAGGTCGTGTAGTAATTTGAATTGCTACACGACCTTAATTATTTAACGTCGTGTAGTTAATTCATTTAACGTCATGACGTTAAATCGTTGGGCAGTAATTCGGAATAAAGTCGTGTAGCAATTCGAATTACGACACGACGTAATTATTTAGGTAGTGTGGCAATTCGAATTACTACACGACGTAAGTATTTAGGTAGTGTGGCAATTCGAATTACGACACGACGTATATCCATGTTTTTGACGGTCTCCTGCTTCCATACATGCAGGGCCTCCACTTTATGTTCTATCCGAGGAACAGAGTGTTCTCCCCTGAACCCGAGCATGCATCAAGAACAGAGGGAGCATATTGATTTGATTTGATTTGCTTTATTGGTTTCTGCATCTTTTTTCTTTCTTTTTCATCATACATTTTCATGATACACTTCTGTAAGGCTGAAAACTTGCTTGAATTCATCTGGAAGGGTAACAAAATAAGGTGTGACTCTCCTACACCCAGGGCCTCCAGTTTATGTTCTATCCGAGAAACAGAGTGTTCTCCCCTGAACTGGAGCATGCATCGAGAACAGAGGGAGCATATTGGGAGCAAGACAACAATCTGATTCCATCATTTTTTTCAAATTTTACTTTGTACTGATTGTAATGAATCGTGTAGGACTTACTGAAAGAGACAAATCCTGAGCCATTGGTATCAAAGAGCTGAAAAGCTACCATATGAGTGGCATCAGGAGAACAGAGCATTGCTTCAAAGGCCTGGAACTCAATGAATGATATATACCTGCAGCATCAAGGATATAAAGCAAAGATTATATTAGCATCTCCTAATTTAACGGAATCAGCAAGTTAAAACGGAAATACAAGAACTGTTAAAATGCAGGGTGTCAAAACATGAACATATTTGCTGCATTGGAAATACACTTGCATCACTCATTATCCTATCGCCCCGTTGTATGCAATTCTTTTTTGGTTTAACACGCATATTCCGTAGACTCCAGCCGGGGTTATCCGGATCCAGGGGGCCCAGGCCCCCTCCCCTCTACAAAATATATTTTATCTCATTCTTTATCAGAAATGTTGATAGTAAAAAGTAGTTAATGTGCATTGCATTTAAAACGTTATTCTAAACAAAATGTATTTAACATCCTACATCACATTGCAAATTAAAAGACTGAAAGACTGAAAATCATAACGCAACATGTGGGAATGAATTTTTTCAGAACTGCTTGTAAATTTAGAAATACTGGAGGTTCAAAGAAGAATCTATGACTGACCCATCTTTTGTTTGATCAGCGACACCAGCTAGTAGCTTGAGAGTATCCGGGTTGTAATTCCTCTCGGGCTGCATGTTGAGGTACCCTCTGATGAAATCTTCAGGGGTCATGAAACGCTCCCCACCCTGCTCAATGCTTGCATTCTGAAAGAAAATATATGGAGAAATAGAAAGTATAAATTGCAACTCTGTGATAAGACAAAGTATGTGGGTCTCTGTGTTAAGGTAGTCACAATCTTTACTAAAGGATATAAGTGCTATGCTTGGGACCAACCCCAAGATCTTTGTACATTAACTTTTATGTTTACACCACACGACTGTGACACAAGGGAGGAGAGACTTAAGGGTCACTGTAATTAAAATCACTCTTCCCCTCCCAGGCACCAATGCAACCAAACACTTAGTATTTAATACTAATAATAACACTCCATGAAGATAACTGGAGTTAATACAACACTAGATATATCATATCATTATCAGCCCTATGACAAAACGTATAATTGTTTGAATACTTGTGTACATTATAATATACTCACTTTGCTGAAAACATTACGGAGCTGGACCGGATCTGCTCTCTTCACAAGGTGAAGTGCCTATGAAAAAGGAAAAGTAAAATGGATTAGTCCAAAACAGTTGTTCATTTTGTATCACAAATGCTACAAAGTATAATGGATGATCGAAATCCATGAACACTGAAATTATTTTAATAGTTGGTATGATTCAAGCTCAAGCAGCTTTAAGAACTTACTAACATCTTTAGGCATACTCAAATCTTTGGTATTGTATCAATCATAACTTGTTGCTAATGGGGATATCAAAGATATGTTTGAACCAAATATCAAAGTCTGAGACCATGATCTTAAAAACTATATCTGTTTCCGTTTCAAGTCATATGCAACCCAGAGACCTTTGTTAAAGATACAGGGACATTTCAAAATGCTACATGACAGCCGACAAGACATTATGTCAAAAAAATCTAAGGAAATTATGTTAAAATGATTGAGGCAAGAATGAGAGTTGAGGGAACCAATCCTCCGAACTGATTTGCATAGCACTAAGCATAGTACACATAAATCATCACCCTATGTAAACTATATGAGATGCATTTGAATATTTTACAGGTAAGAGCATGAATGACACAGAAGCTCAGAGTTTGAAACTCCTGTGCCTGTCATAATGAATGAAATGCATCAACTTGTCTTACAAAAAATACTTTCCATTTATTTTGAGCGTAATCTTAATTCACTAAAAACTAAACAAAAGTTCTTTAAAAGATGGTAATTGACCCCGGCTAAAGATGAAATGGTGGATGATTAAATCTGTTGCCTTACCCGACGTGTTGCAGACGATGCAGATTCACACGAGGCTGTCTTGAAGAACATATTGTCAGCTGCTGTATCCAACCTAAATATCAATGAAAGGAAAAGGCAACGTGAAATTCAGTTGTAGTAGATTTACAACTCAAAAATCTTCATTATTCATATTTGAAATTGTTCTAAATAGGAATATGTTTGGTAAAATATTGTTTGTTTTTTGGTTGCACCAAACGAGTGGCTGTGCTCATCCTAATGGCAGAATCAGAATAGAGTATGTACTTACCTGGTCTATAAGCTAATAATGCAGAATTTCAGCAAGGCATTTGACAAAGTAGGACACCACAAAATGAATACATACAGCATTTTTAAAATATAATAAAAACAAGTTGAAGTTGACAAGATCTATCATCTAGTCTACTTCAAGATCAAGATTAACGTTTTCAAGAAGTCCAAGACTATTACTAGTAGTCATGGTAGTAGTAGTAATATAATGACTTTATTAATCATTATGTCACAAATAAAAGAATTGTTAACCTTGGCTTGATTTTTTTTATGGTAGCCTTGTTGTACTTTGTATGGTGGTGTGACCAAAGTTCGCTTTCTCCAAAAATCAGTAAGATTTCGAAAATCACCAATGGAAAGAGGCACATAAAATTACCCAGAGATGAAATTTTCTTTGGAATTGGGTACAAAATTGTGAAAATATTGACGAAAGATCGGCAAATTTTGCAATCATTTGCGTCCGTTCCGAAAAATTATCAACTGACCGATAAGGGTCTGAAAATCTTCAATTTTGACAGCAGATTTCCTCAAAATTGTAAGTAAAATGTTGTAGGCCCTACCAAATGATTGTATGATATCTTTCCTTGCAAATTACGATATTACCTTATTTTTGATAGATTGCTTTTTTGGATAAATCAACTGCAAACCCCTGTGCGTGAAGTTAGGTCTCGGTGTTTTTATAACTTTTTTAGATGCAGCGCGCATGCGCATGCACAATCGGACATCAAATCTTTAGAACGCGATTTTGACGATAAATTTTCTAGTTGAACCAATCTGTAGTAAAAAACTATGGTGTTCATTTGGTAATAATTGAAATAAATCTAAATACATCTGTGTAGAATATGAGAAATCATCGATCGAATATCACATTTTGTAAGTCTATGTTCTAAAATGTCTGTGAACTTTGGTCACCCCTTTATAATTGTTTGTAGGCCGAGACTTCCTAGAGCTAGATTTTAATTGAATAAAGACATGAAAGACTTCTTATACTATAGAACAGAACTACTTACTATATTATAAAGAAATGAGCTGAGCCTGAGACCAATCTTTATTACTGCTGAGTCGGGTGCCAGATTCTCTGAACCTGCGCTGCACTGCACTAGCTGCCAGACGGCGTCTCGACTCTCGTTTTGGATTCAGCTAGCACCCGAAGTTCAAGGGGTTGCTGTCACTTCCTCGGTGCGTGATAGCTGACCCCGCGGGAAGCAAGCAGCTCATGAAATCGATGGGTAGCGGCAGAAGTCACTGTAATACAGAAAACAAGATGATATAATGATGGTGAGATGATACAGTTAATGTGCAAAATTTCTAATATGGCTCGTCAATCAAATAATTATTGGCAAGATTGCATTTTTCAGAAATTATTATCGGAGCTGGAAAACATTGACTGACCGGACCTGGTGGTAACCTCCTCCATGCAGACGGAAGTTATATGAGCAAATCACATCCGGGGTCATGAATTTCGAGTTGTCTCGCGCGAAATCAAGATGGCGGGTAAGTTTTTTCATTCATCATAAAACTTGATAGCGAATAAAACGTATCACCTTCCCCATTGAATAAATTGAAATGTTATACCATTGTATTATGAGCACACTCAGTATGTCCTTGTCAAATATCCACATTCTTCTAATGTAGGTCTAGATCTAGGCTATTCTTTGTTGAGTCTGTTTTATTTTGACAGTGCAGACTGCTGACAGCTGCACTGCCTGTGCACTATGGCAGTGCAGTGCAGTGGAATGGAAGTCGGATGATAATAAAGATTGATGCAATGCCAATGTCATGATGGTAATGGCAAGCCAATGAATATGATACTGAATATGTTCATGAGTCGGTGTAATGTCTATTGCACTGGGCCTAGGGGACTTGATGTTGCAACAGTTACTTTTTAAGATTTAGTCAGACCAGTCAAATATTTATCAAAATCAAATCGTTTGATTGTATAAATCATGTGAAACAATTGTCAATTAGGCCTAGGCCTACTGAATTAGGTTTAGATCTAGGCCTATTTGTAAGTCTAGATCTATATGCAGTAGGGGCGCTGGTCGGAGAATAAGGATCGTTCGCATAAACGAGGATTGTCTGCAGAAAAGTGTCCGCAATTTCGTGGACGATTCTTAATTTACGATCTGCATGTTGGCAATGCAAAAAAACGGATTCTGCAATGATTTTCCCTATGCATTTCACATTGACTTTGTACAGAGACTTTAACGTTATGAGCGATTAATTCTCAGGAAGACGCGGACAACCCACAAAATTTATTACGCGTAGAGTAGCGGCTCCGGTGTGCGGCCGTCCAGTGGGAATTGCCGATTTTATTTTTGATGCAATTACTCACAGAATACTTCAATACCGTCAATAGAGAGTTCATATATTTAGTTATTAAATAGAAGGCACAAATAACGTAACTGACCCACAGCGTGGTCAGTACTGTCCACTTTAGAAGACGTAAAAGTTGCCCGGTTTGCGGCCGTGCGTAACCCGGTTTGCGGCACGCGTACGTCACAAAGCTTTATGCGCTACGTCACGATCAAAGCATATACCAAATTACTACGGGTAACCCAAATTCTCATGTTTATCTGTTGCTACGGTAAATTTTACAAGTTTTAAACAATTTCACCTTTTTACTGAATGGATCATCCCATACGGGGGTACGTACTACTAGAAACTATCGGGTCACAGCGGGTACACACATCAGCACACATACCATCATACACGATCCCGCATGTTATGTGTGTATTAACACCCCCCGCCGCAAACCAGAAAATCACGTAATTACGTGCCGGTTTGCGGCCACCCCATGCAACTGGCCATGCGGTGGCACAATCAAAATATCTGCGATAGGAGACAGACCACAGCCATCATACTTCCACAAAAACATCAAATTTCACCTCCAATCGGACAAATATCGGACAAATAGAGCTACAATATTGATCTAGTCATGCCTCGATCTCTTAACTTAAAAGTAAGCACCTGCTGGAATTTTCATCGCCGACTGGTGCCGTAGATTTCCGACATCGCTGACGGATACTCCGTACCGACAAGAGCATCTGCTACGGACGTTTTCGGCAGCGCAGAACTTACCGGGGAATCCACGGTAGGTTTCAATGAATATTATCGAGTCATTTTGATTTTATTTTGAAAAGTGATACCCCTGGCCGCAAACCGGGCTATGCCGTAAACCGGAGACTCTACTCTAATCCTTTTTTTGCATTGCCAGCGCCTGGATCGGGAACCTGAAACCCGCAGAGCGCCCAAGAAAAAAACGTCTGAAAAATACGGGCGATCCTTTTTTTTTAAGGACGCAATTTGTTTGTGTTTACATTGATATCCTCATTTATGCAGACAATCCTCATTCTCGGACCAGCACCCCTACTGATATGTGGAAGAATCCCATCAATCCTCAATCGACGTCGACGTCATTCTCAGTTGATGTTGAGGCTTGTTTACTGTCCAATGCATAAAATTAAAAACCTGCAGGAAACACTGCCCTCCCACTTAATGGGAAGTTGATGGGAAGTAAGGGGGAAAAAGGTACCTACACTGTAACAGCAACGGAAGCGGCATGGGCCGAAGGAGAGTCCTGCTCTTGTGTGATCTCAAACTCTTGAAAATCACTGAAGAAACAACCTTATCAACAAACAGTGATGTTAAAGCCCCTCTTAAGTGTTGGGAGCCCCTACAATTTGATGGCAAAATTTCACTTAAATTGTATCATAACTTGAAAGAGGGTATCATTTAACAGGTGGACTTACCGTAGTTAAATCTAACTTTGATCATCTCAAAACTGGATTTGATTATTTTTGCTTTCCCTTTTTATCATAACAAGACTTTAATAACATGGGGTGTACAGTCTTTGAACTTTTCCATGAAAAAAAACAATGTTCTGTTTCTGCTTTCAGGTGCTGTAGCTAACAACATGGATAGCATGAGGAGTGCCCTGGAGGAGTTTATTTCTAGAGCTAATGATGTTATAGAAATGAAGCTAGGTAAGTAAGTTGCCCTCCTCGTGGAGCAGTAACCAGAGGCCTGTTTCTCGAAACCGTCATAAGTCTAACTTCTTTACGATTGAAATGCGTGTTAATTCTATAACACACATTTCAACGTGATAGTAAAGAAGTTAGACTTATGACAATTTCGAGAAACGGGCCCCAGTAGTCTATTTTGTGTGGTCCCGATTCTCAATTTTTCATTTTTTAAAAATAATTTGATAAAAAATGTATGAACCATTTTTGTTACCATTGAAATATGATTTAAAAATTTAGAATGAATATTAAATGATGAAATTCAGTCTTTCTTTTGCATTTCCTTCATTCATACATTGAATATGAACACTTCTCATTTTTTCTATGATCTTTCCATTTGTTAAAACTTGATTTAGTCTGTCTGTTCTAAGGAGGACATTGAAGCAACCAGTAGTCTATTCATGTTGTCCCATTTTTTTTTTTTTTTTTTGGATGATCAAAATTTATAAACCATTTTTGTTTCCAGGTGTGAATTAAAAATATAGAAAGAAACTCAGTCTTAAGCATTTCGTTTATTTAAACATTAAATATGAACACTTCTCATCTTTTCTATGATCTTTCCATTTCAAAAAACTTGATTTAGTCCGTTCTAAGGAGGACATTGAAGATTCTACCAGGTCCTTTGCTCCTGAATTCACACATCAGATCTTTGGTGAAAAGTAAGTTTTCAGTAATGTGTAGTCATTTTAAGTCTGGTAGGATATTCTTCTAAGATTGTGGGAATTGTAGATTTCATCAAGTTTTGAAGCGTGAAACAACGTTTCATTATAGTAGGCTAATGATGAAACTGAAAGAATTGTAGGTTTGTTTAAAGGTGTAAGAGTTGAATAGTAATGATATTTTAAAAACTCAGTTTGATGATTGGCACGTTGGAAGGAGAATACAACCCCATAAACTTGGTTTTTAGTTTTTGAACATTCTTGTTCTCAAGTCACTAATATGAAGTGTTTATTTCTGTGAGACGCATACATCTCCCCTTCATACCCATGGTCATTGTTGAAATGTGTTTAACTTATATTTTTCATATCGTATTTTCCATGAATACTGTGTCTTTTCTTTATGGCCCACTTAGTTGCTGGTATGATATAACTTAATAATACATCCCACATTTCTGTGATTTGCAGTGAAACGGTATTTGGATACAGAGGTCTGAAAGTGCAGCTGTACTTTTCAGCAGCCAGGCTTACACCTTACCTAACATACACATTTGAGGAGAAGGTCAATCCAAAGAAGTTTGATGGAGTACAAGTGAGTATAAGCCCACTACAGTGACAACACACAATTTGACTGTGATCCGATTTCGGAAGAATTTGCGACAGCTTTAAAGATGAACGTAAAACCTGAAATTCATCATGATTGATATTTTGAATAGTCATCAATATTGAGAATAACAGTCTAGGACTATTGCAAGTCTTCTTGTAGGAGGAAAATCCAAATCAGCCCTGAATCGTTGAGACATCAGACCATTTGTATGCTTGTCTACAGTTTAGAGCAAATGTGGTCTTCATGACATCTATAAGGCCTTCATTGCAACAAAATTTGTTTTTAATGATCATATCATTAGTTAGAACTTGAGTCAGGATGATTGCCTTTGTTTAAATTACCATATCTAATGCAATATTTGGAAAATCATGTGTGTTGAGACAAATTGTGTGTTGGGCTTATTGAATTGGTTATATGTTGAGTTGAGAACAAATTATAAATGTACTATTCAGATCATAGGTACTACATGTTATGGCTGTCAACAAGTTGTTGTCTCAGAAAACTGAGAGAGGCAGAGAGCATTTGAAATGTTTGGCAGTGGGGATTCATATGGATTTATACTGTGCACATCTTATAGCCACTGCCTTATTTGGAGTCACTGAGATATTTGCAGGACCTTTTAGTTTGTACTTCAGAAATTTCAAGCCCATACTCATTCTGTGCATCACCTTAATCCCTTTGGAGTAGAATCATGATGTGTTCCATTAACTTCATGCAGGGAATTAGCAAATATACAATCACAATGACTTGTCGTAGTTCTCACAGCTCTTGTACTTAACATGTTTCCATTCTCTCTTGGGTGAAGAGTGGCAAATGTAGATGTGCCTTGCCCAAGGGCACAGTGATTCTGAACAGTTTAAGGTTGAATGTCTCTTTAACTTCAACCTTTAGGGCATTATTTTTTTTCTTCTTCAAATTGTTAAACGTAATTCTGATTTGGACAACTATTACCAGTACTATTTAGAAAGATAGAAAGTAATCTTTAATTGATAGTATGTTAACAAATCATTGAAATAAGTTTCACATAGATTTGTGGATTCTTTTCCTCTCATGCTTCCACCAGGCGGACCCCATTCTCAAGCCCATCGTGGAGAAGCTGGAGATCACGCCCATGGACAACCTCGACCGGTTTGTCGCCAGCCTGGACGAAGACGTCGGCTTCCAACCGATGGGGGACCTCCTCCACTCCTACTCCAACACAGACGAAGCCCACGGTGCCACGAGACACTTTGAGATCTACAAGTGCAACGTCATGACCCCTGGATTCAAGGAGTTCCACTCGCACCTGCAGACGTTCTTGTGGTGGTTCGTGGACGCGTCTTCTTACATTGATTTTGATGATGAGAGGTGGATGTACTATACAATGTGAGTTGGATCTCTGATGTAAATGTTATCATGGTCATAAATTTCTGTTCTTTTTAAACTTCAAAGTAGGGGAAGAGGGGTTTGAGCAAAAAAGGAGGTCTTCAACTTAAGATTTCATCTTCAATTGTCACCTGTGTGTCAGGAAAAGGGAAATATAAACCATGCTTTATACAATCTTGCATTACAAATAAATAATAAATATGGAAATATTAGAATATAGGAAGGGGGACATTTGTTTGTTTGTTTGTTTGTTTTTTGTTTTTTCTGCCACCTTAAAAGGGGGTAGTGAGAGGTAGGAAAAAAATATCCTCACTTATGCGCAATCTGTTCCCTTGATAGCTTGAGTAAAGTGTTATGTTTGTGAATCTGGACTTCTGGTTATGGTGTAATGCAGTTATGCAAATGAAAGCAGGAATGATAAAAACAAAGAAGTAGATATAGACTTTCAGTCTTGTCATTGAACATAGTGTATGTACAGAGAATGAAACTACCCAAAAGCTGGTTTTTAGGTATACATTAAAATTATGTTGCATCAATTTCGACAATATCACTGATGGATAATGTACACACAAGAAAAATGAGCCATTTTTAATGAATCATTTAAGTTTAAATTAATTTCCTCCCACAGCTTTGAAAGGTATCCCCACGATGGAACAAAGCGGTACTCAACAGTCGGTTACTCAACGGTCTACAGGTACTATGCCTATCCAGATAAGATCAGGCCAAGGATAAGGTAGGTGCAGCTTTGATTTTCAGTGTAATTATTTAACATACGGAGGGGTCAGTGACACAAAGACGTAACTCCATTTTGGCCACTTTGAGTAAAAGTGGTTTATGCGCACTGAGCACTTGGACCTTACAGAGTCAAGTCTATGTTTCACTAGCCATTGACTTCAATGGGGTGTTGGGTGGAGTTAAGTCTGTGTTTCCCTGAAAGCCTACATTTTTCCTGAACATTTTTATATCAAATACTTATTTTGGCAAAATATGGAGTTACGTCTTTGTGTCACTGAAACCTTATTCATATTCATATTGGTCTGAAACTTGCATTGTTGATGCAGGATATCAAATTTGACCAAAAAGCATGTTCTTTCACTAAACTGATTTGATGAAAGTTTTTGTTATGCATGCTAAATTTTGTGATCTTAAGAGTTGTGACATGCTTTACATTGAATTTAAAAAGTGAGAAACTTGCAGGAAATTTGTGGTTGCGATAATTATAGCCTGTCTGCACTAGTTTAGCCAGGAGGGATTAGACCGCTCTGCAAGGTCACTGGACAGGTGGTTATCTCATCAAATCAGCTCTCAATTAACATAAGAAAAAGGGGATTGTTTGCTATGTAGAGGGCGCAATTAGCTACAAGTAGTGCATTCTTGCTTTAAAGGCAAATATTGGATATTACCCTATGTGTAATTATTGCTTCAAGGCATGATGAATTAGTCTTTTGGATGTGATCTTGTTTCAGTCAAGTCCTCTTATAATTCCCCCACCATTTCAAAGACGAATGCCATGGAGCTCATTTCTTCAGTCTGGCTTCTTTATGACATTTGAATGACTGAATACAGACTAAAGCTTTTCTTGTGATCCTCATTCTACATTCCCACATTCTGAATGCAAGACCATGAGCTCAGTTCTTCAGGAACCTTGTATGTTGACACTAGTGACTTCTTCGTGTTTTGATTATCGACCGTTCATCTTTGTATTTTGATCTTGTTTCAGTCAAGTCCTGATCCTCCCACCATTCCAAAGACAAGGCCATGGAGCTCAATTCTTAGAGACCATGTATGCAGACTTCAGGAAAGACACGGAAGTGCTGGATATCACAGGTGAAGAGGGAAATAAATAATGTCAGAATATTTTACTATGTTTGTATATTAATAAGCAATAAGAATGATTCTTTTGTCTTTCAAGGGCTGTTGATGGCATATTAAGTTTAAATGAGCATTAACGAGCTATCACTAAAATTATACGTTTGATATCACTTTCAGGTGTAGAAGATTTGAATCTGGATTTTATTATTTACTTTGACATGGTAGACATAATTTCTGCATAAAAGATATTGGAACTATACACCATGTTAGCAAAACTCTCGTTTGATAAAATTCTGATACCTTTGCATGATTTTTTTTAAGAGTACCTTTGGGCAAGTTGTCACAGCTTTCTCACTGATATTTTACATTTTAAATTTGGTATTGAAGGGGTATCTTAGGAAGTGTGATTTCTGCCTCTAAAACTCTCTGTTATGTAGAGGTGTCGTGGTCGGGTGGATATGTCACCGGACTGTGGATCACGAGGCCTGCGGTTCAAATCCGGCTGCAGCACTTATGTCCTTTGGCAAGACAATAATCTACATTTGCCACACTCAACCCAGGTGATGTAAATGGGAACTTGACAGGACTTAATTCTTTGAAATGCTAGACCACCCTAATGGCAGCCATGCTAAAGGAGGGGTGTCGAGTCCGACAGATATGAGAGCTATACAAGGACCCATTATTATTATTATCTGTCTGAAGTTTGCATTTTTCATTAACCTTCTGTTCTATATGCCTTTCCAGTGGAAGACCCATCTGATGATTTTGTAAGGCTGAGGGACTTCATAGACTGCAGGGCCTGTGCCCAACTTCCTTCCTTCGCACCGGAGAACCTCCCCAAAGGATTGTGTGATGCCATGGAGAAAGAAGCTCTGGAGAAACTCAAGTTGAACAAGGTGACTTTTGACTTATCATACCTTGGAAGTATTATACCTTGAAAGTAGGCATAAAGTTATACAAAACTTATTTGCCCCTCTGTGTCCACTATTGGGTTACTCTTGAATCTGTGCAGTTACAGATGAACATGGACTGTTGAATAATTTATCAGGATTAAACTTGTCCTTCTTCAGTGACCAGTACTTAGAAGGTTATCTGAAAGAGTGGAGATTTAATTAAGTTAAAAATCCCTTTTTTTTTAACAAGAAAAGTTAGAATTGTATAGGAGGAAGTATGATGTTGTTTTGTTTACTCATTTAAGCCCCACTGTACTACTTATAGCTACCATACCTGCCAACCACCCCGATTTAGGCGGAGTTCCTCCGCATTTTTCATACCAACTCCGAATTCCGAGTGCATGCCTCAAAACTCCGATTTTTTTTAATTTTAAAATATTTTTAAAACAAACGACTGTTGCATAAGACTAAAGCATAACACAGCACTGATAACCATATCACGCCGACATCCGCGCTCGCGCTCATAGAAGATATACACAGCGCAGCCCGAACGTGATCGTTAGTTCCGTGTACTGCAGTCATTATCCATGTACTGCATGTACTAGTACATGGAAGCACGTGCGCAAGCTATATCGATAAAGTGTGTGCGGACGTTGTACTAATACATACACTACATGCAGCGTTGTTGCATAGTAACTGCATGCGTATAGCCCACGTGTATTTATATTACATGTGCAGTTGATACACCGTGCATAAACGCTGTATACATTGGCGTGTTTTCTTCAATGCTTGTGCGATGACTGCGATCGTGGAAGCTTGTTATTTACCGGACTTCCTCGGATTTATTTTGGATTACTACTACTATATACCTTTGCAAAATAGGGCTCCTAACTGAGGTGGGTAGTGAAACATGTAGTTTTGTGAGTGTTCACATTTTGATATTTCAAAAATTGTTTATGTGTGGGGCGAAAAGGTTAAAGGAAATGGCCCATTTGCACCATTAAAATGGAGAGAAAAAAAAATAGACCCTAAAGTCCTGTGTACCCCCCCCCCCCCCAATCTACGGGCTACTACCCCAATCCTTCGGTGGTTCGCGACCTCGTAGTCCATCCAGAAAAATTTACTCCTAATTTCTCTTGTCTCAGGTTGGCAGGTATGAGCTACTTGCGCCCTCTGTACAGCCAACATTGCCTAAGCGGTACCCGTTCATTCCCCATGATGCCCTTTAATTGAGAGCTGATTTGATGAGATAACCACCTGCCAGTGACCTTGCAGGGAGGTCTAATCCCTCCATGCCTAACTAGTCCAGAGGGGCTTTAATATGAGGAAATAAGATTTAATCTTGTATATAAAAAAGGTTCATCACAGACAATCGTTAACGTTTTTTAAAGAAAAAATGCAATCTAATCTACTCAGAGAGTAGGTATCTTACAAATCATTTCAGTGTACCTTAATTAAAGGAAAAACTTTCTAAAACAAAAAGGTTTTGGGGGCTTAAAACGTAAATAGTTAATATTCCTCTAGGCTTCATAACTGACATTAATGCAATTAAGTATTAAGCATGTATTGTGTTTCATTTGCAGAAACAAGTGAGGAAGATTTACGAGATCCTGCGGCTCAAATCAACAGACTACAGTAACACAGAGCATGCCAAGGCATACAGACTGGATGTGAAGAAGAGACTCAATATTCCTTTTCAAGTGAGTGTTCATTTGCTCAGATATGGAGGAAAATGGAGAAGGGGCAAATGAGGTTAAAAAAAAAACCTCCATGTATGTGTCAGAGAAGACAGCTGAGAAACAAGATAAGGGAAATGAGAAGAGTTTCAGGTGTAAGGATGAGATAGGAGAAAGTTTGAGTAGAACATTATGTAATTTGTAGACAAACCCCTTCCCCCTCCCCCCCCCCCCCAAAAAAAGGAAATTGTTATGGTCTTGGTAACCAAGGACAGGTTTGGGAGAAGATATTGTATGTTACAGGGAATGACCGAGGAGAAGTGTGCAAAATACATCAGTAATGACTTGCCATAGTCCATAACATAGTTTGGCATTCTGTTGGTGTTATAAGCGAATACTGGAGATCTATAGTAAAGAAATAATAGATGTGAATCTTTTGTCTATGTTCGTTGTTTCTACGTTTTGTATTTATTTTTGTGTGATTAATTGTGGTCTTTCAGAAACAAAAGGCTGACTATGAGAAGCTGAAGAAGGTGCTGAAGCCCGAGGAACTGACGGCAGCAGAAGAAGGGACCAGTCTGGAGGAGAGGCATCAGACCCTTGAGAAGTGGTTCCAGCTCCTCCTGGAGGACTACCGCAAGGTCCTTGACCGCCTCTCGATGTCCGACTGATGATGGTCGATTGTGAAAATATACCCCATGGAATTGATTGTAGATGTAAGAACTGTGAGGGTTCTGGAGTTGACGTGCCAGCAGCCAAAACTGAACATGTGAAAAAGAACACTTTATTGTCCAACGCTGCATTAATTTGACGATTTCTGGCTAGGGAAAGCTCACCTTAAAGGTTATTCATCCATTCTCCTCTTCCTATTTTGCATTATTTTCAAGTTGTTAAATTGTATCCATTCAGACTAGTGAAAAGTTTGCATGAATATAGAGTAGGAGTAGGCCTACTCTGTGCTTTTTAAAAGTGCTTGTCAGGTGGACAGATTTTGTTTGGGGGGGGGGGGGGGGGGGAGGGGGGAGCTTTTGGTTTTGTTGGAACAGAAAACAACCACCTACACACCATAAAATGGCATTGGACAATGAAATTGTTGAGTAGATCATTTTATACAAATGTGATTATGTGTAAATTCCATTTAATGGTCCTTTACTTGTTAGTTGCCATTTCACTTTGCCAAGTACATTATTCATGTCTACTTAAAACTAGACATCCAGTATCTATGTTGCTGTATGGATTATACAAATTCATCCATTAATTATGGTTAATGAACAATGTGCAAGAATAATTTGGGTGAACAGAGAGGCTCTACTACCTCAAGATATAAAACCCCGGGTTCACCTTCAGATCAGCGCTTAACCACTTATTTATTTATTTATTTTCAGTTTTATTCAAACAGGGTTGCCACTTCAGTTTAAAAAATGCTGTCCTAGAGGGCCCTGAATAAAAAAAAAAATACAAAACAAAATTATTGATACAAAATATACAATTGCATACTAGACAATCATAATGTAGAACTTACAGAAATAGAATTTACCACATATTAAAGCTCACATATACATTAGTATACAAGAAAATGACTTTAAATTTGTACTTAAGAAGTGAAATGTGGAGAGAAGCAGACAGAAAAAGAAATGGAAGGTTGGATAGTTATGACAAAGACGAAAAAGAAAAGGAGAAAACAGTGATAGAAGGGAAGGCGACTGTGAGAGGATGTAGGTAGTAGGAGTAGGTAACCGTTTGTTTGATAATGGAGGTTGACAGGATGGTATTGAGTCTACAAACATATCATCATTACAGCATAATTTTATAACTTATAATTTATGCTTTTATTATGTATGCTTTGTATCATAGTAGGCTTAGAAATAATGAACATAAATTACTTTGGATCTGGATAAGATGCATGATATGTATCTATTTGATTTTGCAGCAATTTGAGACTTATTGAAAGGTAGTGTGAGAACCGAGGAAGCAGTAGAATTTTATCTTAAAATGAATTTACATCAGATATCACACTTCTGCGCACACTTCAACTATCTTACGGTTCACACACTTGTAACTATCCAATTAGTTTCAGAAAAGTATAACCTGTCAATGATATTTACCCAAGAAAAATAGAAGTAACCCGTTTTATGCAGATTCCCCTTTTATGTAGAATTGTTAGAATTAAGTACACAACAAAACAAGTGGTTTGTATGGTACCGGAGTTTGGCTCATGTGGGAGATAAGTTGGCAGACTTGCATTAGACGAGTGATTTTTGTGTAAAAGTACGGTAATACACTTTTAATTTCCTCTTGGGATATCTTTGTGTCAAGTTTTTTCATTTGTTCATTTCCAAGTGTCATGGAATGATATTTCCAGAGAATATCATAGATATTTTAATACAAATCTGCAAATTAATGATATATTAACCCTTTATGAGGTACTTTCACAAAATTTGTGTTTCCTATCGACCATTCATCAAATCTATGAAATATTGAATTTTATCTACTTTGTTACAGAATGAAATTGTGGTCATTCAATATTTAACAAAGCTAATTAAATTTGATGTACAGTTGATAGGAAACTTAATTGTTTTGAAAGTACCTCACATTAGTTTAAATATTTCATCAAAACACTTGGAATTGACCTTTATGGTTTCTATAATTGATTTTGTACTACATGTGGTAGTACAAAATACAATACCTCAAGGATTAGCAATAGGTGTTTGGAAAGTTTTGTTTTGATGTTGGTGCTGAACGACAATGTATGTGGAATAAGACTGATTGAACAACGGTTTTATAATATTTGAAGGCATTATTCTGTCCCACCAATACGAGTAGGTTCTCAACTGGTATGCTACGTTATACAACCTGGTTACAATTCGTCATTAAAATTTGCGTAATCATGTACAGTATTCAGTTTGTGTGTGCAACAGTTTGTTTATTCTTGTGACATGGTAAAGAATCAATTATATTCATGAAAGCCGATTTTTGAATTTAAGCTCAGGTATTAGAAGTGAATATGTTGGTCTGGATGACTAGCTAGATTTCCTTTCTTCTCTCTTTGCCAAAATCTGACCCTATTTTTCCCCATTATTTCCCAATTTTTCTTTCTCAAAAGGGAGGGGGGGGGGGGAATGTTGTTAGATGCCATTTTTTCCCCAGAATCCTCTTCTTTTCTTTTTTTTCTCAAAGGGGGCATGGTTGAGGGGGAAAAAAGTACTGGAAATCTCCCATTGACAATTCAGACCAAGTGAGGTGTCGAAAGAATCGTCCATTATGCGAGTACAACAAATTTGTACATAATTTCTAAAATAATGCAGTCAAAAATTATATTTTCCAATGTGAAATCAATAAAGGTGCCGAATGATACACTAGAAGCAATCTCGTCAAAGGTAAGATGAAAATCTAAAGCTTGTAATATATCATGGAAAATGTAACATGAAAATAGATGTGAAATTTCGAGGACTTATGAACTGTTGTAGAGTTCTTGCAGGTTATACCACATGACCAATTAGCTAATGCAAGATCCCGTGTAGCTACAAAAAAATTGCAACAAAATTAAATATACGTCATTCGTACTCCAACTTACACAAAGCCTGCTTTTGAGTACTACCGTTAAAACAAATAAAATGACTCATACAACCATAATACTTTGATTTCTAACATTTATTGCAGCTAGACCTCGTTTCATCGCTTATGTACACTTTGAAGAATTGAAATATAATCTGTTTTGTATTGGCCTCTCATTGCCAAGGTTTGGACCACTGGACAGTTCATACAAACATAATAAAATTATGCTAAACACATGGCATGAAAGTAAGGTTGCGTTCATCTAAATAATAGGGTATTTACAATGCATGTAAAGACCCTTGGGGGTTTTTCCCACATTTTTGAGTTTCATTGGAATTGGAAAGCAATCGCTTATAAGCATGAAAAACCTCAAAGATTGGTTTTGGCAAATGCTCACTATCAAAATGCCAGTGAGTTATTCAGGTTTTCACTCGAGTGAGTCTCCCTACTTTTGGGTATGTCCCATGCAACTTACAGCGGCAAAATTGAAATTAAAAGTTGTATTGTTTACTAGCTGTAGGTCTAAAATTCCTACAGCACCGGGGCCGTCCTCTAGATGTCTTCAGTTGAGTTATAAGTCCACTCGCATTTTCTCACAGATAGCTATAAGATGTCCTCCAGTTCTTTTGTAGCAGATCTGATGAACCAGTGATGTTCACCAAGCTTTGGACAGAGAGAAATAATAAGACAAATTTAATGATCAAATAACGAAACGTCAAAGATATCTCATGAGACTTGTATATTACCTAAAATATCACCACATAAGTCGCAACATAATATGAGTGATGTCCCTACAATAACCATATAAGAATATTTCATAATGCACATTAAATGTCCATTTCGAAATTGGTTTGCAAAATGTTTTAAGTGGTGCCCTCAGACATTGATTCTCACCAAACTGGTTCAAACTGCAAACATCCCATAGAAAATCAGAGTGAAAATAAGGATGGGAAAGAAAAGAGAAACAAGAGCATGAGAAGAGTAGCATTAGAATGTAAGAAAGGTGTAGGATGGGATGTTCACACCCCAGTTTCTGAATAAGGCATCTTTTGTCATCACAGGGCAGTCTCAAGACTTAATAATATTCTGTCACCAGCATTATCAGAATATTACTGTTGTATAATTAATAAGATATCTATTCATGATTAAAACATTGCCTCACAACATACACACCCTTTTTTATCTTGAAATGCTTTGTACATATATTAATGTTTGCATGATTTTTAAATAAACTGAAGAATGAATAAAGAATGTAATGAAATACAATTTTTTTCTCGATAAATCAACATACTAGTACTTTCAGAATTGCATAAAGAGTACGAATCCCCCCCCCCCCCCCATTTGAAAATGTTAAATTAATTGTAAATATACGCTTTTTGTTATGAGTTGACAGAAATTGCAATATCATAGTACATGGTTTACTAACCTTGATGCAACCGAGATGGGGGAACAGATTATCCAGATACTGTACAGCATCTACATGGAGAAAAGAAATAAGATACAATGAAATAATAACATTAAAGTAGGGTAGTATAGAAAATATCAACCCTTGATTGGTAACTATTCTGGCTACACGAAGAGCTGGTAGGAAGTCAATTAACAATATGTATGGCAGTGTGCTACATAAAATGTGTGTTTAATAATAATAATAGTAGTAATAGCTACTTTATATTATGCATATATCCATCCCAGGGGATGCTTTAGGTGCTCAAAATGTTCTATTTTTACCCTGGCTTTAGCCAAGCTGCCCTAAGATACTCATGTATGTTACAGTTACACACAAATCGGACCATATTTAACAGATGAAGTGTTTGAGGGAGACAAAACTGACTTCAATCAGCCAACTTCCATCTACTTGTGAACACTCAATTTTGAACTGAATATTTCCTGTGACACAAGAATTTTTTTTCTTCTTCACTTCGGAAATGTCTATGTCTAAAGAACAATGCCCTCAGCTCTCATAATCTGAAAATCATCAGCTGCCTTTGAGAGCAATCCTTTCAGCAAAGACTAAGAAAATAGAAGAGTATAGACAGGGAAGTGAGAAATACAGGTAGAATGTAGCAGAGTGCAGAAAATAAGGGTCTTTGCCGTTAGAATCACCAGCTAGCCTCAAGATTGTCATTTACATCATTGGGCACAAAGTGTACAGCGGAGTTGCAAACTGTGTCAATCAGACAGTATGAATGCATGTACAATATGGTTCCTCCATTTGTCATGGACATGCTGAAGGCAACAATGGGGGGGGGGGGTGCATCTATCCAAGTAATTAGCTTGTGTTTTATTGCAATTTTATTACTTTCATTTAATTTAAGAAGAATAAAAATAGTCTTACAAGGCCACCAGATTTACTGTTTCATTTTATACAGAATAAAGACAAAGGTAATGTGGGGGGGAATGCATTATCCTTGAGAAATGATATAGAAATTTCATACTCATTACCAATTATAGAATGAACATTATTTAATCAAATGTAAAGCCATGCCAACAATCTTACACTTCAATGTGGATCCTCATATTCCCAATGACTCCACTGAGTCATGGATGTGATGTTGTGTCTTCACTCACATCCCCATCCAGGAGTTTCAACTCTCAGCTCCATCCCCTAGCATGATGAGGCATCTAGATGAGACAGAGAGAAGAGATTATAAAAAAATCCATGTAGCTAGAGTGGAAGCAAGAAAATATATTTGCTTCAATGAATGTCCAAAGGTAAACTACAGATTAATCACCACCAATGCCCTCAGCTCTCATAATCTGAAAATCATCAGATAGAGATAGAGCAATCCTTTCAGCAAAGACTAAGAAAAGGGAAGAATACAGACAGGGAAATCAGAAAATACAGAAAGAATGTAGCTGAGTGCAGAAAAGATAAAGAAAGAAAGGGACTTTGCTGTTAGAATCACCAGCTAGCCTCAAGATTGTCATTTACATCATTGGGCACAAAGTGTATAATTATAACCTAAATATATAGTAGAGTTGAAAATTGTGTCAATCAGACAGTATGAATACATGTAAAATATGGTTCCTCCTATTTGTGATGGACCACTAAAGGAAACAATGGGGGAGGGAGGGGGGGGGGGTGGGGGTTCATCTATCCAAGCAATTTGCTTGTCTTTGATCGCTATTGTATTACTTTCATTTAATTCAGGAAGAATAAAAATAGTCTTACAAGGCCAGCAGATTTACTCTGTTTCACTCTATTCAGAATAAAGATATAAGGTAATGTGGGGGAAATGCATTATCCTTGAGATATGATATAGAAATTTCGTTCTCATTATCAACTCTGAGATAAACCTTATAGATAACATTTAATCAAATGTAAAGCCATGCCAAACCTTTTACTCTGCAATGTGGATTCTCATATGTTGTGTCTCCTCTTACATCCCCATTCAGGAGCTTTCATCTCTCGGCTCCATCCCCCGGCATGGTGAAGGCAGCCAATCATCTAGATGAGACAGATGGAAGTGATTGGGAAAATTTGTAACCTGCATTTCCATGTTGCTAAAGTGGAAGCAAGCGACTTTATTTGCTTCAATGAATGTTCAAAGCTAACCTACGGATTAATCACTACCAATGCCCTCAGCTCTCATAATCTGAAAATCATCAACTGCTTTTGAGATAGAGCAATCCTTTCAGCAAAGACTAAGAGAAGGGAAGAATACAGACAGGGAAATCAGAAAATACAAAAAGAATGTAGCTGAGTGAAGAAAAGATGAAGAAAATAAGGGACTTTGCTGTTAGAATCACCAGCTAGCCTCAAGATTGTCATTTACATCATTGGGCACAAATGTATAATTATAACCTAAATATATAGCGAAGTTGAAAATTATGTTAATCAGAATCATTTTATACAGAATAAAGACAAAGGTAATGTGGGGAAATGCATTATCCTTGAGAAATGATATAGAAATTTCATACTCATTACCAATTATAGAATGTACATTGTAAACAATATTTTATCAAATGTAAAGCCATGCCAACCATCTTACACTTCAATGTGGATCCTCATATTCCCAATGACTCCACAGAGTCATTGATGTGATGTTGTGTCTTCTCTTGGCTCCATCCTCTGGCATGGTGAAGGCAGCCAATCATCTAGAGGAGACAGAAGAGAAGAGCTTATGAAAATGTGATAATCTGAATTGTCTAGTAGTAAATGCTGAAGTGGAAACAATAGACTTTATTTGCTTCAATGAATGTCTAAAGCTAAAATACGGATTAATCCCCACTAATGCCCTCAGCTCTCATAATCTGAAAATCATCAGCTGCTCAAAGGTAATCCTTTCAGCAAAGACTAAGAGAAGTAAAGAATACAGACAGGGAAGTCAGAGAATGGAGAAAGAAAGTAGCCGAGTTCAGAGAAAATAAGGAAAGAAAGGGACTTTGCTGTTAGAATCACCAGCTGGCCTCAAGATTGTTGTTTACATCATTGGGCACAAAATATATAATTATTACCTAAATAAAAGTACAGCAGAGTTGAAAGTCCAGCAGACAGTATGAATACATGTACAATACGGTTCCCCATAGTTGTCATGGACAACTGAAGCCAACAATGGGGGGGGGGGGGGGGGGGGGCAACCATTGCATCTATCCAAGCAATTGAATTAGCTTACCTTTGAATTAATCTCATTTAATTCAGGAAGAATACAAATAGTCTTACAGGGCCTAGTACTATAAATGGACACCAGATTTACTCTGTTTCACTCTATACGGAATAAAGATAAATGTAATGTGGGGAAAATGCATTATCCTGGAAATACAATATACTTTTTATCAATTTTTGAAAGATATTTATAAACATTTAATCAAATGTAAAGCCATGTCAACCATCTTACACTGCAATGTAGATCCTCATATTCCTGATGACTTCACAGCGTCATCGATGTGATGTTTTATCGTCTCCTCTCACATCCTCATCCTGGAGTTTTCATCTCTCGGCTCCATCCCCCGGCATGGTGAAGGCAGCCAATCATCTAGATGAGACAGAAAGGAGTGATTGGGAAAATCAGGTAACCTGCATTTCCACCTAGTTTACGCCAAATGGAAGCACACACAAAATGTACTTGCTACAATGAATGTACAAAGCTGAACTACAGATTTGCAACCAATGCCCTCAGCTCTCATAATCTGAAAATCATCAGCTGCTTTTGAGAGCAATCCTTTCAGCATAGACTAAGAAAGAGAAGAATACCGACAAGGAAGTCAGAAAATACAGGTAGAATATAGCTGAGTGCAGAAAAGATGAAGAAAATAAGGGAATTTGCCGTTAGAATCACCAGCTAGCCTCAAGATTGTCATTTACATCATTGGGCAATGGATTTACGATGTCATAATCTTACTAATACATGTTCATATTGAGATATTTACCCTGTGATGTCTTATAGAAAACCTGATTTGGTTGAATGTTTTTCATTTTCACAGTTGTGATTTGATATGGAACAAAATGAGTTACCATTACTTTAAAGGTTACTTTGTTTCTGGTAAAGGTCTCTCTGTCATCTATTGAAATCATATTGTGAACAAAGATTAAATAGAGTTCTTAGGAAGTCTTGTTACCACTACCCACATCAAAAATAAGAGAATTCATTCTTACCAAACAAGTTCATGGTTCTTTTGGTCTTCCAGCACATTCTATCGCCTCATAGCCAGTAATACATGAATAGTATGTTCTTCCATCATTGACCTAAAAGTAGGGTCTTAAAAAAAAATTGTGCCACATGAGAATACTTCATTTTCCTGAAACTTGGGATATTTAAGCATTTTAAAAGTTTTTTTTAATAATAAACTCATAATCCTGCTCAACAGAGTTTTTTTAAGAAGAATGATAGAGAATACCAACTGAAGTAAAAAAAAAAAATTAAAAAAAAAAAATTATGTAAACTCATGATTTAGCTCTAACGTGCATTGTCAGTATATCAATGTCTTTTCGCAAGGACATATTAAAACAACCAATTGTCATGTAAACAAAAAAAGCCCTCAGCTCTCATAATCTGAACAATCAGTGGCTGCTTTACAATCGTCTTTCCAGTAGAGTTAAAAGAATGAAGCATAGTCACAGAATAGATTTTGAAAGGGAGAAAATATGAAAATGGAGGTTACAGAAGAAGGGAACTCTACTGTCAGAACAATCAGCTAGCCTCAACAAATAGGTTAACATCATCGGGCGGTAGGGATATTTTTAAGGTACCTGTATGCTACATCGTAATATTAACGTCCTTGCGAGTTGGGACACCATTACAAATGTACATTACATGTCTTATGTCATACATGGTTGAGAGAATGTAAGTTTAGTTCAAATACATCCTAAATGTATAATCACAACAACACAAGTTGCATGAAATCTACATCTTTAAAAGTTCCACATAAAGCATTTCCTACTCATTCACCATCAGGTATCTCTAAAAAATAATCTAAATTAACTATTTACCTAAAAAGGAGATGTCAGAGAAATCCATATTCAGCTGTTAAAACTTGTCGAGTTACATTTTCAAGTGTTTCAACTGGGCTCTGCCAAAACTGCCTTATGTGTCCTTTTCACTTCCTGCATTCAAGATAAAAAAGAAAGTAATTAAAACAACCGTTATACTATGTAAAGCGGCTTTCAAGAGATAAAATACTGTTTCTTTAAAAACAGACAATCAATTGCTGTTGGTTCAAAATATCTTTCCCCCACATTTGACTCTAATGAATCACAGTTAACATTAGCCCAAGTATGAGTCATTTCTTGCTCCTCTCGGTATTCCAGATTTAATTTCCATCCACTCCATGCAATCGGTTGGATTGGATAGCTACATGTATACATTGTGCATGAAAACAGCTGAAAAATTTAGAAGCATACTGGCTTGAATAAACAGATCAAATACAAGAATAAACTATGTATCACTTTCAGCAGCACATGCTACACACAAATTGTAGCCCTATAATAACATTCCCCTTACATGGGTCTGCAGTTTTAGACTATCCATCAACACAAATGGTGACATGTATGGAATGTATGAGCTTGGGTATAGGAATGCAATGGATACAACATGTTGTATGCACCTGCCAAGGGGCTGTGTTAGTGTCAGCATATTTGGGTAATGGACATTGGAGCACTGACCAGTTAAAATCTACTCAAGATGTTGAAACATTTTTCCATTAAGTTCTATGATTATTTATGATACATGTACATTATGCAGTTTTCAATTTCTGCAATTTTTCACATTTATTCAGATGCTTCATGAATCATCTTTCTTTCCAAATTTCTTTTATTACTTTACAGATTGATATATAGAATCTAACAAATACATGCATTATTGCATTTTCAAACAAAATAATTCAGCAAGATAAGGAGGGAGCCTCTAGACCCTTTGACCACTACATTTCAGTATTGATTTAAAACATTTTTCTTCTCATAAACGACATGAATGATTAACCATAACAATTTTACCCCTATCCATGAACTAAAGCCTGAAAGCTAGACAAAAGCTATCAACAAGAGTTAAAAGGATTAGACCTGCATGCCTCTCCTATTTGTCATCATTGCCTTGCTCTCAATGTACGAGAAAATTAGTGTCACACTCCCGAGGCACCCTACATTAATTCAGCAATAAAGTTGAATACCCGGGCTTCATGTTATGATGTACTACATGAATTCCTCAGTAATCCGCACAGCAAAATGGATTTTGCGATACCAGCACCTGCCTTATGAGAGAGTAATTGATGGGGCATGTGCAGGCTTTCTGCAAGAAATGGAGACATACTGTAGGATGGTTGGTAGAAAGGGGTGAAAATGAATAACCCAGTACCGTCACATTGAATCCTGAACTTAACATCTGCTTTCACACTCATGTATTGTCTACCATTTACTAATTGCTTTGAATAGTGCACTCATCAATGTGAAATCAATTAACTTTGATGAATGTAAAAAAAAAAATTTGTTCAGTCCCATGAACTCTTGTTTGCTAAAGTTAATGCAAGATTTACTCACACGTTACATATCTACATTGTATTTTAAATTTTTAACAAGAACTCTTTCTTAGTTTATTACAAACATTTTGGAATTTTCCAGACCTGCATTTTCATTCATACAGTAGCAGGGGGAGGGGGTGGAGGGTGGTCATGTTTCTACTAAACTTCCAACATAGTTTAATCCCTCCAAAATAGTACTTAAAATAATTTGAATTCTAAGATTGCTCCTGATACTTCTGGTGAGAGAGAAAAAAATGTTAAAAACATTAGGCCCTAATATTGCAAATTAAGTAAATTATAGATTAATCATTTAAAAAAAATATTTTACTGTCAATAATATGGAAATTATGCAGAGAAATCATCTACATTAGTACATCCTCACTCCTCAAATAGCTATGAAATATGAAGAAAAGAAATTTCGTATTAACCTACATGGCTGCAAACCCTTTGTATCTCCTGCTTTCTTCCCCCAATTACTCACACACACTGACTTTCTTGTCAACGCCAACATCATGCACACAGATGATACTTTGGAAGACACTCTCGGGCCAACCAACCCGAACCCAAATTAATCACCACCTAAATCCATCCTGCGGAATAAAGTGCTTTCCCATTCATAACAAGATAGCGTCTCCTCCCTCCTCCCCCTCTCGCTCACTGTCACTCTCATCTGGAGAATTGGAGAGGCTCCCCTCGTATTGTTTATACAGTAATGATGATCATATCTGACCATTAGGACATGTATGGACCGCCACAGCAGGGGATGGAATTAAGGGGGACCGCTCTTTGACAATCAGACCGAGTGATATAATAAGTTGTTTGTAGAAGCGAATTTAACTGCATGAATCCATCATCAAATTGATTAAACTATAATCATACATTTCTGTAGTTCTGCCATTCTAATATTCTACCGTGGACATATGATTTGGATTTAACAAGTCGGATTATCATTCACATCTAGCAGCAAACCAACGAAGATGACATCACTCAATTGTTTCAGAGGGGTAAGTTATCTTGTCGATACATGATGTTATCCGAGTTCTAGATAACACTTAGCTAAGTGACTTTAGAGAAGTGTTTGCCTGTAATATCAACAATACAGCTGATGGTAACAAATAAAAGGAGAGTTTAAATCCCTTATGCTCATTATGAATGATATTAATACATTTTCCTTATGAAATTGAATGTGAATCGTCAAGTTCTAAAAGAAACTTTCCATTTTACTAACCCAATCATTGGCCGATTCAGGTGACATTGGATAATAAATTCTGATTGCAGATCAGTGAAGTTGATTGGGATTTTTTTTTTTTTTTAATGCTGAAAATGTTCAAGTTTTTGGCTATCAAATACTAAACAACATGCATAGCTGGGATTATTGTGTCATTTGGAGTTGTTGTAGACCTTGTTTGTTGAATATCAAATGCCAATCATGACTTTTTGAAATTGATAATATTAGTCTAAGAGAAGAGGCAAAACAAGAGAGCCGCCATCTTGGACCCAACCAGCTGTTTGAATCGTTTTCATAAACAGGCTCTGGAGCTCCGACGCCTTCGGCATTGGAGCTCCCCAGAGTTCGCCCAACTAAAGCTTCGGGGGCTTAATTCATGAAAGTGGTGAATTTCGGAGCTACATGTATGATGGAAACGATGTTTAAATCGCTGTTTTGATCAAGATATTTTTAGAGTTCCGAGTTGAGCCCCTTTGGGGAATATGGAGAAAAACCTGTTCTTTCATATGAAACCTCATTTAATGAGTATCTCCTTCAAGGGTCAAACTCAGAACGCTCAAAAAAGGCCCAGTTTTGGAGCTGTATTGCGCAACTGTTTATGACGTCACTGCAGGAGCCTCTCCGGTTGAAAAGGAGGGTGATTTAGGCATTAAAATGTCTTTAAAAATGCAAACTATGATATTAGTTGGAAAAAAAAACACATTTATCTGAAAAATAATATGTAGTTGATAATCCCAGTACGTTTCATTTATGAATTACAATAAGATTGTAAGATCCTTAGTTGTAGGACAAATCAGACATGCCTGTGATGCGTCATCAAGCCACTCGACCATATTACCTTTTTTCGAGGGGCGTAGCCCAGCAAGCATGAGATCTGTGAAAAATGGATGGTTGTTATCATTTTTTGGTCAACTTAGAGATTTTCTGAAAAATCAGAGGCTGGAATATTAATAAGTAGAGGTGTATTCATGTTTTGAAAGGCTAAGTTAGTTGGGTTAGAGTGGCCCTTTCAAGATCATGAGCGGTAAACGTTAGAATCTCAATTTGGTAATAAAAACATTGACCAATATTGTATGAGCGCGCCATGCACGTAAACTGCATAGGGATGCGTGCAATCTGGAGTTGGGCTAACTCGGACCAGGGGCCAACTCAACCCAGCTACAAAAACGGTCAGTCTTGCATGTTTAGGGTTAGGTTAAAGGTAAAGACCAGTTTTGGAAACGCCCCCCTTTCAAAAATTGAAATGGAAGCTCTTATTACCATTCATGTGAAAGAATTTGTTTGACTAATACGTGGTCATACAAATTTTGCCAAGAAGCCGCCTACTTGATATATTTGGTAAATTAGTATATCTATTTGGACCTGATAGATATAACGCACATGTCGTTTTTGTGTAACTTTACCAAGACTGGGCCAAATTTCTTATCATTTTGATGATCCCAGAACCTTGCAGTACACACCAATACTTCAACCTTTTTTGATCGATTCCACAATGTTTCTTTCTCATGACCAGAACTGATCTTTATCTTTAAGGGTTAGGGTTACACAACGGTTTGCATCCCATGCCCTGTGTACAGAGTTTAACACTTCTGCATTGAGCTACACCACATGCGTAAAATCCATATATGTATAATTCATGAGGCAGCTTACATTCATAAGCAACATTTCATCGCATGTGCAATAATCTCTTCTCGCACATGCCTTGCACACACTCGCACTTGGAAAAAACTAACATCAACTGATAGATAAACATGTCAAGAATACATGTACATACAAATAAATCACAATATTTCACAAATTATACCAAATCAGCCAAAATTACTGTTTAAAAATACATTATTTAGACGCTATGGCTGCTAAAACTCAAATTAACAGGTTAGAATTATCCGGAAAAATGATGATGCTCGAACGATCTCGGTATCAACGTATGGGGAATGAGGTAAATAATTAGGCCTGTAACCGATCATCAGATCGGGGGTCGATCTTGAGCCGATCAGGGATGATCGGATAATAATTTCCGATCGCCGATCAATAAATGCATGCGGCATGCCTACATTATAATCCAAGATGGCGGCCCGCATGTTTTGCCTCTTCTCTTAGACCAATATTATTAATTTCAAAGTCATGAAAAGGCACTAAATATCAACAAACATAGTCTACAACAACTCCAAATGACAAAATAATCCCAGCCATGAATTTTTTTTGAGCATTTGATAGCCAAAAACTTGAAAATTTTCGTCATTGAAAAATAATTTGAAAAAAAAAAATTCTGCCGATTTTATTTTGCCGATACCGATCACAGGTGCGAGGGTGTCGCTCCGATCTTCTGATCCGATCAAAGCCCCAACTTAAAGGGCTATAAATAATGCCATGATGTCATTTCTAAAGTGCACTGTGGGACGGGCTTTCAGTGAATCAGGTAGGAAGTACTCGATATATGATCCGATAACATAACTATATACAGATAGCGGATCTTCGTCGGCTACTATGGTACCATTGGACAGATGTGCGCATGCCTCGCTGAACGAGGCATGACGTCGCGCAATCAGAACCATGGCTAAGCAAACTGTAGTGGGTTAGGTTTAGGGTTAGGGTTACTGGGTTAGGGTAAAATGACAAAAAATGACAGTTTTTGCAGCTTGGCCGAGTTAGCCCGGATCCGTGCAATCTCTATGCCTATGGGAAGGATTTTAGCACACAAAATGTAATGGCGATCAGACACCCTATTTAAAGCATGACAACATGTCTGTGTGTTACGTATTGGCATTGTCATTGCGCTCTCTGCATTATAAGTGAGCCCTCTGCGAGTCTCTCACTTAAATTCGAAACCTCTCGAGCGGATCGGCCAATGAGAGCACGTTATTTCAGATAATCTCAACGTACAGCGCTCAATGCGTAAAGTTCTATGTGGCATATGTGCGCCAGAGTCACGAGTAAAAAGCCTAGACTAGAACTAATTACAAATTGCATTTGCAGTTTTATTCTTTTTTAATTAAATTAACCGTCCAGATACACAACCTATCAAGGCACACAACATCTGGATGTCATGAAAGAGCTAGAAAAGCTATTTGCAAAACGAAAATTTGGTAAAGTTAAGTTACTTAAACTTGGCTAGAATTTAGGAAAAATCCAACATAGGGTCTAGTCTAGTCTAAACCTCAGTAAAAAAGCAGGCGCTTGTTCAGAAACCTATCATCCAAAATAAGTAAATATTCATTAAATGTCCAAATAAAGATCACAAGTTAAAAGTCGTTATGTTTATTACCTGTTTCGTGACAATTTTCTTGTTATTTTTGGATAAACGTTATAAACATCGATTTTAGTACCAGTAATCCGGTATACAATTTTTCACAGGTTTCACGGCAAACCGCTGCACAATACAAGTACGTATCGATGCATGGTGGTTGTGGGCGAGGGAGCGCCTGTGTGAAGTTATCTACCGTATTTGTCTCAGATCCTCATTACGGTAGATAACTTCACAGGCGTGCGCCCGCCCGCAAACCACCATCGGTATGTACTTGTATAGACCGAATTTGCCGTCTCTTTCGTTCGTTAGCCTCTTATTGGGGTAGGGTCGGCCGGCTCTCTCTTTAGAGACGGAAACCGTCTATACACATTCCCTTGATAACGCCACGGCCATTTCAGGTCGTAGCGTTTTGCCCCCAAAATCCCCCAAAATGTCATTTTACCTCGTGTATATCCAAATGTAAATTAGGCCTAGGCTATAAACCATCATTTCCACTTACTAACTTGATTGAAATAATCCGTTTAATGATCCCTTTTAAGGAAATTATGGGTCAAAATCGACATCCATGTTGAAAATCTTGCAAGCCGTGTTAAACTCTCGCTGCCGGAGTCATCTAAATCAATCTCATCCCTTCTAGTCTACGCTGAAGGCAAAAATGATTATGAAGGAAAAACTGTGATAACGTCATTACGAACGTGTAGATGGCGCACGAGGTAAAATGACATTTTGGGGGATTTTGGGGGCAAAACGCTACGACCTGAAATGGCCGTGGCGTTATCAAGGGAATGTGTATAGACGGGTTTCCGTCTCTAAAGAGAGAGCCGGCCGACCCTACCCCAATAAGAGGCTAACGAACGAGACGGAAAATTCGGTCTAGTACTTGTATTGTGCAGCTCTTTGCTGTGAAACCTGTGAAAAAGTGTGTGTTTATCCCAAAAATAACAAGAAAATTGACACGAAACAGGTAATAGACCTCTAAACATAACTTTAAACTCATGATCTTTATTTGGACATTATGATTTAATGAATATTTACTTCATTTTTGGTATGTTTTAGGGTATCTCCAGGTCGGAGTTACGGGACAAATTTTGGATAGGTTTCTGAACAAACGCCCAAAAGCCCACCACCAGGCATGCACCGCACCACGCCCAAGACCAAGTCCGCGATCCTACCACGACCATTTGCATTGGAAATGTATAGGATTAGGTGTTGCGCGCGGTCTATCAATTAATTATCATTCTGCCTAACCTCTCTCTCTCTCTCTCGAATTGACCTTCACGGCTTCAACCTTTTCTTCTTTTTTTTCTTCAATTTCTTTGTTAAACACATACCATGTCCACATCAACCATCCTCGTAGTCCTATGGTTCCTATGTCCTAGCAAATTATGTCTTTTTCTGGCCTCACAACTCGGACCACATTGCTTTTCACTTGCCTGGCCTGGGCAGCTAGCTAAACGTTTCTCGTATACCTGCTGCTGGATTTATACACAAAAGACCAAAATGTGTTAGTACTGTACGTACAGTATACCCATCCATTCCCTGTCCTGTAATGTTAAAATTATGTATCCTGTCACAATGATATAAATTAAAGTATAAATTTGTTAGTTGCTCATTTGTATTTTTTTGTGACTACTTCAAACTATCTTTCAACAAAATAAATTGCTATTCAATTAAATCACTTTGTTAGTTGCTCATTTGTATTTTTTTCTGACTAGACTAGATCTACTTTAAACAATCTTTCAACAAAATAAATTGCTATTCAATTAAATCTAAAGCGGTAGTCATTATATGGTTACACAAAGTATCCAAACCCAAGCCCCACACTTTAATTAATAGGTCCCTTCCAAGGGGCTAGAGCAAACGCAGGAATTTTTTGAGGGGGGGGGGTTTAAAATTTGAAAATTAAAAATTTCGCAACGACTCAGCCAGCCGCTGAATAAGCAGGGGGGGGGGGGTAAGAACACATTTTATTTGATAAAAAATTTCGCAACGACTCAGCAGTCACTGAATAAGCGGGGGGGGGGGGGGGGGGGGGGGGGGGGGGGGGGGGCACATTTTTTTTCCAAAAAAAATTTGGTCGACCGATATTTCGTTCAGTTTGGGGGGGGGGGGGGGGGTAAGGTCACCTTTTTTTGGTCACCCTTTAGCACGAAAAAGAAAAGAAGTTTCTTTTAAATTTATTTTTTATTAAAAACTAAATTTGAGGGAGGGGGGGGGGGGTTTCCTCTAAAATACACATGTTACAAAAAATCCAACCCTCCCCCCCCCCCCCCCAGCATTAGTGCCTGCATCCATCCATGTGTGATAATACTTTTAATGTCCATTTCGGAAAATTTGCGATACGCCATTATTAGGGTCTTTTTTTGGGGGGGGGGGGGCATTAAATAAATCTGCATCACCACCACTCTCTCATGTTACATGCAGAACCCGCGGAACGCTTTTCAAAGTGGAAGGGGGGGGGGGGACGGGGGGCTAAGCCGCTAAAATATATAGGATCAGGTAGAGCGAAATGGAGCGTAAATTGACGTGGTGTCCAGGGGCAGAGCGACATGAAGCTCAGGGGATTTAGGCATTTAATTATGGTCAGATGAGCAGTCAGGGGCCCGTCATAGGGCTCCTGATGGGGTCCAGGGGGCAGAGGCCTATTTACATTGTCTAATGTGACAGAAAACACAATTTTGGATTACATGAGCGTGCGCGTGCATACCGTATGATTATTCAAGACCCATGTTGTTTTTAATTTTGAACTTGTATGTACAAAACCCATATCTGAACATTTCGGAACATTTTATATGTATCAAATACTTATATATACCATTTTTTGATTTAATAAAAATGAAAGTACAGCATGCTAATTGCTTTATAAGGATGAAAGATCTTTGAATAGCATACTCTTTTGTTCCGGAGTAGCCTATCCAATTATTGAATTAGATTGACAAGATAGAAGAAGTAACTTCCGGTTTACACCCTTCTGAGTCGAAGCTTGCGAAGCTAAATGTCAATATTTTAATCAATAATACCGTAAATTAGTCATAACAATGTCTAAATCTGTCAAAAAACAGGTCGATGATGCAAGAGACAACAAGCATCAGGACCTAGATTTGTCGGACAAGAGCATTTCAAAACTGCACGACATTCCAGAGCTGTGTAAGTATTATTCTACAGTCCCATTGATTTATTTTGATGTCGTCTAGACTCTAGAAGTCTTGTCTAGCTTGGATTGTCTCTTGAGAAGATTGAACTTCATTGTCATATTGTCATTGTGAAGAAATATTAACAGATCGAGACTTTCTAATTTCTTCCTGGTGCTGGTCTCTTTGACATATTTGTTTAGTGTATTTGATGTATGAATAGTCTATGTTAGACTTTTTAAAGTTTTACTTTATTTTCAACTTTAACTGACTTTAATTTATTGTTATTTCCAATAATCTTAAAAGTTAAACTAAAGTTAAGTTGTGTACACTAATAAAGTAATAATAACTAATATGACAAATGAATAAATGTGATCATTATTATTTTAATGATGTTTGTTCACAGAGAGACTGTTCCCTTTTTTTAGGCCACAATTACACTTGCTACTTTTCCAAAATGATAATTGATTGATGATTTTTTTTTTTGTGCCTAAATTAATTTCAATCTTTTAAATTTATACAAATAGACTAGGCCTAGGCCTATATGAATGTTATGATAGATAAATATATTGAATACTATTTGTAGAAATTTCATATTATGTGCTTAGTCATGTACTATGACTGTGCCTGTTTAATTTATCAACTTTAAAACTCTTTCATCATAATTCTTTGTTGGTACATTAATTTTGTCTATTGAATTTAAAATTCTTAATTGAATAATGTTAAGTATGACCTACCGGGTATTAAATCTGGTATCCATTATGTTTACATCTTCTTAAGGTTTTTAAGGAAATATCCATGGCGTATAATTGATCAATGTTGATTAGATATATTTTTATAATGAAAAATATTCTATATATATTCTCTCATAGTTTCTCTAAGTAACCTTGTGAGGCTGACTTTGAGTCACAATAAGATCGATGGTGAGTACTGTTAAAAAGATGATTCTCTCTCTCTCTCTCTCTCTCTCACTCCCTCCCTCTCTCTACCTCTCTCTCTTTCTCTTTCTCTCTTTCTCTTTCTCTCTTTCTCTTTCATTCTCTCTTTTTCTATCATTCCCACTTGTTTCTTTGTGTTGCTATCTGTCTAGCTTGCTCTCACAAGACTTGCATACTATTACTGTTTTGTAACTACTCCTGTTTGCTTCCTGTCTATGGCCTGTGTAATTGGAGTAAATGTGGTAGAGGAAGAGCAGATCAAATGTTCCCTACTTCCTGTTATATTAAACCTTGAGGAAATTGGTAGCCTAAATCATGATAATAAACCTCTTTGTACAACTCTTTTTATATATATATATGATTAAAGTTTTTTTAATGCAGCAGAAATTGGATGATATATACTAAACATGTTTATTTTGTAATAAAAGGTGATTTTATTTAAATATAGGCCTGTTTTTCAATCTAAGCATTTGTTTTTACAAGGCACAAGGGCAGGCAGTTTTCCTTCCATGCAGTCTGCTCTGTTCATAGTTTATAGGGAATATGAAGTGGGTGGACAATGTGAGTTAATAAATGAAAAGTATAAATATTGACCATTTCTTTGCAGATACTGTAATAATTATTGGCTTTATTGAAATTAATTGTAGAATATGTTATGTTATGTCATGTCATGTTATTTTCTCCAGTTGTCCCACCACATTTAGTAGAGCTGACAAGTCTGGAAGTACTCAATCTGTTCAACAACCACATAGAGGAGCTTCCTACAAACATCAGCTCAATGCAAAATCTCAAAATTCTAAATGTTGGGTAAGTGTCTGCTTATATTGCATTTCTATGGTCTTTTTGCCTACTGTTGACAAACTTGACATTATGTAACAATTATTTGAATCCTTTTGGGTTCTGGTGATGATACTGTATATCAAGAGAAAGTGTAAAACTCATTCCTAATTGAATTATAGTATGGTGCATACAACACATATTTAGAAGGAACATGTAGTTTGCATCAGTGTAATGGATATCGCAAGAAGAAAAACAATAGAAATAGACTGTGAAAGAGATGGTTATCTCATCAAATGAGCTCTCAATTAGCATAAGAAAAAGGGGATCATTCATGGGGGACCAACGGGTACCGCTTACTTAGGTATTGTTTGCTATATAGAGGGTGCAAGTAGATACAAGTAGTGCAGACAAGCTTTAATACACTGTATGACCGTATGACTATGAAGTGTAACTGTGTAAGACTGAAAATTGCACCCCATGTGCCCTGTAATACTTAACCGTTGGGGAGCTTAATTGGGTTCAATGAATTTTATAAATGTGTCAAGAATTTTTGCTTGCATATTATCAAGGCATATAAAGCAGATGTATTCCAAAACATGGAATTATCAAAATCATTCATCAGTCATTTAAAACTGAAGACTGAAGAGTAGTGCAAATAATTTACCCTGTAGATTAAGAAAGAAGGAAAACAACACCTGACAGACTGTATTGCCGATGTCTCAGTCATTCTACTTAAAATTACCAGGCTAATTAAGATAGCTAACATACTTTCTATTGAATTCCTCTGTCCGATAATTAATTTGTATTTTTAATGGTTATTTATACATTTATTGAGATCTTTGATAATTATTTGTTTCTGATAATTCCCTTTTATCGTTTTTTAATTGGTAACTGACATTTATGATTTAAAACAGTTATTACAATAGTAATGAGTGATCCATATGTAATATATGTATGTCTATATAGTTATTTTGTTTTAATACGCTATGATCTATCCTAATTGTGGTATATGAGATTTTTATAATTGATTAAATGGGATGAACTTGACTGAATATCTTGATTATGTTTGTAATTCAACCACAGCATGAACAGACTGTACAGCTTGCCAAGAGGATTCGGATCATTTCCCAAATTAGAAATATTGGATCTCACATACAACAACCTCAATGAGAATAGCTTGCCTGGAAATTTCTTCTTATTGGGTAAGTCATAAATAGGTACTATCTCTTTCTGTCTCTCTTTTACCTTTCTTTCCCTCTCTTTCTTTCTTTCTTTCTCATTCTTCTTGTCTTGTATTTTGAAAATGTGTCATTTTTGTTTTATATAAAATGTCATTATTTCTCGTGAATATACTCTTCCAAATCTCGAACATTACTCTGTCCACAATTCTGTAATTATATTTCAAATCTTTGTCTGCAACTTTCTCCTTCAGTCTTCCTGCTCCATCAATCAAATGTAGCTACTGTAATTTCATTTATTTAAAAAAAATATAACTATTGTGCAACAAAATGAGCAGAATCGTTGGTGTCATTACAGGTATTCCAAATTATTGATATCATAATATTGTATTTTTGCTTTTTCTTCTAATTTAATTCTACGGGTTATAGTCTTCTCTTAATCAGAACACTGTGCGCTTAGAAACATCAGTATTAAGCCCCTAATAAATGTTATGTATTATTATTATTATTATTATAAAGTTTTTCTGGTATCGTTTTTAGGGGGCAGGTTTTGTTAATGTGTGATGTGTTCAATGTTTTCATAGCTGTTAATGCTTTTCCATTTTAGACACACTGAGGGCTCTATATTTGAGCGACAATGACTTTGAATTACTTCCTGAAGAAATTGGTCAACTCACTAAGTTGGAAGTGGTAAGTAATAAACTACATGTGTTTTAAAATGATAAACTTACTTAATGGTCCAAAAATTGGTTCTGATTCATTTATATTTGTACTGTGCCTCTAGATGAAATTTTTCAGTATATTTGTTATTGGAAAATAAAAGATAACCTGTTTGAATATCGTTATGTCTTTTTTTGTGCAAGGTTCTTATTATTTACCTAAATAGATGTCCTTGCAGTAATTTTTAGAAACTGTGAATTAAATAGAGTATGAATAATCTTGCATAACATTTTTTCACATCAGGACCCTGTTTTATAAAACTTGTTATCAATAACAAGTTACAAGCTACTGTTATAAGCTACTGAAATCATGGCATCTGATTGGCTGAGAGCAAATTTGTCATAGAAAATTAGCAATTGTTATAGATAACAAGTTTTATGAAAAGGGCCCCCGTTCATGATTTCATCATGTATGCTATCATAAACTATAATTTTTCCTCATTATTCTGATAAACTCTATGACATTATTCTGTTTTCAATTGCATTCTTTGAGCTGATCAATGACAAGTTGTTACCTTGGTTACCTAAATATAGTTGGGTGTAAGAGACAATGACCTCATCGCTCTCCCTAAAGCCATTGGACAGCTTGTGAAGCTCAAGGAGCTTCATATTCAAGGCAACAGAATCACAGTTCTGCCCCCAGAGCTCGGTAAGTTTCAAACCTGATAATTACCCAATTTTTTCCTATTTTTCCTGATTTTTTCCCCAATTTTCTTACTCAAAAGAGGGGGGGGGGGGGAATGTTGTTGGATGCAATTCCCCCCCCCCCGATTTTTTTTAATTTATTTTTTGTCAGGGGGGGGGGGAGGGGTTGAGGAAAAAAAAGCCTAGAAATAATGATGCTAGGAAGTCAGGAAAGTGGATGATAATCATTTTGATCAGCTTACTTCTGTAAAGAAAGTCCTAAAATGTACACATTTTAGAGCTTACATCTTGACTTTCTTACTGGTTAAAAGGTGTTGGTTTGATAGACTGGTGAATATGTTGTGTACATAAAAGGATTTTTTTTTTTTTTTTGTAACATTGATATGAAATTGAATAATCAGAGGAAGGATTCTTCTATTTCATATGACTTTGGTGTGACTTTGTGTTACATATTGAAAATAATAAGTGATACAACAGAGATGTTTATTTAAAATGTTTATTATTCTCAGGATTACCGGTATATGTACAATAGACTTCATAAGAGTGATGTCCAACAGTAATCTTTGACTCATCTTTTCATCTCTTACACTGGGCCATATTACTTTTCTTAAAGGCATCGTTTAACACTGAAAATCTGAGATGCATTGCCCTACGTGTTATTAGTGTCTGTGATATGGTGTAATATTGAAGTTCTAAAAAAATTGCACTTCAACATGATCATGAAGTGCCTCAAAAAAGTAAAAATCTTGGAGTGACCGGTTTTACCATACTCATTTTCCCCAATAGACTGTAGTGTTATAAAAACTGTTAATAAAAGAAAAAAGTGAAATTTCGATTTCCAATCTTAAATATCTTGATAATCAGACAGGCGATCGGCTTGTAAAATTCATGGGATTCCTGACTGACCTAAAGGTTTATAGTTATGAATGCAGCATGAGCTAAATCCAGGATTTTTTTTCACATTTTGAGGCAATGTTACTGTGTCACTTTAATTTCTTCATGATAATGTTTGGTGAGCACTATGCATGTCTTTTGTATTTTCAGGTAAACTTGATCTGTACACTGGTAGGAACATCATGAAAGCAGAGCACAATCCTTGGGTACCACCAATTGCTGACCAGTTCCAAGTGGGCGCGTCGCATGTCTTTGATTACATCAGATCAGAAACATACAAGTAGTAAGTAACCTAATGCATATCATTCTTTAACAAACCAGGGGTTGATATTAATGGGTTTGGTGCACACGGGATCCCAAATTTCAACTCCAAACCCTCCAAACCCTAAAAATTTGCAGGCCAAATCTCTGTGAAAAAAGGGATATGTGGAGCCATGTCATCTCTCAAAACTACAGAAAAAAAACATGTAATGGGTAGTTGGTTATTTAAAATCAAAATGAAGCTGGGTAGACTTTGTGAATTAGTATTTGTGAATTTCGGTTGTCATGATTGTGTCCCAAGAAATCACATAAGATTATACAGACAAACCTGCTTTAGTGACCACCTGTCTACAAAAATCACATTTTTTGTTCCCCTTGAAAATGGTTTCTCATCGAAACATGTACTAAAGGTACCTGTCTACAAAGACCACTTTTTGTATTTCCCTTGGGCGTTCGCGGTAGACAGGTTTCACTGTATATATATACATTCTGTCAAAACTTCTATGTTTAGTTGTCGAGTCATTTGTCTAAGAAAACTTCGAAAATAAGTTAGAATATGATTTACAGTAGCTAGAAGCTTCATGATCTGGAGCTCAAAGTGTGTCCTCTGCTTTTGTTCCCCCTCCAGTTTGTACGGCAGACATGTTCAAGCAGGAGCAGCACCTCCTCCTAAGACCAACGCCAAGGCTAAGAAGATCAGCAGGAGGGAGATCTATGGCAAGAAGTGAAAATTGATGGAACATCTCATTATAGAACAATATAATACAGGCCAGTAGGTTCCCCCTTGGTCTAAACCCCCCTTTTATAATGTCGGAATAAAACACCAACTCATCTATGATCATACAATGTAAACATGGAGCTGGAAGCCGGCGGCTGCTTACAGTCTTGCAGATCACTTGGTATTAGACACTAGCTAGTTTTTCGCAAGCGGCGACGTGGCCTTCTACAACGCCAATCTTAGCCGGTGGTCGCACTCAGAGCGAAAATTTTCACGTAGCGTCCAAACCTATGACGGTATTCAGCCATATTAGCGTCGGGAGTACAGGGTGGAGAGCTCATTTAAATACCCCATAGTCAGCACTTGCGTCACCGTAAGAAATCTTGCTAATGGTGCTTGGGTGGCAGGGGTCCTGTGAGTGCAAATGCATCCTTCAGTATCCCTACTTTAAAAGTCTCTCCTGGGTTCCTGGATGCAATGATCTTCTTGTCTAATAGTAAATTTGTCCAATACCGGTAGTAAATTTGTCCAACAGTAAAAAAGGGTAATGACTTGATGTCTACAGGTAATCAAATTGTGTAATACCGGGTAGCCATTTCTGTATATATTACTGACAAAATGTTAGGTACCCACTTCTTCTCGTAACCACTGTGCATGATTGAACAAGGTGGTAGTAGACAACATGAGGATTACTGGTTATGACAGACAATGGTTATTCAAGGTAATGGATTATTATTTAACAAATTGAATTAGATGAGATAAGTTAAATAAATAGATAAATCAGTCAAAAGACCAATAAGTTACATACAGGCATGACTATGGTTGACATATATTTCAAAATATCATCAATGATGTCATTTGTTTGAGAGAGGACATTTTTTGCAAAGCAACTGAGATAGTATGACATTTCTTAAGCAGTAAGGTGAAAAGTGCCAAAAAGAAAGGAGAGATAGATGTCAACCCTATGCAAAATCCTGGATAGGCTTTTGTGCATTCTTTACACATTTTGTCTTGCTAATTTCCCTCCTCCCCCCCCCCTCTCTCTTTCTCTTTCTCTCTCTCTTCCTCACTCTCCCTCTATCTCTGTCTCTCTTTCTATCTCTTTCCCAGTTTGTATCTATTTTTTCCTGTAAATCAAGTATCACAATCTATATTCTCATCTTAGAAATGATGTATGTTTACCCTCATAATATTTATTTGCATCAAACTTTGAGTGATTTTCCCCTTTTATACCACCATCTTCTGTGTCAGTAACTTGCCTAGTGACATGTAATCATGTCTTTCTTTTATTATTCTCTAGATGTATTGATTGAAAGATTTTTGTTTTGAATGATAATTGTACCTTATAATATTAAAGTATTCTCATTTAGATAGAAATAGAAGGAACTTCTAGGAAGAAAAAAGTTACTTTACATGTTATTGTAGATCAAGCTTCATGTTGATTTATTTTTCCTCTTCTTTCTCATCTAATCTTTATATTAAGGTACATGTTAGTGGTTCTTCAGATTACAATAAAAAAATATATATGTATTTTATTTTTATCAAAATGGAGTGTGTTGTGCTTCCTTTGCTATTTATATAGCAGATGAATCAGGATTTGAGTTAACACTTGATGATTAAAGTCTTAATGCTTGACTATTTGTTGAATAATCATTGGTTTTACTTATGTATTTTGTTGATTCAAAATAGTTTTGACAAACTAAAGTTGCACGGCACACCATACTGCCAATTATTATATTTTACAGATAATTGAATAATGTGCAAGCATAATGTTAAATACAATCTATCATTAGCTTCTATGTACGAGTTACATACTAAAGAGTAAAATTAAAGTATTGGAATAAAAATGTTACATACATTTTGAGTTTGATCGACAGAGCATTCACCTACTGTCACATTACAAATATGATATTTTGTGCTTTGTTTTCTTTAAAGTCAACAATGTGTTTGTATGGGCATTTTAGTACAGAGAAGGAAATTTGTCTCTAACAATGTCACACTGTATCTTGTATTGCGCTGAGATGAGAAGAACAACATACCATTCTATTATGATAGAAATGGTAATGTTCATTTAGTTGGCTTCCCGATTTTGAATTTCTACCAGTTCAATTTGTTTACATTCAAGTTAGAGTTCATTTAATATATGATCATAAGTTGTTAAATTACAATGGAGAAGATTAATTAGCTTTTATTTTTTTTTCTTTCCTAAAAGCTGTTTGTAAATATTTGTAGAATCCTAACTTAAATTATTGTGTTTGTTAGCTGTAAAATTATAGCAATATTTACTGTTTGCCTGTCTTTTTGCATGCCCTATTGTGTATTTAGAAGTTTGTTTCATTGAAATGATGTAAACTATATTCTTTAGTGAATACAACAAATCTCATATCAGGTCATCAGTATTACAGAATGTGTAAATCAATTTAATTTAAATTGATACAAATCTAAGGGGGATACAATTGATTTTGAAGAGCTGAATTCTACATGAAAAAAAAAGGATTTGTCAAATATACATTTGTTAATGTTACAGCTAAGCTCATAATTTGCAACCCAAACACTGCTGCAGTATGTGGTTGAAACTTAACTCCCAAATATGATGCAGAGACTTTGCTTAGAGAAATCTGATAGTGAGAAATTTTGCTTTTTATAAAAGATTATGAGCATGATCAGGAACCTCACATTACATGGGTAATTTTGTTAAGGTGTCTAGTTTTTGTAAGTATTGCTTTAACTTCTTGCGATTAATATTTATGTAGCATGAACAAGTGAAGGACATTTTTGTAAATTTATTCTTCAAATAATTTTGCATGGGGCATAATTTTTTTTAAAGATGACACAGAAAATCTGGAGTGTGAGGTATATCTTGAATTCAGTAAATACATAAGTTGCCTACATGTCAAGATCTATTTCTATGGTGCTATTTTGTGAATTTAATTAATTAGTCATCTCATCTGAATAATTTTGACACAAGAGTGTGGTTTTGAAAGCAGGTTGCAGGGAAATGTTTGGTATTCATTGGGCTATATGCCCCCTAACACATATTTTGATTGCAATTATCTGAAAAAAATTATCTGTCACATTTGTTGATTTTTTAAAATCGATGTAATAATGTCCCATATGGAACTAACCTACCGGTATCTCCTTAAATAGAGTTTTTTTTCATTGGAGAAAGTTTGGAACAATTTTATAACATAGTAAATATCAATTTTTGTAATACAGCTGGTTTAAAATGAACCTATATCCTTGACTTCTGCTAGACATGAGATGATGAGTGGCAATTATATGTACATGCTACGTTGACATATTTGAACCATCTTGTACTTTTATATAATTGTACCAAATGGCAACCTTATTATTCTCCAATATTCTAAGAGAGATATAATGTAGCTATATGCAATTAATCTGTTTATTGAGGTCTTATAAAGCATGCCAGTGAATTTTTTCTGAATTGGAAAGCAATAGAAAAATAGGTAGAAAGTCTAGAATGTCTTAAAAATACACTTTCATGTATTTCCAATCTAAACCTACAGCCAGACTAATGCCTACACATATCTGCTTATAATTATGTATACTATTCTCATTGATCTAGGACTATAAATTATGTGAGCATGCTTTCTAATATTTGACTTATTTTGTAGCAATCAAATAAATTTTCTAGTCACTTTTGTGTAATATTCCTTTGGCTCTTCTTTTGATTTATTCCATATTATGTATTACTTTTAAAGTAACTGTTGTGTATTTATTAGGAAGGTAAAGTACCAGCCCTCTCTCTCTCACACACACACACAATATAGAAAATTGCACACTAATTGCTAATAATAGAAGAAGAAAAACAAATCTTTTGTTCAGTAGCTCTCTATTTTATAGCATATGCTCAAAATTATACAAGTACAGTCATACCATACTACCATAAAAACAGATCCATTTTGGTAACCAATATAGAGCCATGTACATATACATGTATATTCTATGAAAATACATTCACAAGCGAATCCTGCTAAAATACAATGAGATATATACTGGATACTACTGGAAAAAGTACATGTTTTACATGTCTCATCTTTATAAGTTTACATTGTTTTAAAATGCCTTCTGAAATCAAGTGTAGGCCTTAATTTTCACAATACTGGGATTTTCTGAACCTTATTCTCTGCAGTAAATTGCATTAAATTACCTTTGCAAAGCAAAACTGATAGACATTGTAGCATCGGCTATAATAACTGGTTGAGCATGTTGGCCAAAAGCAGAATTTGACTGTTCAGTCTTCCAGCTACCCTACCCTTTATAGAATTTGCTTACAAGCAGTAATGAAGTAAAATATTGAGATGGTTCATTTAGGCCTTACAGCGCAACCAATTTTACAAACGTGTGTACTCGGATTTTATGAAGAAAGTTGGAAACCATGCTTCTTTTTAAAGTCTCAATCTTGAATATATGCAAGTTTTCTGCAAGGAATGAAAATCATATCTCCCTGCTTTCTGCAAATGTAAATAATCAGAAAGAATAGTAGAATTTGGCTGGTCAAAACTGACAATGGCACTCTTTACATGAATAAAGAAAACATTATTTGCTGATTACATGAACATTCACATAACTAAAAACAAAATTAAAGATTTGCACAAAGCATGATTAATACTAGATGTAATCGTATTGCAATATTTCTTTAGCATGGCATAAGCAACAGAAATACCGGTACGGGAAACAGCACCTAAAATCTTACATCATCACTGACATTTCTCTTGATATTTACTGAATGCTGAAAAATTGTGGTACATACAATGTTGGCAAATTATTAAAATTCAAGAGCTATTTCCTGAATAAGTTTCCATATTTTATTCTATTCAGCAATTACACACTCACACACACATTCATTAAAAGTAATGTACAAGGTGATTATACATTAAATGAGATGGATAGGATTCAACTTCCATTCAGCTGAATCATAAAAATATCTTGCTCAATGCATATTTCCATTTCTCTTTCACTGACGGGAACATTCCATCATGAGTCCATCTGCACAGTATTTTGTAAAGTAACTTTTAGTAAGAATATCTTAATCACGCAGCATACGAATGACAATGCTAAACTTGGAAGATGAAAACATGTTAAAGTTAACAAAACCTTACATATACATGAACATCAATCTCATTTCAGCCAACTTTATCCTACATACCGTCGCTGTTTTCACGAAGTGACGGTAGTGAAAAAAAATTGCATTCACTTTGCGTTACGATTTTCCTCACTACCGTCACTTCGTAAAAACAAGGACGATACTTCTTAATTTTCATCTTATTTCTCAATTCATTTTTTTCACTGCAACCATTATTATCCATTTGGTCTCATTTCAAACAAACTATGCAACTCTATGTATATATCCTTTCTGCAAACAGTCATTAAAGTTCTAAAGTCTTGCCTCATAAAAACTGTCAGGGAAAATGACATTTTTCAGGCAACCTGTCTCATGGTAGATATAATTCATGTTTGATGGCTTCTGTGCGATCAGGCCATTACAATATTTCAGGATGCTTACTTTGTTCTACTGGGATTCCTGTTTGACACAATGACAGGAAACATATAGTTCTGGCAAGAAAAGCACATGATATATTCATGTTATTGTGCTTTTATCTCCCCTTCCATTTTGAAGTCTCCTGCATAGAATTTGCACAAAAAGGAATCACTAAAAAATGGGATAAGTATGACCTGACTCAAAACATTAAAAAAAAATCAGCATGTTGCCCTAAACATGAGCCTTAAAGAATGCTCACTTTATTCAAATAAATAATTATAACATTTTTTAATTAGCTGTTAAATGCCAATCTAGCCATTTTAAGAAGAAAACAAATCTTCACCAAAAGATCTGCTCTTACACATTTTATGTCAGAGCAGTTTCTTACAGGTTGTACATTAATGTAGACTAACACGTCTTTTACTTTTGAGCTGTTTCTCTTTATTGGTTTGTAAATCATAAATAGCATTTACCTTTTTCTGAATGTTCATCACCATAAAGATATTAAAAGAGTTTTATTGCTGTCAAAGCAAGGAAATAAATATGCATGAAGCAGACTTTAAATTATATAAATTTTGTGACTTTGATCTCTCTGTGGCATTAAAAATAAAAATCATGTTTTTTTTATCACTCTACTAATTTAATATGCCATAAATGTGCACATGCAAGCTATGATTTCTTCACATACTACAGAAAGAAAAGTTATGAATAAAACTGAAATCCAATTATCTCTGGTGTTACAAATCTACATCAAAACTTGGCAGAAAAATGTTAGGTCTTTTACATTTAAGAAAACACACAGAGACTGGCACTTCATTTTAGCAACAGGTGACACAAATGAAGTTTGTAACTTCGTTTTTCCTATCCCTCAATTTGGCAATCCTAGCATATCTTTCACATACATGTACATGTATGTGATCTCTAGAATTATGTCTCCTTATCTGGAGAACTTCTCTTCCACATCGTCACTCCTGCCCCAACGGCCATGGCTCCCACCACACAAGTCTGGGCCACAACTCGAAGCCTCATCAGGAAGATGGATGTGGATGTGTTCCCACGGCTCTTGTACGAGTAGGCACCCCATGCTAAGGCACCAACGAATCCCAAGATACCTGTGGAAGTGGAAACAAATACAAAAGATACATCGATAAAGATCTGCACTGAAATATGACGTTTAAGTTGAAATTGATAATGTATAAATGATGGTACATAATAAAGGTAAAAATCAAAAGTACCCCTGGAAGCATTTTATTTTTTTTTTAAATTCTGTTTTTTCTTCCTATATATATATATCTCAATGTGATTTTATGTGAAATTTGTTAAAATAACTAAATTAGTTTTCAATCTTTATCAAGAACCACTTTATTCAAGGCATATGATATACATGTATGTATATACACTATGATTTATAAATTGTCCTTATTATGCTAAAAGTGCAACATGCATCGAGGCAACGTGGTATGCTAATAACGTTAACGATTGAGTGTGTTTTTTAAGAATTATAATTCATAGTTATTCTACTGGCACTTACACATTTATTTCCCGCCATCTATCTACCAAATCATATTGAAGCTGTCTCAGCCAAGAGACAAACCCTTGTAGGGTTTTTTAACAGGTACATACCACATTTTTGTTATATATCATCATTCATAATCATGTAAAATTTATGTTTATGCTGTTTCATATGTATTTATTTGTAATATAATACAGAATTTGAATGTTTTATATTGTACACCTTTTTTTCTTAAGAAGGAATTAAATTGAAGAAAAATATTGAACTGAACTAAGACCAAGCAGGTTGTGAGCTCTGTGTCAAAGTTAACATCTGTCTCTCAACAAAATTAAGATATAAGTAATAAGATCAAGTGCATCTCTCCTTTATTTACTGTATACATTTGTTTTTAAAATTATTAAAAAAGATTAACTTGAACCAAAATTTGAACCTCACCAACTGGTACATATGGATCGGCAAGGGCTTTCCTTTTCAGCTTGTCAGTCGCCGACTCGGTATCATATTCTATTACAGGCCTGGACATTTTGAAACGATGATCGATGGAAAGACAAAGTCCTTAAATTGGTTCAATATATTTCCAAACTTGTCGGATTCTTGCAAGATGTTGAGGACAGGATATTCCTGAAAAATTTGGAAAGGAGGAAAAATATATGCATAAAATAAAGTAATAATTTTTTAACATTTTTATAAAAGTTGATGTTGATGTCAGTAATTTCAATACAATTTATAATCAAGGGTCTAGATGAACCAAAATAAAATTTGATTATGAAATTACATTTTACCTAAAAATGAAACTGAAAGTCATAAAGTAAAAAAAAAATTATTCATGAAAAGATATAGATCTAGACCCTAGATTTATATTTATATTTATCACTTTTCATTAGAAACTCATCACTTACATTAGATCAACTTCATGGTGACTGATTAGCATGCCAAATTGTCATCCAGGACTTAAGGGGTTACTGACAGAAAAGCCTTTAAAAGTTATATCTCACAAATTATATTACTTCACTCAAACTTGCATCACCAACTCGACCTTGGTAACACACATTATAGGTACACGAGATTGCACGTACGCACAATGACGCAACAAAAGCCTCATTCATGATCATGCATGACTCTGCACCGGGAGCGAGAGCTACGTCTCGAATGCATTTTTGTGTTCTACAAAGTTAATTTACAACAGGGGTTTATACTTTTAACATTTCGAATCATAATCGAGTAAGACAATGGTGTTTTAAATAAAGGTAATACTCACGAGCAAGACCGGCACGGCTAAAGAAACAAGATAAATTCAGCTTCGGCGAGATTGATGTAGGCTGCTAGCTACTGATACTTGCTGCTGCTGCTGCTGCTGCTTCTGCACTGCTGCTAAATGTTAACTGATTTAAGACGCAGATGGCGCAGTACCTTTTTCTTTTCTGAGTATAAAACAGATATCGACCCCTAAAAACTCAGTCAAAGTTTTGATGACGACTCGTTCCACTTAAAAGCATGCATAACACTTATTAATCAACCCACTCATTATATCGATCATAGGTCCAAAGATATATGGGACCATTGGCGTATCAAGAAGGGGGAGGAGGGGGGGGGGGGGAAGGGTATTTTAGGTGTTTGGTAAACAGGGGGTGTTTTAGGTGTTCTTAGCATTTTAAAGACTCCCTTTATCTGAGTTTAATCTATGCCCCCCCGGCCCCCCGGCCCCCCGGCCCCCCACCCCATTGAGCAAACAAAATTAGTTGTCCCCATGCAGAACCCCCGCTTATTCACCGGCTGGCTAATTCGCCGCTTCATATTTTCGCAGGAATTGGGGAGAGAAAAACAAATCAGTGCTCGTGACCCCTCCCCCCCCCCTCCCATTTTATTTGCTGCTCTAAATGTTTTCTCACAAATTGAGGAAAAAACACCTCGGATACTCCCTTATATGGGACTATGTGGATCATTCACTGCTGCACTAATAAAACATACTTGGTGATTAAATTGAGAAATTACCGGGAGAAATCAATTATGTCACTAATTTATGTTTAACTCAGTAATTCCCTTTTTTATTTTAATGACATAATTTGAATGGGCGGCACCTGATCAAATCCGAAGATCCATTAGGATATAGGCCTTCAAAAATAATCTACCGGTACCTTATAATAAAGTTTGATATAGAAATAAATAGGCAAATAGGTAAATAAGACAAATGATAAGTGGGTAACTTTAGGACATGAATGCGATGATCAGCTTAAAAAATAATTTGGATAAGTTAGGGAGGGGGGTGCAGGACTAAAGAAAAACAGATTTACAAAAGAAATTAAGAAAGAATGAAACATTTGAAAAAATAAAATAAAACACTCTGAAAAAAAAACTTTAAAAAATTGAACTTCACAATGTAGTTTTTATAAGAGCTTCAAGGGCATGGGAGGGCTCCACGGGAATTTGCACTGACCAAAATATGCTTGTTGTTGTGCAACAACATTGATGATAAATCATAAAGAAAGGCCTATAGCCAAAGCCTTGTGATAATCATTAATATAAACGGTCTGCACATTCAAGCAGTATCATCAACTTACACCAACAAAACAAAAGGGGTGGGGGAAACCCACCTAGTCATGTTAAACCAATGCTCTTACTGCTTAATTGCATGGGATATCATAATCTTGACGCCCATTTATGGCTTTGAAACTTCTGATGCACATGTAGATCAGCCTGAGCAGTTGTGACGGCTACATCGACCTGTGGTACATAACAATTATGATAGCATTCAAAGAGAAATTCAGTCTTCGATCAATGTAGCTCATGTCCAATAAACCTATTTTAATGATACATTTTAACATAATTACCATTTATTATATAGGGCTATTTTTTATATGCGAAATGTTATATGTATATAGGGCTAGCTAGGCTATATCATTTCTTTCACGGTTAGTTCTTAAATACTAGTAGTCGTCTCTCACTCCTTTTGAAGTGGTATTTGAGATCGAGAGAGGGAAAAGGAGGAAAGGGAATTTAAAGGAAATTGAGAGTGTGAGGTAGGGATATATAAAAAAAGACTGGAGAGAAATAGAGAGAAAAACAGAGAAAAAGAGAGAAAGAGAGAGAGAGAGAGAGAGACAGAGAGAGAGAGGGAGAGAGAGACAGAGAGACAGAGAGAGAGAGAGAGAGAGAGAGAGAGAGAGAGAGAGACAGAGAGAGAGGGGGGTTGAGGGGGCGGGGCGGGACGAGACGCAGCTACACGACATTTGCTCCTGCGACAATTGCTCCGGGCTTTATTTCGTCTAAGATGTAGGGTTAGGGTTAGGGTTTCAATAGGGTTTTATGTTAGGTTTAGGGTTAGGTTTAGGGTAGGGTATAGTGTTGAATCCAGGGTTGAAGTTAGCCATTCGATTAGTGTATGAAATTTACAGCGGAGCAATTGTCGCCGGAGCAAATGTCATGGAATCAAATAGTCTTCGTGCATGCCGAGTTTATATTGGCCGAGTCAAATATATAGTGAATTTCCTGTGGGCAAAAATTTGTACCGGATCCCGTGATCTATTTTTGCAGAGCCTGAGAATTGAAGTCTGCACATTTAGCTTAAAATGACGGGAGAATCTATATCTGGTTGGGAGTTCGATAAATTTGACGACGGTTCTTTGAGTGAGTATTTCATTCCTTTTATATTTGTGGCATACAGGCAAAAATATCGTCTCTGTGCTCAGTGTGCTATGTTGAAAACGAGCCGATTTCACGGGCCGTAGACGCCCGTGCTGTAAGTGTAAGCATAGCGCATAGGCATAGAGAGATCTAAAATGTTATTGTGTATGGATGCGGAGGCTCGGATGTTGAGGCTGAATTAAAGGGGGTGGTTCCCCGGGGGCCCGTTTCTCGAAACCAGCGACAAGATAGTCAAACCTTATCCGCCAACTACAGTACAGAGATGTCTTACTAGCTAGACATCTTGTGAAATTGATTCCATTGCCTATTGTCGAGTAACTCCCAGCCCCAGGAAGCTCCGGAGCTTTAGATGGTGCATCAGCCCAGGTGCATCAGGTGCATAGGAAAGCAATTTAAACAGCGGATTGGGCGACATTATCTCAAAATATGCAAAGGGAGTTTTCCAATTTTGACTTACTAGGTTGCTCCGACTCCTCTGGGCATCTCGCAGACCACTTGAAATTATAATTTGAAGAAGTCTTTGATGGGAAAAAGGGGGTGATTCTTCGTCCTACCCTGACGATTCATTTATGCATTGTTGATTCATTATGGTGAAGACTTATTCAAATTATAATTTCAAGTGGCCTGCGAGATGCCCAGAGGAGTCAAGCAACCTAGTATTAATAAGTCAAAATTTGAATTACTCCCTTTGCATATTTTGACATAATGTCGCCCAATCCGCTGTTTAAATCGCTTTCCTGTGCACTCACTGAAAGGCGTCGGCGTCGGAGCTTCCTGGAGTTAATTGTCGAGGATGGACTTCCCCCTTAATCCTAATGCTAACCTTAGGCTTGACCCGAAGTCAAGACTAAACTCCATAATGTAATCCAAACCCTAACCCAAATCACGTTTGTATGATGGGGAGCCTAGCTATGCCTGCGCACCTAACATTTCACTTAAAATGGACAAGACACTCTATTGTATTACATTTACGCTTGATCTGATTTAATTCCTTATATTCTATTCTGTTGCTGAATTTAGCAAATTTTCAGGGTACGTCTGATCATACTCAACTAATGATGCTATATTGAAGATAAACTTCAACCATCATTGTTGATGAATCCATTTGATATAGTCCAGTCCAGTCCAGAGTCAGAGACTTGCAATCCTCCCTCCGTTACTATTATTTCCCAAATAATTTGTTAATGTTGAGTCCTCAATGCTTTTCACGCGAGGTTTATCCTTAGTGGGGGGGGGGGGGGGGGGGGGGTTCAGCCACCAATGTGAAATATATGTGTCCATCCTTTGTAATGAGTTCATTTGTTTGACTGCAGAAAAAATAGGAGAAACAGAATGGTGAAAGTTTGAAATAAATAGGACCAGGCAGTAAGACAAAAATTAAGAGTGTTTGAAATGTGAGATAACCAATAATCTATGCAAATCTCAAATTGGTAATTTGGTCAGTGAATGGTGATTCATATGTATGCATGGACAACTCTCTCATTGTTGTGTATAAAAACATCATTTAATACTAGTTTTTCTCCTTCAGGTACGTGTAAGCATTTTCTCCCTTGGGGCACTACTCAAAATATATTATGGACAACATATTATTACAAGTCGACTGAAAAGAATTTTTTTGTGTGTTTGAACAAATGGTAAAGTTGTCCTGCAGTATGTCACAGTGATATTACCAGTTAAAAATTTGAAATTTGAAATTAAAAACAATGTCAACTACATTTGTACATGCACAATGAAAAAATTACTTTAACTAACAGTGTCTTAGATCAACTGTGTATGAGATTATGAGTGAAGAAAAATTTGTACTACATGATGGAATAAAGAAAGATTGAGTAAAAGACTCTTGCATCAGAATGAGACAAATTAAAAAAAGGAATAATTTCATACTACTTTGTCACAAGCAAAATATATCAACATACATGTATATGCATCAGCAGTACTGTAAAATTTACACTGAAATGTTGATTTTTTTTGTTTATAGGAAAGAATATAAAAACCTCCATTATCTTATATTGTGCAATCACTCGCTCATGTGGTTTTTTCTCTGTAGATCTGTAGTAAAAAGAAGAACAATTTCAAAAAAGTTTAAAGTTGAGTTTCTGGATTTACACTGGTCAAACTGGTTTACAGTAAAACTCAAATTAGACAGACTTTTACAAATTTAAGATTGGATGGAATTTGTCTGGTAGAATACAGGCTTATGAGATCAACAAGATGCTGGAAGTATTACTAATCTTTTTGTGTAATGTCAGGGTTTAAAAATTTTGAACATACTTCAAGATCAGTTCTTGTTTAAAGGAAGGAATGTAAATTATATGTATATTTGTGAATGATAGATATATTTTATGTACATGTGTGATCAAGAATTGAATATTTGAAATTATGTTTAAAAAAATAAAGTTTAACAATTCAAATGTCTAAAAAAGGGAATGCTTGCAATTTTTTTCAAATATGGCAGGAGACGGAGTAATTTAGTTAAAAAGTTAGGATAAAAAATGACCTTTAATTTAGGGCAGTATATTTCAATCAAAATCAATTTTTTGAGTGACGCTAATAAAACAATGACAAAAAGGTATTATCAAGGCTGTTTGATTTCAAAGGAGATGACTTACTATATTATACATTAGTTCTTATTCTAATACCATAGCTTCATCAAGAGAAATTGATACCAGCATGCATTGTATTATTGGGTCTGAATAGTGTAGGGCTTCCTGTACATTTTCATCAGTTGTGGATTTTTTTGTTCTGTTTTTTACATTTCTCAATGGAAGTAGTATTGTATGAACATTTGCCATTTCCAAACATGGATGATCTTGGTACATTTACCTAATTATGTAAAATGAATTATCTAGCAAATATTACAAGTTCAATCAAGGATTTTATTTTAGTATAAATGTAGTTTTTGTCATGGATGATTTGTGCTTGTTCTTTTGAAGATTCATTTTGTTAATGCAATATGATGTGGTGGTAATCTGCACCTACTTTTAAAACTGGATGTGGTGATTTGAGTCAAGCCTCATGTAAAAGAAAATGCCGTAAATATGTTTGTTGGTGACTCAGTGCAACTTCACTTTGACCACTAGGCTATACATAGTGATTAGTCTTATTGAGATATTGAGTTCGTCATCCAAGGATGTGAGCACACATGTATCATTCAAACTACGGTACATTGATATTAAACGAAGCAGGGAGCATACATGTACAAGACACCATAAGGTTGTTCCCTGTGCACGTCCCTACGCCCTAATTGTAGCTTCCTGTGACAAAACGCTCTGCTCCGGTTGATGTTAACACAGAAACTATCAGACAAGACAGGTCTGTCAGAGTGCAGAGATATGTGGGACCTTTGTGTTGAACTGCAGTGTACTTGTATTCTAACTAATCCAAGGGTGAAAGAGTTAAAGGGAAAGTCAACCCTGATATTAAGTTAAGTTGGCTGTAATAGGAGCAGAAAAATTAGAGAAATAGATCAGTGAAATTTTGAGCAAAAATAATTGAAATTAAGAAATTTATGAATTTTTAAAAGTGCAATCAATCAATCACGAATTGGCAACTCTTCAACTTATCTTTCTCTGTACTAAAAAGCTTTAATTCTTCTTTTTTTTTTGCTTTTGTCAATTATACATTCACCCTAAATATAATTTGCAAGTTTTTCTACACCACCTGTATGAAACTAATGCCATACAGTGTATATGACTAAGGAAATGTACAGAGCAAATTTGGGGAGGAGCTCGCAAGATACATGTACATGTATGTCACAACTTTAAAAATTCATAACTTTAATTGGATATTACGGTAGTTAAACTTTCTCTTATTTGTTTCTCATATTTTTCTGCTTTTATTAAAACCAACTTGATATTAGGGTGAACTTCCCATATATTGATTGTCTGAATGACAGTAAATATAAAGTAACACAAGTGATCTCTTATTTTCAAGTCTGCGATTACAAAAAATGTACATGTAATTGTTAGATGTTAGGTGTAAGATTTTAAAAAAAGGTATAATAATGATATATCTGTAAAGTGCTTAGAGACATCGGTGATGTATTAAACGCTATGTAAAAGCGGAATATTATTATTTTAAATTAAACAAATTAGAATTGATTCATATTCTGAAATTGAAGTAGTTATGGACCAATCCTGAAGAAACAAACAGAATACTTTTTGTCCATTATATACAAGTACCTACTTGTGTATGTTTTTATGTCTTTCGTATGCATTAGTAGTGTTCTATGCCACTGAATTACCATTGGGTAAAACTCTTTGTACAGACATCATTGTTCACTTTAGCAGTGATATGAATGACGATACTACAAAGAAATCACACCTCTTTGAGGGTGAATGAAGTCAGGATAGAATATATTTTCAAGTTCAATTGAAAATTTGACAGTATTTACCTGTGTAGATATTTCCTTTTGGGCATTGTGGCGTGCACATGTATGTAATCCAGCTAACAATATAAGATACAAAATTGATTCAGCCGAGGACGCAGGTTCGAAACTGACTCACGTCTTTCGGATGGTGACGTTTAAAGGTCAGTCCCCAGACGTAAATAGTCATATCTGATTGATACACATCTGTAAAGACTCAATACACACTTTGAGTGACAACATCATGATAAAGAAATTTTTGAAATTTATATTTTGAACAGAAATTGTTGGTGAGGTGCAGCTCAGGAAGTATGGCAAGTTTCTTGAAGAGTATGCCACCCAGTTGAAAGGAATTGAAGATGCCTTAGACGAATCCGTAGGGGATGTGTGGGACTTTACACTAGATCCTATCTCACTACAAGTAAGTACATGCAATACACTGTATTTCTTGGTAAAACTGCAGTTTGTTTAGTTTCATTATGTTTTAATAAGTTTCAATTACTTTTCAAAGAGCATTGTGACCTTAAACTGGTCTTAAACTGTATCATATTCCCTACTAATATCAGTTAAAATTATATTTGTTGTGTTAAAATGGTCAAGAATTTAACGCTATTGACAATTATTGTGATTCTTTAAATCTTAGAGATATATTGCAGGTGACTCAAGGCATGTTCGCTGATTAACAAACAGTCTTGGCTCAAGACACTTCATTTTTATGGTTTTTAGAAAAATGAATTTAGGTCAGATATTTTGAATAGACTAGAAGGGTTTTAACTGTTTAACTTGATCTAGTGCTGAGCCTTTTAATTGTAAGAGGATATGATCAATGAGAGTGCTGACAAGGACAAAATTCTATCATGCAATATCCAAACAGTCCTATAACTTGTGTGTATATGTTTGATCTTTAATACAGTACTTGCCGTGTGAACAGACTTCATTGCTGGACCTCATCAAGACTGACAACAAGGTATATGTAAGAAACACATTTCCATTCTATTCCTTGCATGTCCAGTAGACGACAAGTGCATGGAATGGAATGGAGGACCGCGCCCTAAGGACTGCGCCCTGGCATTTTTGGGGTAAAAGCATGAACAAATCAACATTTTCCTGGACAATGATTAAAAAATAATAAGAAACACATTCTCTTTCTATTCCTTGCATGTCAAATAGACAAATAATGCATGGAATGGAATGGAGGACTGCCCCTCGACTGCGCCTTAATGCCAAGCAATCAAACAAGTTGCGTTAGCACTGTTTAGGTATTGAAATAGCATGAACAAACCAACACTTCCTGGACAATGATTATAAAAACGATGATCATGAGATAGTTTATGTGGAGCTGATAAATGTTGCGTTGGCGCCGTTTGGTTAACAGTGCATGAATGAACCAACAATTTCATGGATAATGATTAAAAAAACGATAACAAAAACGATGAGATAGTTTATGTAAGAAACACATTTCCATTCTATTCCTTGCATGTCCAGTAGACAACAAGTGCAAGGAATGGATTGGAGGACTGTGCCTCAATGCCGACTAATTGACACGTTACGTTGGCACTGTTTGGGTATTAAAAGAGCATGAATGAAGCAACGATTTCCTGGACATTCATTAAAAAAACGATAAGATAGTTTATGCAAGAAACACAAGTTCTTTCTATTCCTTGCATGTCAAGTATACAACAAGTGCATGGAATGGAATGGAGGACTGTGCCTCGATGCGGACTAAACGATACGTTGCGTTATTAAAAGAGCATGAATGAAGCAACGATTTCCTGGACAATGATGAAAAAAGATTAGATAGTTGATGAAGGAGTACTATACTTAAGTTGCTCATTATTGAACAGCGTGTATCTGGTATGGCAACCAGGTTGATGGTTTGATACAATAGTCAATGGAAAATACATATACCAACTTTCACCAAATATAAATTGAGTCAACACACATGTCTATGTTAAAGAAAAAGAATGTATGACCATTTGAATAAATGGCCAGTATTGTTTCACCAAAAAAAAAAAAAAAAAAAAGTGGAAGATGAGATTGGACATTTGATGCTGCAATCATTTTGTTTTTTATTGTTTGAACTGCTAGATTTATGTGCTTCTTGAAAATAAGTGAACTTGATATTTAACTGCTTGACTCAACCCATGAATCATGAATCCCCTAGTTCCATTGCCCTCCAAAATCAGACAATATTTGAAGCATGCATCTAATCTATGGAGATTGGACGTTTGATCCTGCAATCTTTTTTGTTGTTATTTTTTGAATTTCTAAAATGTTATCAGATTTGCTGCTTGAAAATAAGTGAACTTGTTATTCAACTGTTTGACTCAACCCATTGCCATCCAGAATCAGACAATATTTGAAGCATACATCCAATCTATTGACCCTCCAGTGGCATGCATACACGTAGATAAAAATGAAGTACACATCGCTGGTCATATAAAAGAGGGTTTCATGCTTCTTTTTGTAATGATGTAGAATATTTACATGCATCTATTTTTCCATGTGATTTTTTTTGTTAAGTTTGCTATATTCTTGGTGAACTTTGTTTCTTGAATCCTTGTGTCTATGTACAGATCTTCAACAAAGTCATCACTGTATTTGCATCTCTTTGTTGTGAGGTTGAGCAGCTGAAATATGAGGTAGGTTTACAGGAGAGATGTCTGTCTCATCATGCAAATAGACTTCTGTTCATTTTGATAGGGGTTATCAAGGTTCAGGGGCCCTCAACAACTTCAGTTGGTTTCAGGACCCTGTTTCATAAAACTTGTTATCAATAACCAATTTTAAATTTCTATGACAAATTTGCTCTCAGCCGGCAATCAAATGCCACGCTTTCAGTAGATTACAGCAGTTATTGTTACTGTTATTGATAACAAGTTTTTGTGAATTATAGTGAAATGCGATGAAGTTGAACCTAAATAATCCCCATACAGTGCAACACTTTGTTTCGTTGGTTAGAATGAAAGATTTTCTCTAAATCATTGACAAATTTTATAAGCAAAATCTACTTTTGGTAAGCCTTTTAGTATTGTGTTCATAATGATTATTAGATATTTTGTTATTAGTATATAAAATGACAAAAAAAAAAAAAAAAACATTTTGACAATATTTGTTTAAATTTAAATTTTTGTTTGTATTATCAGTATTTTTTTCATTAGCATACACTAAAAAAATAGAAAGAGCTAGTTATCTTAAAGTCCTTAAATATCATGTCTAAGTTCAATTCCATATATGTAAGGATGGTTTGCATTACCAATGGAACAAAGCAACTTCATTGAAGGAGAATAATACATGTATTCTGTAGTACCTAGCTCGATCATCTTGTCTTTATTGTAAGGGCATTTTAAGCATAATTTACAAATACTTTTTTACCCATTTTTTCAAGGCTCAACATAAATTCTACCCTGCACTTATCTTCTATGGAGAAGGAGGTGAGTGTCAATCAATTTGTTTTAGTTTGTTCAAAAATAATAGTTTATGACTGATGATCTTTGTACAGTATGAGATATATATGTGAATCTTTACCCAAATCATTTACAGTGCACCTGTTAACTTTTTTCAAATAAATGTTATGGTAGTGTAAAACCATCAATAAAAATATTTTAGTACATAAAAACAGAAAAGATTGATTTATGAATCAGTGTCCTTGAACACTTGCATTTATATTCTGCATATTCAGACACATTGGAGTGTCATAGTTACAGCCCTTTGCATGGAAATTGTCTGTATTATTATTATTAAAAAACACCAGAGATACTTCATAATGTGTGTTTTTAAATACCTTTAACTCAACATTTTCATTAAAAAAAAAAAAAAAAGAAGAATTTTCTGTCACAGAAGTGAAGTTACAAATGTATGTAAGAAAAGGGAATCTTTGAAAACTGTTCATGCTACTTTTCATTGGTGGAGTGTTTAAGGTTGTTTCATGGAAATAGCTGGAAATGTCGCTGAATTAAGTAACTGGTCAATTGAACATGTCCTAAAACTTTATGTCAGTGAGGTGCTAATTAGCAAGGAGATGAAAGACAATTGCCAATCATGAGAGGGCTTGGAAAAGGTACTGAAATCTCGAGATAACCCCAGTTGATATATGACACATGTTAGTCGTGGTCATAGGGGATTGCAAATCTTGACTCATGTATGTACCCCGTTTGGCACCATGTCAGGTGTGGGGAAGGGGGGGGGGGTCATGAGGTCATACTGAGATATATACATGTATAAGGGGTCAATTTGTGTAGATTTTAGAATGTTGATTGAGACACTATGAGATTTAATCCCTAATGGCTCTATATTTTTACCATATATGTTTGGAATGGATTGTAAAATGAATAGTGTGTCATCTGCCCTGCAAATTTACCCACTGTAAAATCAACCTGCCTTGTTGTATACCGATTTCAAACTGCTAAACTACCGGAGTACCGGTAAACTTTGCTACATGAGTGAAAATAATTGTCCTCATTTATATTCAAATGAGAAACATGTGTAAGTATTAAAACAATGTCGCAGAAAAAGGCTGTTATCAAATTCAGGTGATCAAATTAAACTTGTCTCACTCTCATACTCATTCGAACTATTTCAAAATATCAATGCATCTTTTATATATATTGCTAGTAAGTTCCTACATTTTCAAGTATTATTCAGATGGTATGAATGTTGTAGGTCCAGATGAGTCTATACATTTTTTTTTAAAATTGCTGAGCTGTTTTTTAATTTGTAAATGCAATCCTACATTACCTGTGAAAAAATGGAATAAGATATATATAAGAGAGATTTCCTTATATGCACACTCTATTCATTTGGATTGTTTATGAACAGAACCCGAGACAGGTTTGGAAGAAGGAGAGGCACAGGTTCAGATGGGACGTCTCATGCCCTTCTTGCAGGTGAGATTACTGCTACTTCCACCCTCGCTCCTAATTACCCTTTCCTTATGGCAGGGAGGGGGAGGGAGGGGGAGGGAGGGGTGGGGGGGGGGGGGCTAGTCACATTAATGATGTTACCTCTGACATGGTCATTATGAAAGGATGTGTAAGGATTAAGATTGCTCATGTTTACCAATTGTTATGTAAATAAAAAGGTGTACCCTTGTAGATAACTTTTATGGACGTTTTTCTAAGTGCACATGTATGTAATATGTATACATTGTAGATAATGGTGGTAGAATTATCTTTCCCTATATGTTCTTTGATGGATTACTTAGAAGAAAAAAAATGAAAAAAAATCCATGATTTGCAGGCAATGCATAAGAGTTATCTAGTTATCAAATCATTCATTGCAACTGTGGTTTGGCATTTCATACAAATGAAAAATAAAATCACTATTCTAAACTTACATGTCAGAAGAGTGAAATGTACATTTTAGACAGATGGTCATGATTTCATGCATGTGAAACTCATGTGCCGTCATACATTCATGTGTATAGATATGTTTACTGTCGACCTTCATCGTTAGGCTTATCCAGGCCCAGAATACCAGTAATACATGCCTTGTACATTGAAGTTCATGTATACAGATAAACAATCAGGGTTACATACGTGTCGGCGTTGAGTGACAGCATGTATATCATAAAGGAAGCTGTGTGTCACTGCGTTGACATTTGAAAACGTGGCCTCATGGCTGCAAGACAAAATTAAGTCTACTCCCAAGGACATGGAGGTGTATGGAGTAAGCGATATAACCCACCCACGCATATAACATATAACGAAGAGCTCATGTGTTTATAACCATGTAGGTCATGTCTTCATGTGGAAATGCTTTAATCCCAGTGTGCCACTAAGTTTTTTTAGCAGCTGTCATAAAATGAACTTTAAAATGTTAAATTTTGATTTATAGTGCTTCTTGCATTGTTAAAGTGGTCATGGAATATGTTCCATGGGAACGATTTCACAGTGTGGGTATTGCTTTTGCTTCATGAAGTAAGACCTGGCTGTGCTTAGTCCAAACAAATTATTGAACACTCAAAATTCTCAGTCAGGATTTCCTATGGCATGGAAGTGATTTTCAAAGGTTATTAAACATCATGCTTTCCAGATGCTGCAGATCTTAAAGTAGTCATAAAGGGGCATAATTCATCCTTCCCCCTTGACGTGCTCAGCAGTATGATATAAGCTAATCTTTTTCGTTTTAATATTTTGCTACTTGTATTAATTTTTAGTAAGTTAATTAGTTTTCATTTGAAACTACTTATAAAAAAGCTTATAAGGGAAATAGCTTAGGAAAATGTTGAATGAGAGTTACCAAAAAAAAAAATCATTTTGTTTAAAATATCAAGCTGGTGTTGTTATCATTGCTGCTAGCATTAGTAAATTGCAAAACGATTTCTTAATTTGCATAATGAAGTTTACTTATGTATACGTTGATGTCCAATATTAGATGGCTTCCTCAAGAGAAATGACTGCAGGTGTTGCCCCTATCACTCATGAAAGTTCTTTCTTTTATCATTTAATAATGTAGGAGTTGTCATGCTATGTGAACCGTTGCTATGAAGTTGTCAAGAACATGGTGGACCAACTTGCTGCCTTGTACAATAATGCAAAGTAAGTTAATAAATGAGATGTCATCGTATGAACTATACTCTGCTATTTTGTGATAAGGGTGGCAGGAAATGTCCATGTAAATTTATGTTATATATTTTTAATTAAAAAAAATAAAATTGCTGACTGAAATCATGATATACAACCAAAAAAAGAATCAATAATCAAAATCAGTTTTGACAATTTCTTAGCTAAAAGCTTCTTTGTTCAGCATTGTCATATGCATGCCATGAATAATTCATTGTTCTATGATCCCTTTGTCATGCATGAAACACTGTCTGTGTAATGAATAATTTACACTTTGTATGATCAGTAGTATAAATTTGTCATTAAAAGACAAGTGAGACGAATATATAATATTGTAACTGAATGTAGTATCATTTGATTTCTCTTTTATTGAATTTTTATTATTAATTTGCAGGACTGCACCAAAGATCATTGATGTTACTCATGTTCATTTTCTTGTGAGTATAAGACCATTGATTTTAATAAACTTCTTTAAATGTAATATGTTGTTTCTTGAAAATTTTGTGAGTTAAAAACATCTGAATTTGCTCAACTTCTCGAGAAGCTAGAAAAGTAATTTTACAGCTTCCACAAAGGTGCCATATCATTACAACTTAAGTCTCTCTTAAATCCCTGTAAAGACTGGACCCAAGATTATTATGGGTTTAACTTGTGTAAAATTGTGAATAAAATGATATTAAGTTGATAGCTTTCAATTACTTGTAATGAATGAGTTTGAAAGAAAGAATGACAGAAAATAGGTCGCAAATATGTAGAACAAAAAATCGTTCAATGAACTGTCGCACTCAACGTTTTCTAAATTCCTTTGTTTCTTTCTCGATCCGCAAATACAATAAAAATGCTACCTGAATTTTACGTTCTTCTTTATTTCTGTAATGTTATTTCTGTAACTTCCAGCCCATCCCGCTCACTCGAACCTTTAAAATAATTCACTTATTTTGTTTTATAATAACATTAGAAAACTTTCTGTAAAGCAATATTCTGAAAAATTTCTATGTCAAAGTATATGATGTATTATGTATGTAGACTTATTTTGATTATTTGTATGTTTGTAAAATGTGAGCAATTTTTTTTCTCCAATATTGGACAAATGAATTGAAATTGAAATTGAATTGAATTATCTCACTGGTTGTGCCATGCTCTTACTTGATCTTTCTTCTAGACAACCTATGAGTACCTGGGTGAGCTCCTGCGTATCTTGATCACACTCGATGAGATCGTTGCCAATCAAGCAACACTCAGGGATCACTGGACACTCTACAAGAGGTGAGATAGAAATGAATTATGTTTTCATATAGTGTTTCATTTGATCAAGGTAATGTTGAGTAAAATATTAAAAGAAATGTGAGGAGAGAGAGACAGACAGACAGAGAGAGAAGAGAAGGAGAGAGAGAGAGAGGGAGAGAGAGAGGGAGAGAGAGAGATAGACAGAGAGATAGAGAGAGAGAGAGAAACGAAGGAAGAAGAAAAGAAACTGGAATATAATACAGGTACACATTCATAAAACTAATCAAATACTTTTTGAATACAATTTGATTCACATATATTTTTCCTTTTTTTTTTTACCGGTACAGATTTTTGTTTCTCTTTATTTACAAAGTTGTATTGAAACAAAAAGTTACATTCACAAAGTTAAAATGATGTTTAGATGAATCAATAACAAATGTTATTGCAAGACTAAGTCATCATTCATAGATCTCACTTGTGCGTTTTAATACTATGTGTTATGCGCTATACAAGAACGGTTAATTATTATTATTATTATTATTATTCTAATTTATACTATCCTCCGAATCGCATAACAGGATGTTGAAGTCAGTGCATCACAACCCTCAGAGGTTTGGGATGGAGGAATCCAAGCTGAGACCGTTTGAGAAGCTTCTCATGGGACTCCAGGGTCAACTCTTAGATGGCATGATCTTCCAGGTCAGTATCGTAGCGGCAAACCTCTTAGCCCCATCACAGCCCTGTTACATCCATTCCTATTACTTCATATCAAATTTAACCTGTTCACTACTGAATTATCACTTTCCAATATGTTTAGTACAGGAAATCTACCCAGCTTAGCCAGTGGGTTAAGAAAGTGAATCAAAATATGAGATGAGACAGCTCAGTAGTAGAGACAAAGCCAGTGGTAGAGCAGTGGTCTTGCACTGATGCTTGTTGGTCAGGCATTGACCCTCAATTTCCAAGTCCTGATAGGAATCTAAGCCTAAAGTCACCTCAGAGCCAAGTTCTAAAACATGCTATTTTGACAAAGCCTTTCCATCTGTAAAATGTGTCACAGATGGGAAAGCATGCAAATTTATATTTTACTTAGAGATATGAGTTAGTATTGATCTATAAAATATCAAATATGTATTGTGCTATACAGAAACATTTTATTTTGCTCAATGTAGATACAATTAAGGCTAAAGAGGAGATAAATTGATTTCATACAGTGGGGCAGCTTTTAAGTGAATCATGAAAATATGTCTTTAGATAGAAACACGCTGCAAATGCATTCAGGAGTGGAATGGGGAATAAAGGTTAATTTTTTATTTATTTTGTATTACATGAACAGAACTGTGTTGAGCAGAACTTTGATGACTGTGGAGTGACCGTGTCAAAAAATACCTACTTTGCTGAGGAGTTTGCTTACAATATCAGAACCATGTTTGCCAACACTGATCCAAGGATTGGTAAGTCTCAACTATTTAACTCATTTATGATGCTACTTAAAAACAAGCTAGGCAATTACCTGGATTGAATCCCAAAAGGTTTTTATAGAACAATGTTTTATTGGGGTTACTGAAGGTTTTGTGTATTCTGTCATAAACAAATGCTAATATTGAGGATGTGTTCTTTTAAAGTTATGAAATTAAAAAAAATTGATATATAGATAAAGATGTCAAAAATAGTTTCCGCTACATCATGTAAAATATTTATTTATTCATTTGGCCTTGGGAAAAGGTCTAGAAAGCTAATATAAAACATCTACTGGTGTTTGCAATGTCATTACTGACGTAATATATTTAAAATTACTATATGATCTTTTGAAAAAATAGAATCAACAAAAATGTAATAAATAAATAAAAATAAATTTTTTTATCACTATGTTATTTGAATTATTCAATGATGCGGCTATAGAAAGACAATCACTTGCTCCATCAAATTCATCTTTTACATGTACATAAACTGAATTAGATTAAAAAAACATTACAGCGACTAAGATCAAACATTTGCCAATATTTTATGTACATGTTCATATATTGAGCTAATATAAAATTTCATGTTCTCCGTCATAACTGAAGCAAACATTAGTATCGAATCTAGGGCATCTGCCAAAGTACAGGACAAAGGTCATGAACGACATTTTTGTCAGTGAAGAAATGAATCAATTCTAGCTAGTGGATACCTTTTCATAATTCCTGCAGTAGCCTGATAAAAGTGACTCCCTAAACTTCTAAATGATCCCCAAACTGTCCCAATGTTTAATTATTCCAGGAGATGACAATGTGTTTGAAATTACATTACCCTTACAAGAAGTTGGTATTCTTACATTTGTACTCTTCCCTGTATAAATCTTGTTCCCAACGTGGTGCATGCAAGCTGATGTGAAAATTTGGAAACCGTAGACAATGTTGAAAGAGGAAGAGTATTATTGTCCTCTTATAAATAACCCATGTTAAAAATATGTCATGCATGATTAAGGTATGACAAATTTGAGCACAAGGTAAATTGCTTTTATCCACTTTCATTGAACAGGTGAGGTGAATGAGACAGACCAAAGACTGAAGTATGTTGGTATATGTGGTCTCTATGTACTCCACTATCAGATCTTCAGAGTCATCGACAAAAAGGTCTTCAAATCTCTCTGGGATGTCTACAAAAAGGTTAGCTTTCATACTGCAGAGTATTCAATTTATGTATAACTGAGAGATGTGGATATTTGTTGTTGCTTCAGATGGTGTTCAAGCATTTATAATAATGTCTCTTGAGAGCTAAAAGGACAGTAACATATATACTTCACATCCTTCTGGCTATCAACATACAGAAGGTTCATTTGAATAAATGGGTTCCACTTTATCTTTTCCCTCTATCTCATGCATTCTGTATGCTAGCTTTGAGTTCATTCTGCAATGGAGCAGTGCTAATATCTATATTACCCTCCTGATAGGGCTTTATGATTTGTTGATTTTAGTCTGGTAATGTTACTTTCATGATGTGGACTTGTTTTGTACAGGATGGTTACTGCATTTACCCTACAAATGTCCTTTATATGTGGGTTTGACGATAATGTAACCATGTGATGATTCTCTTTCAGATTCCAGCCATCACATTGACAGCCAACATTGTGTGGTCAGCCAACCAGTTCTTACTCAAGAGTCTCTCACCTCACGTAGCTAGACTGATTGATAGGAAGGCACAGCATCATGTCCTACAGCAGACCAGTCTGTTCTTACAACAGAAGAGCCAGAACCTTCTCAAGTAAGTTCCAAAATCCTGAATGTTCCTATTTTGTGGAAGCATTGTTAATAATCCAGTGCAGATAAAACTCGCAATTATGGATGAGTCCATCCATATAACACTAATAAGATTGAAATATAATATATTTTGACAGATGAGCGTGGTCAAATTCCAATTAGAACCTGATCACCCTGCTCAATCAATGGTTTCATCAATTCCTTTCTGCAACACTAAATTATTGATGATGATTTAGAAAAAAAATAGTAAAAAATCATGAAGACTTACTCTTTGAAATATCAATTGTTACATTACATTTCCAAATATGTTTTCATGTAGAAAGAGGCATGAAGTAAACTGATTCCTGTCTTATCAGGGCAGCAGGGCTGTAGCTGGTTAATAATTCCTGAAGTTTTTAGAGGCACATAGAGACGAAGAGATATGAGATACAGTCAAACCTGCTTAAGTGACCACCTGTCTACAAAGACCACTTTTTGTGTTTCCCTCGGGCAGTCGCTATAGACAGGTTTGACTGTATAACAACTGATAAAACACAGGAGGACTCCCATGAAGTGAAGGATCCACCATTCAAAATCCACATCCATGAACTGTCTCTAAAATAATTATAATAATTAGCTTTAAAACTGATATCCTCTCTGTCAATACATGACATATATATTAAACCTTCCAAACATTCCCCCAAATACTTGTCCACCAGGGAGGTACAGGTATACTACATGCAGGTGTGTTCCTGGATGGTTCGTATGGAATCGAGTCTGACTCAGGCCAACACTGTCATAGAGGACCTCACGCACAAGTGCACTCTCTTCATACATGTGAGTTAGTTATCTATTATAGATATGTTACTTTCTTTGTGTGTAGTGGCTTTTACATCTTAAGAAAAAATTGTTATTATGTTACCCATTTTATAGCAAGAAGGGCTTCAACTCCCATTGTTTTTACCCAGGATAACACCCTTCTGACTCCAAAAATGCGTTTTTTATATGTGACTGATATATAGATTTTAGCAAATTGTTATAGGAGCGTAGTATGGTATTTAAAGTCATGTTTAATTTGTCAACTCTTTTGGATGATAGTTCATATTGCTATATGCAACCTCTCTCTAAAAAAAATGTTGTGGATATATTGACAATTACAAAGCAAGCAACAGTTGGCAACTAATGTCTTAGAAGAGTGATAACACCATACTGTTGTGAAAGTATAAATCCATGAACTTTTATGTAGTGTAGACACAACCTTTATCATGACATTGTATGTTTCTGTCTTGCAGGGGTTGCTGTTTGCCTACAACATCAGTAACCTTGTTCACACTGTGATGAACCTTCATGCTCACATGAACAAACCCATGACCAAAACAGCCGTCCTTGCTCTGTGCAGACTCATCGAGATGCTCAAGGTGTGTAGAGTAAATTGAAATAGAACATACCGTTAACAACTAAGTTATTCATACCCTCACCAAGTTTTGTAATTTTGTAAGTATGTGATATATTAACCCGTTCCTTCCGAAATTATTTAGCCTGATAGCCACCCCACAAACGAGATTAAAAATCGAAAACTCGACTCCTTCGCTGCCGTACAATACCGTGCGACTGTTCAGCGCGCGGAACAATGCGTGTGCGTTGAAGCGACCTAAAGCCTGGCCAGTCGCTTCGACGAGCAGGAACTTAGCGCATGCGCAGATCATTTGGCAATCTGCCGTGCTCTAAGTTCTTTCAGCTCTTCCGTACTGTAGGTTTTTTTTCTTCGTTATCTTTTTTTCCTCTTCTACCTACTTATTTTGTTCTTCTTTTTTCTCCTCCGTATCTATTTTTTTCCTTGTCACTCTTATCCCTCCTCCTTCTTCTTCTTCTTTTCCTTCTTCCTATACTCTTTTTTTATTTTGATACTCGATTTTATGAGAAAATACACAGTATATAAAAAGTAAACTATTTCAATGTAAGTTTCTGTTGCATCAAATTTAATTGAAATAGTTTATCAGCCAAAATTGACTGTTATAATTTACGTCTGACAATATAATGTAGCGAAAATATGTAAACATGATCAAATGAAACTCAAGAAGAATCCAGAACGGGGGGGGGGGGGGGGGGGGGGGGGGGGGAGAGGGGAGGTGAAAGGAGAGCCAAAATAGCATACTAATAAATACAGTACAGACTATATAACGATGCGCCCAACTTTCTCTCTCTCTCTCTCTCTCTCTCTCACTCTATAAAAACCGTTCATTATACTTTATCTCTCTCATACTGTTTTCTGTTCCACGATTTCCGAAAGCACGTTTCGACATAATAAATAAGAATTGTTAAAAGTAAGAGTTTGGATATAAAAACATCTCTTATGCAAAAAATAATATGACACAATCTTTTTTGACAGAACTAATATACGTCGGACGAAGGAAATAACTCCTTGGTCGGACATTATACTTTAGCGAATTTTGTTTAATTTTTTTAATTTGTTTTAAAGAACTAAAGAAACATTCTGAATGGGGGGGGGGGGGGGTTGATCAGATAGACAACTAGTATAATAATAAATACAGTACAGACTACGTCCAACGTTCTATCTCTCTCTCTCTCTATCTGTCAATGTTGTTCCGCCATTTGCTTGTATGCCGGCATCATTCCTTCTTTGAGATAAATTATGATAACATATCCATGATGATGAAAACATACATCTTAAATACTAGGGAAAAAAAATAGAGAACGAGCGGCTGATAATGTCAAAATGAATATCACTGTACACAAATTATAGAAAGTAAAAGTTTTGATTTTGAATGTAAGTCTCTGTTGCATCAAAATAAAATGAAACGTTCATTATATCGACGGAAATAATATACATCAGACATTATACTTTACCACAAAAGGGTCATCTAGAAGTAGGTGGATAACATTATAAGAGAAAGAAGAGAAAGAATGAAACTTTTTCTTTCAAAAACAGAAGAATAATGGAGAGGGAGACAAGGACACATACACAATAAATAAATATAAACAACATAGGATTCTAGAGCGGAAGATGATATAGGGGAAACGAAATAGTTCGGAAGTATTGCCTAGAGAGCAAAATAATTATTCTGTTTTATTTACTAATGTAAAGCGCTTTGATCATGTTTTATGTAAAGGCGCTATATAATATCAATATGTATGATTATATTGGCAAATTTTGACAATTATAGTTTGTAAGTATGAATTGACAAAGTACGTACAAATACAAATGACACAGAAATGTCTGCAAGTATTTGGGACCTATATAGAATATGTGAAAAGAGCTTTATCTTTGTCTTTGGCCCATGATCCCACAACTTAGTTACGTAAGAGGAACAAAGAACGTTGACGGATGTAAAGGTTGTTGTCATGGTTATAAACCCCAACAATAGAAGAGCGGAAGTAAGGTAAGGGTATAATTGAATGACAATGACCTGGCTTACAGCATTGATGATCCTACATGTATAACCCTGGTTTTTTTGTGTGTGTTTTGGGGGGAGTGGGGTCTTGTTGTTTTTGCAATCATTCAAAGATAATATCAATCATACAAGATAAAGGAATGAACAAGAATATATGATATGCTAAAATGTAAGAGACAAAAAGATGATGATGAGAAATGATTGTTTCTATCTCTTTTTTTCTCTCTTTTTCACACTCTTTATGTGTGTGTCTCTCTCTCTCTCTCTTTCCTCTCTCTATCTCTCTCTCTCTCTCTCAAACTCTCCACTTTCTCCCTCTCTCTCCGTCTGTCTCTCTGTCTATCTGCCAATGTTGTTCCGCCATTTGCTTGTATGCCGGCACCATTCCTTCTTTGAGATTAATTATTATAACATAAAATTATCCCTGATGATGTACATTATTATACCTTATATTTATTATAGGGAGCGAAAAAGAAAACGAGCGGCTGATAATGTCAAAATGAGAAGAATATTACTGTACAATATTTATACAAAATAAAAACTTTGAATGTAAATCTCTGTTGCATCAAACTGATATAAACAAATTGTTATTATGCTATATTGACGGTACTATTATCCGTCGGACATTGTGCTCTAGCCAAAAGATATAAACAAACAAAAAAAGAGAAAAACTAAAGAAAACATCTGAGGTTTGTGGGGGGGGGGGGGGTAGTCGGTGAGAAAAATATCATAATAATAAATACAGAACAGACTACGTCAAACTTTCTATCTATTCTGCCCCCGCCCACCCTCCTCTCTCTCTCTCTCTCTCTCCCTCTCGCTGTCTCTCTCTCTCTCTCTATCTCTCTTTCTACGTTGTTTTCCATCTTCATCTTTCATGATGTTGTCTACTATTCCGCCATTTACTTGCATGCCGGCATCATCCTTTCCTTGAGATTAATTATTATAACATATCCCTGATGTTATACGTCAGACATTATACTTTAGCGAAAAGAAATAATCAAACAAACAAAAAAGCGTACACAAAAGAAAAACAATCAGAGCTGGGGGGGGGGGGGGGGGGATCGGAGATAACTTTCTATCTCCCCCTCTTTCTCAAATAATTTATATCTCCTCTCACATATACCTTAGTATAGGGAACGCTATAGAGAGTGAGCGGCTGATAAAGTCGAAATGAGAAGAATATTACTGTCCAATACTTATAAAAGTAAAACTTTTGAATGTAAATCTATGTTACATCAAACTGCTATACAAAAATGTTTATTATGCTATATTGACGTTACTATACGTCAGACATCATACTTTAGCCAGGAAATATAAACAAACAAAAAGAGAGACAAACTAAATAATAAATCTGAGCTTTGAGGGGGGGGGGGGGGGTCGGTGATACAAAATGTCATAATGATAAATCCAGCATACACCTGATCAAAACTCGTTTTCGGAGACTAAATCGAGTACAACCTCGCGATCTTGCTTTAGACTTATAATACTGCTTGTTAAGCTGACCTTGTTGAGCTGACCTTTGGATTTTCCTTTCATGTGCAGTGAAGTGCATTGTTCCGCGCGTGCCGCGTGCCGTTATAGGCTTTGGCTTTGCGCTGCTCCCAATTGAAATACCAGCAGTATTGGTATTCTGTGCATGGAAGGTCTCAGCGAAAGTCAATATCTGTGGGACAGACATCGCGGAGCTCCAATACGCTGCTGTACGAATTTCATGTGAGAGAAAACTTGACATGCTTATGAAAAAGTACAAATATAATGAGTAATATTAAAGTAAACAAAACAGGAGTAATGGATAATGATAGCATATACTTTGGATAAACCCTCACATCCACTAGTTTAGTGAATTAATGGCAGGGAAAGGCAATTTTAGGCTTGTAAAGACGTCGTCTACCTGCCTATTATGGGAACCTGGTATACCAGGTTCCCGTCTGTGAGTAGGCTCCACGGGAGCCTGGTATACCAGGTTCCCGGAAGGAACGGGTTAAAAATTACATCTTAAAGTATTCAGCAAAGGCCCTAATTCGCCAGTCCACCTTTCATTCTTCTATTACGAAAAACACAGAAAACATCAAATTTACGAGGGGTATAAATAATTAAGTTGCGTTAACTGTACATCAGAGTGTGTTTACATAAAACTTTGTTAAAGATGCTGTGGTGAGAAAATTTGTTACAAATAAATGTCCCTTGTGTTGAATAAGTTTGATGATGTATCAAACTCTCAGAGGCATTGTGATATTAATATGAACAGGCAGAAGGAATAATATTTCAAGGAAACTAACTGATTAAATTTGTATGTGGGATTGTACACACCAGTATTTACATCTGTGTTTAGTGATTTCTTCACCTCTATTCAGCTTAAAAACGTAATGAAGGTACAACTTTAATAAAGTGGTACCATGAGTAAGAAGGAAAATGTTTAAAAGGCCAGCTGTCCAAACATTGAAGCTACAAAATCTCTCTCATTGTACAGTTTTAAATTGATGTAGCTAAATAATGTTATTGTTTCTTATTTGCTAGTGTTTTGTCCACACTATGATATATATGTTTTCTTTGGCAGAGCATTGAGCACACCTTCCATCGTCGTACCATGCTTGTAGCTGAGTCTGTCACACACATCATACAGCATCTTCAGTTCATGGCCTTGGCCTCGGTCAACACAGCAAAGGTATTTATCATTTTAAACAGATCTCAGTATTTAATTTTTCACACCAGATTGCCGTAAAAATATATTTTCAGAATTAATTGCTGTTTTTTAACTACATTGCTTTCCTCAAAACACCTGTTTTGATACTGGTTACTGGATATACGTTAAATAGCCTATAAATAGAAAAGGTATTGGTTATGTTTCGTCATCTCAATCATCTCAAAACTGTCTTGTAGTTTTGTTACTATCTGGATATTAGTATGGTCTCTATATCTATTGGATTTCTTTATTGTATCAATTATAGTTTGAGTGAGTGACTTCTAACTTTAGAAACATCCTGTACAAATTTATATTTTCTTTTTAATGATCAAGAACTGAGCTTACTGAAGGACTGTGTATAAATTAGAGGTGATAAGGAAGCAATATGAATATTTTTGTAAGTGCATACAAGTGCATATTTAATGGCTATAATACATTCTTATGTTCCCAGAAACGTATCATCTCAGACAAGAAGTACAGTGAGAAGAGGTTGGATGCTCTCTCTGCCTTGGTGCTGGTGGAGAACGCCCTCAACGGACCATGTATGTAAAAAAAAAAAACTGGGGAGTGTTTCACAAAGCTTTTTCCAATGACAAATGACAAAAAGCAAGGATTTCAGTAGGTTATGACAAAAACTGTCATTTGTGACTGATGACAAGTTTTGTGAAACGGGGCCCTGCTTTGTCAATAAAGGGGGAGGGGGGGGGGGGGGGCGTTGGGTTGGGTTTGACTTCTACCAATTTGTTTTCATGCTGCAGAATGAATCATAACACCGATTTTGTGCACTTTCAAAAAAATGCTTGCCCAGAAAACTGCCATATTATACAATTTTTGAAAGTTTCTGGTTTTGCTGTTTGTGTAGCAAAGTGCGTATTGTTACCTACATAACTAAACCAGTGTAACTTATTTGCACTGCAGATTGAGAAACTTCATTAATCAGGAAATATCTTCAATGAAAATTATGATTTCTTCCAAAGATGCTTTATTACTGTTTAAACCTAATGAGCGTTTACTTGTAAGAACTTGATACTGATGTTTGTCATTTTGATACTGTCTGCATTATGCATAAGCTGTGTTTATTTCACATCAAAGCAACTTCATTGATCAGGAAACATCTTCAATGAAAATTATGATTTCTTCCAAAGATGCTTTATTACTGTTTAAATCCAGTAAGTGTTTAATTGTAAGAACTAAACACTTATGTTTGTCATATTGATACTGTCTGCATTGTGCATATAAAAGATGTGTTTATTTCACATTGATTGTTCTTGTTTTGTTTTCTACAGCCACCAAAGAAAGGAGGTTGATTGCCAATCTTTCCTTGCTGTAGGAACTCAAATGGTGAGTCTATAACAATACTGCAGAGACACTTCACACGTTTTATGCAATTATAAGACTTTTAATGGGATTAACCTAACATGATGCCAACTTTATTAAAAACATGCTATTCATATCACTATGTTCAATTTGGCTGTATAGTAATGTACAACATTGATTCAAAACCAAGACATTGATCTACATTTGCCACACTCAACCCAGGTGATGTAAATGGGTACCTGGCAGGAATTAATTCCTTGAAATGCTAGAGCGCAGTAATGGCAGACATGCCAACCATTCCGATTTTAACGGAACTGTTCCGTTTTTGGGGAATTTGGCTTTCCATACATAGTATTGATCCGATCGAGTGCTGAACGGATTGCATTGCGCAAGGTGCGTGCAGCGTGCACTGATATGTACGTACAGTGGCAGCGTGTTGCTGCGCGCCACGTGCACTCTGATATGTGTTTCCGTACGTAACATTTCCTTACGTAAATACTTGCGCTGGCAAATCTCGTAAGTATAATTTCTATACGTTTGCACGCATATCAGCGCAGCAGCATGCATTGGCTATCGCGGCTAGCGCACCGTATATGCATAGGGTCCCCATGCAAAGTACGTGTTTCGAGGTACCGTATACTTTGTGATTTGAGATTTGTCTCGGAAGAAAATCTGTCAAAATGAGCGGAACAGCAGCAAGACGAATTCAGAAGTACAAACAGGAATACAAGGAACGATGGCAAAAAGCTAGCCCGCCACCTTCCCACCTCGAACCTTTCGAGTTCCGCTAAAATTGTGCGCTGCGGAGCTCCGAGGGTGCGTTGGTATCGCTGGCAAACTCTCGGGCGGCTAGCTCCCCACGACGGACCATTCGCGGTATGGCGAGAGTGTGTGTGTGAGATACGATTTTGGATTCGAGAACGCACGTACCACAACCGTGCGCGTCATTTTCAGCTGTCGAATGTACGATTTTAGTACAGATACTTGGTCAGTTTTCTTCTTATATCTTTGGTTTTACAACATTTAAAAATATAATTTCTTCAAATTTGCTCCTGACTCGGTTCAGACTAATTGTCTGATGTGTTTTCAAGTCAATTTCTTGAATATATTTTTTTGCATGAATTTGCCTAGATCTAGACCTAGTATGACACAAAAATTACCCATAAACTTGGGTTGAATTTTAGGGGAAATGGTCCCTAAAATAGGCTCAGATTGCACCAGAGAGCATCTGGAAACCCAGAGCTTCCAGGGCCCTAAAGCGGGCCCTGGACCCCGGCTAAAAAGACTTCGCGCTTCGCGCTCGTGATGTGCGCTTCGCGTACATAGTGTACTGATTTCTGATTTTCAAATGTTGGCATGTATGTAATGGCAACACAGCTAAAGCCGGGGTAATATTTTCCAAATTGTTAAGACACCTTGAGCATCCCTTGGGGTGGATATGTGCGAATTATAAATGTTGTTATTATTTATTATGATTTATTGCTTTGATTTGTTGATTTTCAGAAATGTTTCAAGGATGATGAGCTGGTGTCCTTCAAGAGTTTGATGAACAAGCTTGCTGCCATCAGTGACCTCAGAACAAGGTAGGGCCTCAAGCAGAGCTGCCATTTCATACGATTTTTAGAAGTAAATATGACAGATCGATTTTCCTCAATAAAATACGATATGTATTTTGTGTGTGGCATTTTCAATGGCAAAATGCCCATTCTGTCCTGTAAGTATCCTACAAGCATCTCACATCTGCAATTTGGGGATGTTCATTGGTTCATCAAACACACCAGTCATGATGAAATCATGCATATTTAACCAATGATCCATAGCAAGGTTTCTTCCCGTATGTAGGAACTGTAAGAGGCATCGATCCGCGTAACAGTTCGTTTTTTTCTAAAATACAACTTTTGCAAGTAAATTACAACTTTGGGGATTAAAGAATACAGGTTTTGAACTCCAGAGGTTGGCAGGTCTGCCCAAGGCACTTGTATCTTTGTTACTTGTCAAAAGGGAGAAATACAGTGTAGAGATACCCGTGAAGGGATCTTCATCATGAGCAGTTCTTCGCAGAGCATTTGACTGTGAATGGCAGATGTCTTAAATCATGAAAGTTTTAAAAAACACTCATCTCTCGGACCATCAGAAATGTTGCTTTCAATATTTGGCAACGTCACTGTTCCTTACCTTTGACTAGTTATTGGGCGATGGACCAATGCTCTTCACATTCATGGTTGGTTAAACCTTTTCAGGATTATTTTTTACTGCCTTTTCACCTCTAATTACTATGAAGCAATATTTGTATAATTTGTTATGTATATGTCTTTGTAAATGACAGATTGCGGGAAGCATGTAACTGCAGTTTCCTGTACTGGCATCGTGTAGTCTTCCCTCTCTACCTGGCAGATAGGTTTGAGAATGCAGTGGATGCTCATAGGTTACATGTAAGTATTATTATGAAACAACCACCCCCCCCCCCCTCCCTATCTTTGCCTCTCTCTCTCCCTGTCCATCCCTCTCTGCCGTACAACACTATTCGACCTCTGCACTGTTTCTGTCTCTTTCGCAAGAGAAGTAGATGATACAAGTCTTTCATGTGCATTTTGTGGAAGTGGCTTCTACATTATGGAATATATCAGTGACTTAGGTTGGACCCAATAATAATTATCTGGATTTATATAACGCTTAATACGGAAAACCGTCTCTAAGCGCTTTACAGATATTATTACCCCGGTCATCGGATTCATTCACGTACAATGTGCACCATCTCTACTCACGAGGAAAGTATTGGTCACCATGAGAACATAGGCAATCACTAACACAAATGCTTTCATCATCCTACCGGATCCCCATTTCTCTCTCGGGTGTTGAGTGGCAAATGTGGAGTAATGCCTAGTCTGGAATCAAACCCCGACCTTTGACATTCACCCCAAGCACAAAATATTTGCACATATTACATAATTCTTTTAATTTTCTTTGTTAAAAAATATATTTAAAAAAAAACATTCATCATGACAAGTACACAAATTATATTTCCCCATGATGGTGTTCATCTGGAGGTGTTTTTTCTTGCCAACACTGTCACACTTTGAGCCTGACATGAATGTATTCCAACCCTTTTATCCCTAGTACATGATGGGTGCCTTAGCAGACTGTGTAGCACCTATGAAGCAGACAAGGCATCTAGACTCTAATGGAGTGCTATTGAACTGCTTTGATAGGGAAATCAATGGACAACTCAAAGAGGTAAGTGTGCTTATCTGATAAAAATTGAATTTTCATCATGTAGCTGTTATAAAACAATCCTACAGTGTAGCTTCAGATAGATTCTGTTTGTCAGTTCTTCAGCTATTTCAGATGTTAATCAAACTGTTCCATACTGCACAGAAAGTATTTTGTAGTAGTCAAATTTGGGGATTTCATTAGGGAATTTGAGCACTTTACATCATCCTATTTGTCTAGCATAGTCATCCTTTTAATATAAAGAGCACTTAAATTTATATAGGCAGATGATCATTCCATGGTTCCCTTTGATACCGGGCATGGTGGCTCAGTGGTTAGAGCGCCCGCCTCATGAACGGGAGGTCGTGGGTTCGAACCCCAGCCGAGTCATACCAAAGACTTATAACAATGGGACCTTCTGCCTTCTAGCTAGGCGCTCAGCATATTAGATTGGAGAAGGGTAGTAATAACATTATGTTATGCAGGGCCCGCTGGAAGAACAGTTTCATAACTGAAGTGGCTACCCTGGGTAAATAAACGTTATTATTATTATTATACATTCTTAGTGGGAAATTCCTTTTGAGGGAAACAGAAAAAGGCTAGTGAAAGTGGTTTTTATGCCCAGGTGGCTGCTAAAGCAGGTTCAATTGTGTTTCCTTCAGATCAATTATTAGCACAATAAATGTGTTCATATGACTTGATAGGAAGATCTCGCTGGAGGTCATGAAGCAGAAGCCATCACACATCTCCCAGATGGTGCGGAAGGTTTAGGTCAAGGAAGGTCAAATGTTTTCATATTATTTGCTTTTATTCCTGAATCCAGCATCTACTGGAGCCACTGTGTCGTGCCGTTGAGACTGATCTGCGTCTCTCAATACACAACCACCTCCAGCTTGACGATAGGAACCCGTTCAAGGTCACCCTGAAGGACATCTCACACTTCCTCAAGATGAAACCTATCAGGTTCTTCAGCTACTTCATCGACATCAAAGGTAAGGTGTCCAAGGAGTCAGTAAAACAGTCAGAAAAGTGGGAAGGTAACCACAGTTAAAGCTGATTTAGTGACCACCTGTCTACATAGACCGCATTTTTTGTTTCCCTTGCAAATGGTTTCTCATTGAAACATGTACCGTAAATCTCTGTGTATAAGAGGTATTTTGAAGGCAAAAAAAAAAAAAAAAAAATTCTGGAAAAATAAAATTCTGTCATCTTTAGTTTTAAAAACAATATCATTACTAGGTCTAACTTAGTTCACAAGCTAGGGCTTTGGAGATGGAACAGACACAGAATGGGAAAAAAAGTACAATCCAAGCCATGTGTATACAAATATACCTTCTCTCTTCGTGAATAATCTTATGTGGCAAGTTCTTTTGATGGCCAATGTAAAGGCTGTTCACTGTGGATGAGACTGTCTAAATACTTGTAAATAATATCTAAGTACTTGGATGATGGAAGCAAAGGAGAAGACCTTGTCCTACAATCTGAGACTGGATGGATAAGTGAATAAACAACAATCAGATAGTCAAAGAATGTAAAGAAATAGATACAAGGATGCAATGGGCGAATACTATGTGTGTATTCTGGAGCATGGAAATAGAGTTATGATGAATGATCTGGGCCCCGTCTTATAAAGAGTTACGATTGATCCAAATTAATCTCAAGTCCTCCAATCAATCACAAGTCTGCTGTCTCCTATCTCTTATGTACATAGTTAAGATTGATATCATCGCACAAAACTTGCGATTGATATCAACTCTTTATGAGACGGGGCCCCGTTTTGTATGTTTTCTCAAGGTTTTCAACTTTTTTCTTTGTTGACAACCATTTTTGTCATGAATAATTTTCTCTTTCTGTTCTCTCTGTAGCCCATGTAACGCACTACCTGGACAAGACCTTCTACAACCTGACCACGGTGGCATTGCATGACTGGAAGACGTATGCCGAGATGCGTAACCTGGCAGCACAGAAGTACGGTCTGGCGATGACAGAGGCTCATCTACCTACACAGACTCTGGAACAAGTAAGTATAGATGTTTGTTATTACATTAAGTATTAAAGTTGCATAATCAACAAAAATACTTGAGTGTAGAGAGACATATATGGAAGGAGATGATTAGAGATGAAAGTGAATTGAGATGAGTGTTAAAAGAGGGAAAAGGAAATGGGGAAAATAATGATACTGCGATACAACGGAAGTTGTATTTGATTGTAAAGGAAAGTAATGTTGTGGAATGAAAAGGTAAATACCACAGATTATTGCTAGGAAGAGAGATTGTATTTCACTGTGACAGTGATGTTTGACAATGTGTGGTACCTTGGTTAGTGATGTATTTCAAACGCTTTTTCATTTGTAGGGTTTGGATGTGTTGGAGATCATGAGGAACATTCACATCTTTGTGTCCAAGTATCTCTACAATGTCAACAATCAGGTAAACTATTTTCTATGCATATTCTCTACTCATTTATGAGAAGCAAAGTAGGGAGAGTGACTAATGACACCACATAGCAAATAGTCAGAACTGTTCAGATTTTCTTTGTACTGTAGAGGTATATACATTGTAGTTGGTGGCAATTATGGAATCCATAATTTCCTTGTCTTCTTGTTTGGCTGTATGCACTGATAATTAATACAATTTTGTGGTATAAGGAAATAATGTGAGAAAGTAAAAAAGTAAGACAACCCCCCCCCCCCCCTCTCAAATGACAGTTTAATAAGAGTGACAGTATTTTTGCCAAAATTGGATCATTGTATCTGCAAATGCTATTCTAGTAAAGCCAAGTACAAGTCTGCCTAGTACCATAATAACCCAGTTTTGCTTTCATCCCTTTCTCAATAAGCCAGAGAGAAGATGTGACCCATTATTTAGAAAGTGCTTATAATTGTCTGTATTTCATCCTCTTCTCTCATACAATTAGATCTTTGTGGAACGTTCCAGCAACAACAAGCATCTTAACACCATCAACATCCGCCACATTGCCAACTCCATCCGTACCCACGGTACAGGGATCATGAACACCACCGTCAACTTCACCTATCAGTTCCTTCGGAAGAAGTTCTTCATCTTCTCTCAGTTCATGTACGATGAACACATCAAGTCTAAACTCATCAAGGTTGGTATATAGTCATGGACAATATCTAACATTCTTTAATACTTAAATGTAGGTGTGTGGTGAAGTGAATGGGAAAACCTTTTTTCTTCTTCACATCTATTAAACTCTTATGAAGTGAATCAACACTGTTGAAAGAAGAATTATCTTAACAGTTTGAAGTTCAGTTGAAAGACATAAAGGCATTTGAAGGAAGTATTGTTAGACATTTTTCATTTTCCATATTGCCACTTTATAAAAAAAAACTCAAAGTGATATTGACCTTGTTGTAATAAAAATAAATAGCTGACATGATGGTCCAAGAATTTCCTTTGCGGATATGTCCAAGAACCTATATTCAAGCTTTTTTTTTTTTTTATTGCTAATGCAGTTTGTTATTGTTCATGTTTATACAATTATGTATTTAATATTACTGCCTTTGTTATTAGCATATAAACATCTATGCAAAATGACCATATGTGGCATTTTAAAGTACTAAAATTCCCTCTTAAACTCACACTGGAGGCAGATGAGGTATATTGGAATGGTATGATCCAAACATTGTTCAGCTCACACAATTGTAATGACAATGATTTTATTGATAGGACTTAAGGTACTTCAGAGAGAACAAACAGGAGATGAACCAGATGTACCCCTTTGACCGAGCAGACAAGTTCAACAAGGGCATCAGGAAGCTAGGTCTGACACCAGAGGGCGACAGTTATCTTGATCAGTTCAGGAACCTACTCAGTCAGATTGGTAAGTCTCTTCTCTGATATTACCTTGAGGTCATGGGGTGGGGGAGGGGTGGGGGTATCTGGTCCCTGCCTCCCCTACCCCCCCCCCCCCCCCCTCAACCACAAACAAATATTGCTTTATACAATAAATCCATGCTGGTATACATACTGATGGTTTGCAGTTACAGTAATGATGTAGTGAGGTATGAAAGGCCAATAGGTAAAATCATTGAAGGTGGCATGCTAATGTTATGAATGGGTAGTTTAACATGTTCTAAGATTTCTTCCTTAAATCATTTTCTTTCTCTGCATAGGTACATGAATGGGTAGTTTGATATGTTTTATATCAGGTCTTCTAAGATTTCTTCCTTTAATCACCTTCTTTCTCTGCATAGGTAATGCGATGGGGTACATCAGGATGATCCGATCAGGTGGTCTAAGATGCTGCAGTAATGCCATCAGGTATGTACTAGAGCCTTGTTTCTGTCTATAGGACTTATATCATGTAGAATGCAAGAACTAGACTTGGAATAATTATCAGGGATTGGTTATCGCCCAGATAGATGAGTCTATTGTGTTTGTACCTAATAGGGAAAGTGTATCTTTGTGGTTAAGGCTCATTGACTGTTATGTCTAATAGATTTATACCTTAAATAGAATGATATACTATTTGTAAATGTTCACTTGTATTGCCAAATGTATTTCATTTGATTAATTTTTCATTAGGGTTACCATTATAAAGAAACTGTACTTGTAAAGGATATATTTCAACGAACAAAGAGAAATTATTCATATTTTTTGTCAGTGAGTCTTGACGCATTAATGTCATACCAATAAACTCATTTGATTAATGTCGTAGGTTTGTACCAGACCTGGAGGACATTGTAAGCTTTGAAGAACTGGTTGGAGAAGAGAAGCTATCACCTGAAGTCACACAAGCTGCAAGGTAACGCTATCCATGCTGATGTCTGCATTACTGTTGTCCTAATTATAAGTTTTTATTTCACTTCAGAAAAGGGCTTTGATGTAGATTCATGAAAGTAAACACTGATTTATATCAAGTTTTGGTTCTAGGCTTTCATATCAAAAGTCCAGGTTCTACCTTAAAATGTGTTATGCCAGTCTGTTATGGAAGTTAGTGAGATGGTCATATTTATCTCTATGCTTTCTGTTTTTAAGATATTATGTGATATACTATTCAAATTTTTTACTGTTTAATGAAATATTAAAATATGTTACTACTTCAGACACATCATTACCATGAAACAGTAAAATAATAATTTTTCTTTTCTTGTTTGAGAAAGAAGATACAAGAAATGAACACCTGTTTTTTCAGAGGCAGTAGTTAACATCGCTTTTTTCATTTGTCTGTCTTTCTTTCTTGCTCAGGAATCTTGACAATGTAATCGGAAACCTGACAAAGAACTTTGCAGAAGGAACTGAGTACTTCAAGGTGAGATTTTTATCGAACTTATATTCCAGTGAATATATCAACCTGTTCAATATTTGTTCCATTAGTTGACCAAAGAAGGTAAATATTTAACGTTCATGTATTTCATAGAAATAGAGAAGTAATTTTGAATATGTAGTTTCATATGCAGTACATGATAATGAAAGTGTTGGAGCAAGATGAAACAGTTATCATCAGTTAGTTAAAGATAAAGACCAGTTATGGTCATGCGATTGCATTGTGAAAGAAACGTTGTGAAATCGATCAGAAAAGGTTGATCATCTAGCATAGATGTACTGCAAGGTTCTGGAATCGTCAAAATGATAAGAAATTTGGCCCAGTCTTCACAAAGTTAAAAGCACTGTACACAGAAAGATGTATATGGGACTAGGCACACATGCGCGACACATGCGTTTTTATCTCTCACATACCAATAGATGAACTAATATACCAAATATATCAATTAGTAGGCGGTTTCCCGGCAAAATTTTTACCTTTGTGTGTTATTCAAAACATATTCTTTCACATGATTGGTAATAAGAGCTTCCATTTCATTCTTTGAAATTGGGGCGTTTCCAATACTGGTCTTTACCTTTAATGAAATAAAAAGTGTAGCTTGGCTAGTAAAGTTCATATGAAAGAACCATAAAGGTCAGTTTCAAGCAAGATTGTGACCATGTTGTCTATATCCAATTGATTTAGATACTACTGTTTTCATATATTTTTTCTTAATTGATTTCAGATGTTGGTGGATGTGTTCTCACCAGAGTTCAGGAATCCTAAGAACATGCATCTCAGGAACTTCTACACCATCCTTCCTGCCTTGGTAAGTATTCGGATAATCATAGATTCCTCCAAAACGATTGTAACATTTAGGGGTAAAACTCTGGTTAAAGTTTCCTGTACTCCAGAACCCTGTTTCACCAAATTTGTTAAATAACTTGTCAATAACAAATGCTAAGATACTGTGACAAGTTTGCTCGCAGCCAATCAAACGCAAGGATTGCAGTAGCTTATAACAGTTATTGTAACTTGTTATTGATCAAAAGTTTTATGAAACAGGGCCCAGACCCTCTGTCATATTACAGACTTTCATGAATCAAAACATAATGAAGGGAAGCTTTTTATGTAAAAACAGAGGTTCAGTGAAGAAAATTCGAAGTACAGGATGTACATTCACGATGCCTTATAATATCAGAATGATCTCCTGCAATAACAAATCTGAATTCAGAATTTAAAAGTCTTTGAATAGTAAAACACACTTTTTCACCTGAAATTGTGTAGGTGATAAAGTAGCACATATTTTCCAAGAAGTACATATTAAAGGGAATGTAGCATGACGAGACTACGTGTTTTACTGCAGACACTCAACTTTGTGGAGTACTCTGTGAGCTCCAAGGAAAAGTTGAACAAGAAGAACAAGATGGGAGCAGCTTTCACGGATGATGGATTTGCCATGGGTAAGCAAAGCATGAAATAAGGAGCGATGATGAATTGGGGGTAACAGTGATCAACTTCTATATTACAATTCAACCAGTCAAATAAAGGACTTGGTGATATTCTTGTGGCATGACTGATTACAGAGTTTGTGCCAAGCAATGATCAAGAAAATAATCATTTATCGTGGTATTCTATCTTACACGGTAACAAGAAGCAAGCAAGAGCATAATCTCACCAAATGCATGCACATCCAGTCTGTTTATGATTATGAATAGTTTGTTTGATAATGAATATTGTTTGTGTTTTAAAGCTTCCATATTGACATGGTTTAGGGACTATCTTTTAAGCAGAGTTCAACATACTCTTGGCCACAGTGTTTTATCTTCTTTGTGTAAACATCTCTATTGGGGTACCTCAAGAATCAATATTGGGACCCTTGCTATTTCTTTTACACATAACTGTTTTATTTGTAGGCGTGGCATACATCCTGAAGCTGTTAGACCAGTACCAAGAGTTTGACTCCCTTCACTGGTTCCACTCGGTCAAGTTCAAGTACAACAAGGACAAGGTAAGAGGTCACAGAACACAACCTCACTTGATCGAACAAAGTCCTAGATTTATAGACATTGAAAATATGATGATGTTTTAAAGTGTAGAGTGCTGTATTGCCTCTTTTCTTTTAAACTCACATTGCCTCAGATGAAAGAAGAGGGAGAGAGAGTTCGGAAACAGAGTGATTTATGATTTGGATTGAATCATAGAGGTGTGATCAGGTACAGCATGGTGGAGGAGGAGATAAGTCTTCAAGATTTATGCAAATGGTACGAGAGTGTTAAATAGAATTTTGATCAAAGCATGGTATCCATTTTCGATTTTCTTTGAACAGGAGACAGTTAGGAAGCAGATGGGAGGAGATGAGAAGCTACATAACACAGCACAACTCACAATCAAGAGACTGGACACGTACCAAAGGGTAAGAATGATATTAAAGCCTATCTGCACTAGTTTGGCCAGGAGAGATTAGACCTCCCTGCATGGTCACTGACAGGTGGTTATCTTATCAAATCAGCTCTCAATTAACATAAGAAAAAAGAGACTTGCTTTGAGCTAAACTGCCTGGCCATGGTAGCATTGAAAAAATCATTTCCTGCAAGATATTCATTGGATTCATTCTGAAATGTCTTTTATTGTTCTGTATTATGATAAATTTTTGTAGATTGCAATCAAACCTATTCTCTGCAATTAGAGTTTTTAGCAGTACTATGTATCCAAAGGAGTTATTACTCATTGTCTTCTGATATTCTTTATTCCCTCCGTTTTGAAGATTGGGAATAGGATATTGCAGACTGTTACAACATGTTTTACATTACAGAATGCATCAATATTGATTAAGTAGAAGCATTTGTTAGCTCAATATCCAAAGCTTCTGATTGCAACATTTAGTATGATCATTTCACACCCTTTCTTTATGATTTTCGCTTACATGAGTTGATTTGATTTTGTTTGTTTGTGGTCTAGGAGTTTGATCTGCTGTACTACAGCTGGAGCAGTGCTAGGATCTTCTTCAGAGCTGACAAGACAGCCGCTGAAGAGCAGGAGGAAAAGATTGAGAAGGAAGAGAGAGAAAACAGTGAGTCAAATCTCCTCAGATCTGTTATATTATCGTTTTAAAATAAACATTGTCCTTCATTAAAAGATCACAATTTAGTTGAAACTAGAGAACTCAGTTAAACAAGTTTACAATCATGTAAGTCTTACCAAACACTCATTGAAAGTCAAGATCACCAATTAAAGCGGGACTGCACTACTTGTAGCTTCTTGCACCCTCTATATAACAAACAATGCCTAAGTGGTACCATTTGGTCCCCCTTTTCTTATGTTAATTGAGAGCTGATTTGCTGAGATAACCACCTGTCAGTGACCACGCAGGGAGGTCTAATCTCTCCTGGCCATACTAGTGCACATAGACTTTAAAAAAAGATGTCATCTAAAGAATACTCTCGTAGTGAATAGTTAAGTGTCTTGAATAGTTGAATAAAAACATCTAGAATCTATCAGTGCTATCACTTTGCATCATTGTTCCATCATCATTCATGTTTGTTTGTCTCTTATTCATCAGAAGCCATAGAGGGCGCACCACAAGAGAGACTAGCCCTGACTGCACCAGCAACCAACAATACGCCAGGTAAGGATGCATCACTTGCTATCCCTTGTGTAATGTAGAAGAGAATACTATGAAGAGACATGTTCTTGATGTATCCAATGTCGTGCCTGCTTCCTGGCATTCATGTAACTGCTATAGAGTACCAAAGCTGTGACGTCATCAGAAATCTATTTTTAGAATTTCTCCATTTTTTTCCCTCAATTTTCCGAAAGAGCATCAGATGGTCATATCTCAGCCATATTCAATTGGTTTCAAAATGTTGACATTATTTTTGATGCTCTTTCCGAAAATTGAGAAATTCTAAAAATAGATTTTTGATGACGTCACACTTCACCACTCTATTAGCCATGTTGGATTAGACCATATTAAATTTGTCTATGCTTGATTTATTTTTCATACTCCATATTCACGATGACAAATACTCTTTTGTGGTTTTCTGTGTTGTGTTCTCTCCTTTTGTGAGCCATGCTGGTAGATGAGGAAAGAATAGATATGACCTACAGGCTAATTGCTATTACATAATATGCTTTGTTATCAGAAAGAGAAATACAAATACTAATTCTCACCAGAAGTACATTTGTAATGGATATTTGAATGAATAGTTCAACCTCCAAAATCACAATATTTTTACCATCCAATGCATACCCTCTTCCCAGCAATGCTGCAAACTGAATTCACTCGCTCAGTATTCAACAGGCACAATAAAGGTTGTTGGACAGAGGAGAGATTGCATATTATGATAAATGCTGGACATAACCATATTTTACACCATCTCTGTTCTTTTTTTCCTTAGCTATCGCAGCACCGCCAACTTCCAACTTACCTGCCATTATGGCCAGCTAGGTTCGTCATACTAACAGGAGAAATGGCACACAACCTGCTTAGATCTGGTACATGCACCAAATCTACCTACTCAAGGATGATACAATATACATCGCCCGTCGTGATATATAGCCTTCACAGGGCATGACTACCCTCTAAAATAATAATGAGTTTTACAAATTAGAGTTCATCACGTTAGAAACTGCACATGTAGAATAGGGTGAGGGTAAGGCAACCTCCTTCTATACAGTAAAATTCAGTGGAAGGGGTCAATTGATTTATTTTAAGTTGTGCCATTATCTATCTTGTATTGCACAATGCACATGGTCCATTACCAAAACTGTATTACTTTGTGGTGGATAAGACTGCTGCATTTATATCAATTACAGATTATAGCAGTGCTTTAACCAACAAATTTTATTCTGGCAGTTATTATTTTACCTTTTGAATTTAAAATTTTGAAAATTTGCTGTATTGAAAGTGCTTTACTTCACCTTGCTTTAAGGATGTTTATGATTCATACTGACAAAATATGTTATATGCTTTTACAATTGATGAGAGGAAATAAATTATTCAATCATATATGCCTGTAGAAAATAAGTGCAACTAAACTGTACCTCAGATGATCTTAGTGACGATCAACAGGGTTGAATTTAGATCGAGTACATGGTAGTTTTATGATCAAGAAGTCTGGCATGTGAACTGTTCTTCTTTACATTTTTTTTACATGAATAGTTTTTGAAAGGTCATATGGTCACAAATATAGCATTCCTTTCTTACTGTTTGATATAATTTGTCTGTCATTGTGGAATAAGTATCACAACGAATATTTGTCGATTTGAAAACTGAAGAGAAGTTTTTTTAGTATGAATGATATCATGTATTTAAATTGTGTTGTACAATGTTGTAAATATCAAATTTCAAATGTAACAGAGATATATAAACATTGTTTTATACCATAGACTAAATTGCATGAAATATAATCTAAAGAATGCATGAAGAAAGAAGCATTATTTAATTCTAAACTGAAGCCTGAAGCCAAATATATACTTATTGCAAGAAACCATTTATTCTTAAATATAACACTGTATTACTACATGTACTTGTGTGAAGCCCAGAAAGATTTTTTAAATCACTGGTATGCGAAATAAGAGAAAGCTCAGTATCATCCCAACATTGTTTTATCTGGTCATCTGAATTTGTAGTCAAATCAAACAATCGATTAAGTTCTGAAATATTAGACAAACTCTTTAACTTCCAAAACTTGAAGAAGAAAAAAAAATTGCCCTAAAATATAAAAATATAGTAGATGCAGAAGATTTTATCAATTTTGAGTAAGCTTTACAAGAGTACATTGTGCAATCCACTGTTTTAATGGGGAAAATTGGTGAAAGAAAAGAAAAAACAGTGCTTTTGTAATAGAAAGTGTGACCAAAATGAAGACATTATTTGTTGGCCATTGTATTGTTTATCACAGTAAGTTTGTTTAAGTCCATTGAAAAGGAGAGACTTTATTTGAGAAGTTTTATCGCTTTCACCCTAATGAATTTTCTTCAGAAATATGTGTGATAATTGAGTATTTCATTGTACTCAACCACTACCACCATCCCTCCCCCCTCTACGAAAAATTCTTAATATACACAATGTATAACATGCTTACCATGTGCAACATACAGTGTATATTGTAAAGAACCACTTTGCCAATTTCTGTACAATATTTTTGTACTGGTTTCTACTCCCATTGTATTAGGTCAAGATTATGGACACTTTGATGGAAAATATGTTACTTTAGAAAGATATAGAATCTGTATTTTCAAGGAAGATGCAGTCTTTATTAAATGCTTGAAATAAAGAGACAAATGAATGCAATCGGATATGTTTTTGTTAGCATTTCTTTTATTACATATACTGTACAAGGTGTGCTGGAAATGTATGAAGCTCTAAAAATGGTGGGTCAAAGTTAGCACTGTGTGTAGCATCATCAAGGTGACATGCAATCATACAACAACAAAAAAGATTTATCTAAACGATGGAAGAATATACTGATAGGCGATTCAGTGCATCTATTAAATGACGGGCTATGATGCTGAACATCCTCATTTTAAATAGATTCGTTCAGGACATAACACATGTCAAAGTTGAAGAGGATGCTCTATGTTCACAAAAGGTTTCACTTTCCGGAATAGACTTACTTCGACAAAAAGTATTGCACCAACATTTTAAAGTTATATAAGGAAGAATCCAAGTGCATATGAAATATATTAAGTAAATAGTTATCTTTTAATTTCAAGCTAATATATGACATTTTTAAACGAGATATGAATGGAAGCAATACATTCTATGTGTGTTCAGGCAATTAAACAATTTCAACAGCTGTGCATAAATAAACAATGGACGGAAATTGAAAAATACATATGTTGCAGGATCAAAAGGTTTCATGGAAGTGAAAAGTTCAAGAAAATATTCCACTCTTATAGAGTATCTCATTCATTATATAATATGTACATTATACAGAAATATATATTCAAATCTACATATTTAATATAACAATATACATAATTTTTACAAATATATACAAATCTACATTTCTCATGATATCAATACTTCAGTTACTTCAGAGTAACTTCAGTTATTTCCCCCAAAAGTATTCAAGATTTTTTATGCCATTTTTATGTAATGTGCAAAGCTACAAGACGCAATTCAGAACGTTTTTACGTTGAATTTGATGATGATATATTAAGCTGCGTTTCTAAAAGGATAGTATGAAGACTGTAATGGAAGAAACATGATGATGGCATAAACCAATCAAAAGATGGAAAGGCAAAATTTCAAAGTGATTGCTGCATTAAACTTTACACTGCTTATCATCTTTTTAATCCACTGCTTGAGACTCTTCAAGCTGATATTGAAGAGATGATGAAACATCAATATCTTTCTTTCCAACCTTCTTAATCAAATTGAGTATGTGTGAAGGCACAAAGCTTGAAGTAGAACAACTTTTATCAAATATTAGAGTTCACTTGAAGCAATAGCATACAGTGGAATACAAATAATTGTCAGAAAAAAAGATCTTCTTGAAGATCCATTGAATATTGTACTTGTATGGCTGCTACCATGATATATAAACAATACAGTAGAGCTCTTTGAAATAATTTATTATTCCTGACAATTCTTTCCACAATACTATCACTTGCACCTTAGTAATCTGAAACATTTGAACTAAGTTTGGTACGACTGAAAATCAGGCACATTGAAAATATAAACAGTGAGTTCAAGTTCTCTACATCTCAAGACTATTCTAATTGTATTCTTTGGAAACTCTTCTCCTTCAAATTGAATTCCATGACCTCCATGATCTATAACTTGCACCATAAAAACTTGAAGCATTCATGTCACTTTAATAGTAAAGGCACATTTATATCTAACATTAGTTGCTGGCATGATATGACTGTTGCAATAGCATTTTTTAAACGATATCTTCCTAAAATTCCTTCCCCTTGCACCTTCAATGGATGAAGTATTCTTTTAAAAGGCCAAGAAAACAGACAAATTGATATTATCAACTTTTAAGATAACAGTCTACATGGCCGACTCAAGTACTTTCTTCTTCTGCGTCACATTCTTCTGTGTTTCGCCCATGGCTAGGAACTTCTCCCTGTCGGGGTAGTAGAACTCGGTATGAACGTGGGCAGGGTAGATGCCTGGTGGGGGGTTCCGGAAGCATTCGTTGCCCGGTCTTGGCTTGCTGGTCTCGGCTTTGTAAGGCTTAGAAGGCAGGTTCCTGAACAGGTGATTGTCCCTCTCTGAATTGATGAGTGGTCGGATGAGACGCTTGTGAACAGGTCCTCGATCCTTGTGGTAAAGTCTGTCCAGTGAGTGAGACGAAAACAAGGGCAAAGATGCAATCAACATTTCAAGTGGAAGAACCGAGGAGGATGGGGTGGTGTGAATATCTACAGGTTGACTTTGGGTGACTCTTTAATTATTTAACATAAAAACAGTACAGATGTATTTTTATTTTTATCTTTGCATTCATTCATTGTTCATTTAGCAATTCACATCGCCGTAGAGGCTTGAACAATACTGTATTCAACTTTAAAAGATAAACAGCATGTTTACATCTTGTTGTAATTTCAAACAAAATACTACGATCCTTAATATTTTGATACACTGTTTTGATACATTTCCTGGGAAATTTCTCTTGGTACTCTAAACTAGTTTAAAAATTCTCAATGGATATACTTTTGTACATTTTCTAAATTTGTAAGCCCAATATTTACCTGAAATCATATCCTTTGAGTTCTTCAAACTTGGCATGCTCCATATCTTTGATTGGTATCCTATTACTGGACAAGGCTAGGCTGGCATGAGGGAAGGCACCAGGCATGAAGATAGGTCTCTGTCCAAGCATAGATGCTCTATCATCATTCATCTCAGGGATGGGTAGTCCCGCCTCCCTGGCTGCCGTATCAACCGATGGGTTCATGACCACCGACAGAGCCGGCATGTCCTGGAAGTTCGCCTGCCGCAGGGCCAGCTTCTCAGCCTCGTCCTTGAGCAGGCCACGAAGACGATCGATCTGGTTGCTGGACTTGAATCCTTCGGCCATCAGCTCCGTCTCGGTGGCCACCCTGTGGAAGTGCATCTGGGTATCGTAGACCTTGACCTTTGACCTCCAGACGTCTTGCTCGGTGTCCTTGACAGCCTGTTTCTCGGCTTTGAGGGTGTCACCGGCAAGATGGATGGTGATGGGCGGGACAGGTTGGAAGCCGCTCGGGAGAGGTTTCCGCCAAAGGTTCATATCCTGTTCCCGCTGCTCCCATTCATATCGGCTGCGATACTCTAGGGTTGGCTTCAGGACATTGTCGTGCAGGATGTTCTCAATCCAGGACTGTCAATAGAAAATGGGTTTCACATTATTTAGATAAGACAAAAAGCAAAACACACTACAAGTCCTGTTCTAAAATCTCTATTAATAGCTCTTTGATATTTCACATATATAGGTATGAATGACCATATAATTTTTTTTTTTTTTTTAATTTTTTTGTACAGAGAATTGAGATTTTGAGCCAAATACAGGGTTGTCGATATTATCATTCTGTTAAGATCTACCATCCATCAATGGAATACAGAGGATTTCATTTCTGTGCCAAATGCAATCTGACTGGGTTTATATGGAACCTAATATCCCAGAGTTATATTTTACAAGTTAACATTAGAAAAAGCTACAAGAATTAACCTGCAACAAGTATCGATCTTCTCTAAAAGCATATCAAAATCGTATCGATTCCAAAAGCTGCATTCAAATATTCAGACAACACGTAACTACAGTCAAATCTGTCTATAGTGACCGCCAAAGGGAAACAAAAAATGTGGTCTTTGTAGACAGGTTCCTTCAGTGTAAGTTTCAATGAGAAACCATTTTCAAGGGAAACAAAAAAATGTGGTCTTTGTAGACAGGTGGTCACTAAAGCAGGTTTGACTGTATCAAGTAGGATCAAGCTGACCAATCCCATCTTAGTTGTATTCCACTCACCTCCTTCAGTTCATCCCTCCTTGCAGGGTCAGGTTTCTTGGGATGCACGTTGCTCTCCATCGATGCTGGTATCCCTGGATAGACGAAACCATCGTCAGTCTGATACGCGCCCTTTGACCTCTGCTCCTCTGCCTTCTTGACGGCTTCCACGTTGACGGGGACGACGGAGGCGGAGTTGAAATCCTTGCAGTAGGTGAACCGTCTGTCTGGTTCCTGCAGAATCAAAATTTGAAACATAATAATAACAATACTCTGCTTTTATATAGCGCTTTATACATCTATGATGTTTCTAAGCATTTTACAGATATACTATTACCCTCACTATGAACATGACAGACAAAAAAAGCGGACAAAATATACAGTTCAGAATTTCAGAATTTTTATCTTGAACAATAACTATCCTAGATGCGACCCCTAAGGAGATCACTTGGACTTTGGTTTGGGTATCGATTCAGTTTTGGGGCTGGTTTAGTTATTCTAAGGGGAGGGGGTGAAATAAAACAAATGGGTCAAATACATAGAATACATATAAAACAAATCCAACTGAATCTTAAAAAAAAAAAATTGCATTTCAGGGGGAACTGACCAATAATATCATTTCAATTATGGCAATGACAAAGACTTCCAGATGAATTCACAGGGCTAAAATAAGAAGAGCCACTGACCAATCCAAACTTGTTGACATTATTTATCTACGAAAAACATATACATGAAAAAAATATCAATACTTACTTGTGCAAGCTCTTGTCTTAGTAGCTCCTTGGCTTGTTCTGTAGCATTGAGTGTCTGTGAGCTGTAATTATGAGCCACACCATTGACAGGTTCGATGCGAATGGTACGTGGTTTCACCTTCTTAGCTGTGTTCTCTTCGCTTATTTGGTTCACATGGTTCTGATTTTTTTTAAAAGAAATATAAAAAAAAATTAAATTACATTTTCATATCAGCTAATACAATTTAACTCAAACCTTGGGAGGAAAAGTTAAGATTTATTATGCTTAAAAAAGAGTAAAACATCTTTAATGTTCTCTTAAAGTCTAGAAGTTCTCAAAACCGTAAACATTTCCTCACATCCCTGAAAAAGGAGCAATTTTCAAAGATAAAAGAAAGATGGCATCATTTGATTTAACTGATTGAAAAAAATATTTTTCTTGATATATAAGAACAGTAGGTGTTAATTAGTCTTTAATGGTACAGAGCTAAAATAATATTCAATTTGAAGAAGAAAAACCAAGTGATTCAATGGTGAAATTCTTATCAAAACTATTTGCCATAAGCCTTTTATATGATCCATGCAATGCACTTGCAAGAAAAGAGGACAACAAAAAGTTTGTTTGTTTTAATTAAAAAAGAAGGAGGAGGTATGTTGACTTACAATGTTCTCTTTGATGAAGTCATGCATTGGACCCATGAGATCCATCTGCTCCTTGTACATGATGTAGTCTGGATTGTAGATCTCTAGCGGGGTCCAGATCCTACGATGTCTAAGACTGGGCAGGACCTGGGAGGCAGAGTGGGATCGGATGGCATCCTCACTCAGGTATACCGGCTCATCACGCTCCTTCAAATCTGAATACAAGAAATATGTGTGATTAAAGGCATCGTTTAACAATGTTTAATCTGAGATGCATGGCCCTACATGTTATGTCTGTGATATGGTGTAATATTCAAGCCCTAACAAAATTGCACTTCAAAATGATCATAAAGTGCCTCAAGAAAGTAAAAATATTTTAGTGACCGTTTTTACCATAATCATTTTTCCCAATAGACTGTAGCTATGTTATCAAAACCGTTTGACGAAAATCCTTTGTGTTAGTAATTGCCATATACCCTCACGGTGACTATATGGTAGGAATACTCCCCAGGGGGTGGAGATGGTGCACATTGGGCGTTATAATGAATCCGATAACCGGGGAAGTAATATCTGTAAAGTGCTTAGAGACGGTATTTTGTATTCAGCACTATGATAAATCCAGATTATTATTGTTATTAGTAGAATTGTGAAGTAACTCACCTTCAAAGTCAGCTGTAGTTAGAGGAACACCAAACTCTCTACTCAATGAGATAATAGAATCGGCCGAGGGGTACAGGTCATTCTTATTCACATTCCTCAGTTTATCTTGACCTACCAACTGTTAAATGAAAAGAAATGGAATAATTAGCTATCCTCGGTTTTATTCTTACTGTATGAAGAACTGAGCAGTAAGAGTTTTGGAATTATGCATGAGTGCTTCTGTTGAAAAAAAAATATATATCTCTCACTGTTTAATAAATCTTAAAAACATTGGAAATTAATTAAAATTCCTAGTAGACACTGTTCACTAGTCTATTCTGCACAATTAAAGAGGCACAAAACTGCCCCAAAATATGCAAGATAATGAAGGACCAGAACATGCATGTTTCCCTGTATCAGTATGTTTAATCATTACAGGATTTGTGATGCAGTGGCAATCAAAATGGAAATCAAAGAATTCCCACTTTATGCCACTCAGAAATCAAATATGCATGCTCATTAAAATTTAACACTTCCTTTTCAGGCACTGTTTTCAATCATTTCTAGTGTTCAGATATTTCAGAGACAATTTTGTTCAGTCTTGAACCATACCTTAGATTTGTTAATAATAATGGGCATCTCTCTTTTGATCACTACTTAAAGATTGAAAATCTTTGACATCCTTACCTGATCAAGTTTGATGAGTGCCTCAAAGCAAGGCCTTGGCACCATGTCTCTGACGTACAGCAACGGCTGCTTGACGATTACAGACATAGGCTCATGCAGCTTGATGCGACACAGGTCAACATCGAGGGCAGCATACTTCCTCTCACTGAACATCATATCGGAATTGTACAGGGCCTCAAAGATTACTCCATCTGTGAAAAGAAAGAAATATGAGGAGTAGGGCAAGGACATGGATTCATGATAACATTCATTGCTCGATCTGTACATTTAAGCAAAGCTAGGGTGAAGCCGCACAACATCTGTCAATATTGAAATATGAATTGTTATTTAGAAGTTTTCAATGGCTAAAACTATTACAGGAAATGAAAATATATCTTAAATCAGTCATAGCTATATTCTAAGTTTTTTTCTTTCTTTAAAAAAAATATCATCAAAATATAGTACTGTACTACCAAAATATTCTCTAATCTGTCTTTTCAACTATGTTTGCTCAATGCACTATAAAATACTTCATTCAATATTTCAAAATCATATATAAGTGGAATCACTTACATATATACTATGTAAAATGGATAAAAAAAATTGGCAAAATATATACTACAGCAAAAAGATAATTACCTTGTTTTTGTGGTCTTGGTAGACTGGACCACAGCTTGTTGATAGAATAGTCTCTTAGTCCCTCTAAAACAAATATATGTTTCTCTCCATCCAGAATCTGGAAACCAGTCACGATGTCCAGGTCTGAACTCTTCTGCTGAGCCCTGAAAATGAAGAATGGATTACAAAACATTGACGATGAAAATTGTTTGTCAACGTGTCTCTATAGACACATGCTAACTTTTGCAAATCTTTACCTTTGGCAAATACAAAGACTACTATACTATTCTGATTAAATTGAATAGATATACCTTAGGCCTCTGCAAATACTAACGAACCTGTACAAAAGTGTACAACCTCCTACAATGCCATGGTACGCAATATTCAGGTGATATTCAAAAGTATACATTTTGATTAAAAGTTTACTTCAAATTCATATTCTATCACAAATGACAGATGAAATCAATATATTTCAAGACAAATTCAAAATTATTCTTTATGGTACTAGGCTTTCTAATCAGTATGACTTGGAGTCTTGTTCAGGCCCCATCAGAGTGTCACGTGAAAGGATGCTTAATGGAAAGAGCTTCTTCTTCAAAGCAGTATAGGGTAATTTGTTCACAACATTTTCCCCTTCCCTGTAATACCAGGTACGGTTTGAAAAAGCCCCCACATATTAAAGGGTTATTTATAATTACAGTCAAACCTGTCTATCATAAAGCCACCCAAGGGAAACACAAAAAGTGGCTACTGTAGACAGGTTCGTCAACACACGTTTCTTCCAAGAGGGAGGCAATACAACTGACTACTATAGAGAGGTGGTCTTCATATAGAGGTGGCCGCTATAAGACGGGTTCGACTGTATGCCACATATGCATATTCAGTATTGACTCTGATTAGATAGCCCTTAAAGTGAATTGGTACATTGCCTCAGGTTCTGAAACAATATCCTAGATTTAGCTTATGTTGCAATCATAATTATAAACCTGTAGGTCAGTCCGGAATCCTATGAATTATACAAGCCGATCGATCGCCTGTCTGATTATCAAGATATTTATGATTGAAAATCGAAATTTTTCATTTACTTAATTGTTTTTATAACACTACAGTCTATTCGGGAAAATGAGTATGGTAAAACCGCAGTCACTCAAAGATTTTCACTTTGAAGCACAATTTTTTTTAGGGCTTCAATGTTACACCATATCACAGACACTGATAACACGTTGGGCCGCGTTCATCTCAGATTTAACATTGTTAAACGATGCCTTTAAAGAAAGCCTCATGAAGCACAATTAAGAAATGGGTTTCAGAATGGGAGAACTTACGTGGAGAGTTTGTAGGTTGATAAAGCTGCTTCTACGATATGATCTGGTAGATGTCCCAGGTCCAAGGCCTCGGCATTGATTGATATTACTAGTCTGAGAAGCTGGTGAAGGAACTTGGTGTTCTTGTAGCCAAAGACATAGACGAGACAAGAGAATGGGCACTGCATGGGAAGGCAATTAAGGAATAACAATGCAATTAAGTTATAACCAGAGACATTTGGATACGGTACATCAGACCATTACATGATTTCATGATTTGACTTGCATCACAACAGCAATCTTTTCCAATTTTCTTTAAAAGTACAGTCCTCAACATACATGACCAGGGTAATAGTATATATGTAAAGTGCTTAGAGACATTTGTATGAAGCGCTATATAAAAGCAGAATATTTTATTATTATTATTGATTTTAGATTTGAATGAATCACATTGGCTGTCATGGATAAGAATGGCCATGGAGATTCAATATTTCCCTTTCCCCCAACTCCTGGCAGGTTAATCTAGAACAACTAGGCTTGCCATTAAATAGTTGCCATGTCTTAAGCCAACATGTACATCACATCATCTATAAAATACCAAATAAAGCAATAATAACAATAACAAAGAAAATGAAAAATGTATGACATCTGCATTTTTTGCAGAGATCTAACAGCATACACTAAGGTCTTTCATAAAGAACTGGAACAATTTCTTACCTCTGAGTGAGTTTCCACCTCTGGTTTGGATTGCACTTCCTGTGGGGTCGTGATGGCATGTGCGACCTCCAGCCTGACCTTTAACCTCGCCCCTGAATCGATATAGTGACCAACAGGCAATGGCTCATCCTCTGTTGAAGCATAATGGATGGTGAGATGATTACAATGTGAATGCGCTGACCATTTGTATAACAGCAAAGCTAGTTTTTGATCTGTAATAATCTGAACTTATCTTAAAGGTAAAGACCAGTTTTGGAAACGCCCCCCTCTCAAAAAATGAAATGGAAGCTCTTATTACCAATCATGTGAAAGAATATGTTTTGACTAATACGTGATCATACAAATTTTGCAGAGAAACCACCTACTAATTGATATATTTGGTACATTATTATATCTATTTGTACCTGATAGATATAACGCACATGTCGCGTAGTCCCATATACATCTTTCTGTGTACAGTGCTTGTAACTTTACCAAGACTGAGCCAAATTTCTTATCATTTTGAAGATTCCAGAACCTTGCAGTACACACCAATATTTACATGCTAGATGATCAACCTTTTCTGATTGATTCCACAACGTTTCTTTCACAATGCAATCGCATGACCATAACTGGTCTTTATCTTTAAGTTTAAATTAAGTGCCTCAAATTTCTTAATTTTAAAATCCTTAGAAGGTACAATTACTCAATATAAATATGAAAAGTCATTGAGTACTCACTTGGCCCATCAGCTGCGTTGGACACACCCATCAGCCTATTGTTCTTCACACCCCTCCCTAATAGATCAGGGAGGGGGCAGTTATGGATGGGTGATGTCTGGTAGATGATCTTTTCACCAAGGAGCAAGCCAGACAGGTCGATCTTAGCGATGCCGTAAGGATCCCATGGTTTGATTCTTCCCTTGAAAGGATTGTGTGTTGTTCTCTTACCTGAGAGCAAGTATAAAAGACAAGAGTGATTTAGATTTCTTGGGCGTGAACTCAGAGACACAAAAAGACATGCCTTTTAAAAAACTATACAAGGATTTTGAAGCATCTTGTGAAAGGCATTATATGCTATTGATAAGATTTTTTAAAGACAGGGAATGTGTGTAGTTTTTAAACTTTAAAGCAAGAAAATAAAAGACAAGTGTTTTTAATATTTTTAGTACTGACCAAAAGAGTAGCAACACACACACAATTCTTGGGCATAAACTCACAGACTCATACAGACATGCCTTTTACAACTATACGTGTATTTTAAAGCATCTTGTGAAAAGCATTATGCCATTTATAAGATGTCCATCAAGACATGTCTTTTACTTTTTATAACAATACTCTCAAATGTCAGTCAACAAGGAATCGCTAAAAACTATATGAAATGCAAGCACAGCTTTCAATACAAATCCTTTCTGTTAAACATTATTCAACAAAACATCATTAGCACTTAAGCTATAGTCAGGGCCCCATTTTACAAAACTTGTCATCAGTGACAAATGACAGTTTTTGTTATAAGATAGTGAAATCCTTGCTTCTGATTGGTTATCAGTAAATTTGTCACTGATTTTTGTCATTTGTCATTGAAAAAAGGCTTTGTGAAACGGATCCTAGGTCTCACTACACCACCCTTGACAATGTACATCGATCTTAGACATACTTCTTGTAACCACGTACTACTTTGTTGTTGGTGAATTTTGATTCAAATTCAGTTCATACTGGAATCAAAACTCAAAACACTAGGACAAAAAAACATGGATTAAAGCCCCACTGCTACTTGCGCCCTCTATATAGCAAACAATGCCTAATCGATGCCTGCTGGTCCCCCATGATCCTCTTTTTCTTATGTTAAAGATAAACTTTAGTACTGGTAATGCGATTGCATTGTGAAAGAAAAGGTGTGAAAGGATCAGAAACAGTTGATCATGGAGCATGTAAGTATTGGTGTGCACTGCAAGGTTCTGGAATCATCAAAATCATAATAAATTTGACCGAGTCTTGGTAAAGTAACAAACACTCACATAGAAAGCTACATATGGGACAACACACATGCTGTCGGGGATGGTACTACCTTGGTTTCCTTGTCTTTCTATGCTCATTACTCAGCCAGTATACATTTTCTTCCAAAATTGTTTGGCACATGTCATTTATTTGTAATCTTGAACATTCAGTGTAAGTTTCGTTTGATTCTGTGAGAATTATTATTATTTTTTTTTACCAGTACTGGAGTTTATCTTTAATTGAGAGCTGATTTGATGAGATAACCACCTGTCAGTGACCTTACAGGGAGGTCTAATCCCCCCTGGCCAAACTAGTGCAGACAGGCTTTAAAATGTTTTAAAAGCTGTACTTACTTGCTACCATGCCTACATTGCTGATTTTGTCATCCTCTGTATCTTCACCAAACAGAGTTGGTTTCTGTTTGATGTCTTCGGGCCTCCTGTCTCGGTCATGAACCTGGATCTCAAGAGGAGCTCCACGTAGGTACTCCAGCAGCTCGCCCTTAGGAATGATACCTGAAGAGAACACAAAGATGCAGAACACTGAGTTTATTTGGCATATTCAAAGCAAGCATTAAATGGAGAAAGTATGGTTCTTATGCTGTCAAATTTATATTGAATGGCCTTGAGTGGGGTACAAGTGTTTGTAGCATGAGCTGATTTCACAAGTCGGAATGATGAACAAAATGTTTTCAAAGTGACTGCGATATACAGTGTCCTACAAAAGGAATCCATTTCATATCAATCCACATACATTTCATTTAAAGACAACATTCTCTGTTGCATGCGCGTTCCTAAATATAAAACCAAGTCAAAGAGCTTGGATGCCATTGGGTATTAGAGGCATTCAATAACCTATTTCTTTAAACAATATGATCCTATCAATGAGTACCCTCAAACTATTCATGTTTGTTTAGCAACCTTATAACAGACATCACTAAAGCAAGTGATCAATGGAGCATTCTACAGCTGCCTTCATTCAACTCACCCAGTAATTCTACATTGATGTCATCCCAGTAGATGTTCTTACTGTGCTCCCTCCTCCTGCTCTTGTACTCGGATTGCTTGCAGAACTTGTACGACGTATGTACAGGCATACATCTCCTCCCCAGCTCGGCATGGCTCAGCGGCGTTTCAGGCATACCTAAGGCAGAGACTACCTTGAGGACCAAGGGGTTAAGTTCTAATCGTTGGTCTGGGGACATGAGAGGGCCGTCCAGAGATACAGTGATGAAGACGTCCTTGATTCCTACCACAGGTGACTCGAGGCGATTGGTGACGGTCTTCAAATCTACAAAATATTCAAAATTATTATAGCTGACGTATGTAATGAATAACAAAATTAGAATTAAAAATAACAAGAATATATATCTAAATCCAATTAAAGAACAAAATCTTTTGCTGGTAGCCTCTAAAATCAATTACATTAGTAATCAGAAAGATAACACAAATTCTGAACTAAGGAATACATATTTCAAATTTGATTTAATAGATGTATCTGCACACAACAGATTGTTTAAAGCAACAATATTTACCAGAATCTATTATTTCTTTTATCCCATTTATTGTTTTTTTGTTTTTTTAATATCTTCTTTCAATGCCAAGCTAAACAATAGAACCACACTTTTAGCAACTTGTCATGAGATAATAATTCAGGTGCCCCTGTTATTGATACTAGGAAGGTACATGGGGTATTGGGGTTTCACCAGAGGTCAAAGATTTCTTTTCAAAAGTGCATTGAGAATTAATGTACAATGGCAGATCTACAGAGGAATTTTGATCAATATCATTTTGTATTTCTACGTGTTTTCTTTGGATGGTCATATATCTGAAAGTTTCTGCGAACTAGGACATCATCTTTCAACCATTTACAAATTTTGCAAAATTAAAGTTCTCTGCCCTTCAAAAGTGGAAGGTGAGATCATTTGTACAATCAAATTTAAAAACAATTTGGGGCTTTTCAATGCTGCATGTTTAATATAGCATCTATTGTTGCGATAGACATTTCTAAGTGTCTTTGAAATATTGCCAGGAGACTACTTCCTGATCAAACTTCCCATGAGCTATAAACCAATATCCTCTTTCGGGCTTGAAATAAAATGATGGTATTTCCCCGGGATATGGCTCCCATTGTGCCAAATATCACTTACAGTTGCTGTCATAAATGTGACATTTGGGACAAAAAAAGCTAACTTGTCCATTTCTATTACATATGGAAAAGCTAAGACAGATGTTTAGCAGCACCACCGGTGAGCTGAAGCTAAATAAGGGTAAGAGGTTTTTTTTTTCTTTATTTCTATTTTTTTCTTTCCTGTTCCTGATTTTTGCAGAACCAATGACAATTCTTTTAGATTTAAACCGACAATTATGGCTTGGATGATGATCTTTAATCAATGGTGCATGTGTACATTATGTATATTTCAAGATTTCAAGATTTTTTAAGATTTCAAGATAATTTATTGTCATGTAAAAAATATGTAAAATTTGTTTTTAGACATTTGAAGGTGCATACATGTAAATAAATATATAAATACATACAGAATATTTACGTTTTAACATAACATTTAACAATCATCTCAATTTTAAGTATTTTGCATTAAAAGAACAAGATAATACTGAGGGAGGCAGTGCAATTAAAAAGCTTGTTTTGAGCTTGTCCATCCAGACACTTCAACGCCAGAACACCTCTCCAGCTAAGACTCTCCAGCTAAGACATATTATGCATCACTAACAAAAAGTGTGATGATATACACAAATTATTGCCCTGTGGGTAACATGAGGATGCCTCCATGAATTCAAAATGCAACTTCTTGTGCTACTAAACAAGGAACCTTTTCTTTTTAAAGCTGAGAATGAATATAGACGTGGAATGAAGATGAACTACAAATTTGTTTTACCTGCAAAGAGTAGCTTCATTCTGATAGGGATGCAGGCATTGCCATACTTCTTGATGTGTGCAGCATTAGCTGCTGCTGCTTGCTCGGCTTTATAGGATTTCCTCTTGGCTTCTCTCTGCATAGGAGAGTCCTTGAACACCCTCCGCGTACCTGGCAGATTAAAAGTATTAAAATAAGGATAAATATGTAAATAAATAAATCAAAGCCCCGCTGTACTACTTGTAGCTACTTGCTCCATCTATATAGAAAACTTCCCCAATCGGTGCCTGTTGGTCCCCTACGATCCTCTTTTTCTTATGTTAATTGAGAGCTGAGTTAATGAGATAGCCACCTGTCAGTGACCTCACTGGGTGGTCTAATCCCTTTTGGCTGAACTAGTACAGCCGGCCTTTAAGATATCTTCTCTCTTGTATGTATTTGTAATGAGATTAGTCACTATGTCCCAAAATTAATAGTGAAATGGCGCCACCTTGTGACAGACTTGTAACAGTAAAATACATGCAGTAAATGAAGAACCGTGATAACGCTCTCGTGAAGCACATAACCTTGGTGTAACATGTTGTTATTTTATAAGCCTCCTATAAAGTATAATAATATTGTACCTCCTGTATTAAGGATAGGATACTAATAGTATTCATCTTACAATGTTTTTGAAAGGCTACTGACAAATTTTTTTAACGGTTATTCCTCGTCTCTCTCTACTTGACTCTGCAAGTTTCCTGTCTTAGTCTTTGGCTATCTGGATGTTCATTGACCATGCTCCTTGTTTATCCATTCTTATGGCTTAGTTCTCTTTGCATTGTCCTACTTGTAAAAGCTCTGAGTATAATACATGTATATGTTTCATTCTCCCTTAATCTACTGGGAAACTCTCATCATAATGACTGGTCTAATAATGCCTTCAGAATACTCAAGCAGAAGATGTTTTCAATAGACGTGCAGGATGCAAAAAAAGATGCACAATTGAAAACTTGTTACTTGAAAATGTTATCTATACACTTCTAAAATCAGCCAATCATATAAAGCCTTTAATTTATCTAGCCTGCTGGATATAGAACATAATTTTTTTGTTTTTAATTATTATTATTTATTCAGTAAAAACAAAGAAAATCATTGAATACAAAACAAGAGTACATTTGGAAAAGAGTCACATGTTTGTTCATGTTGGCATCGAAAAAGGCAAAAGACAAGACATGAAATGTGGAAATTCATAGTCTATGTAACATGAACATAATCAGACTAAACTTATCAATCATTTGTTTCTACGGGGATTATCAAAATAATAATAATATTTTTGCTTATATATAGTGCTTAATACATCAGGAATGTCCCGAGTTTCTAAGCGCTTTACATTATTACCCCAGTCATCGGATTCTGGCTTGCCCGCACACAATGTATGCACTTTCTCCACTCCCTGGGGAGCATTACAATTCAAGCTACTCGGCTCAAAAGTGTCAGTGATCACATACCTGACCGAGGAGTTCCTCCATCGACTCCATTGACTCCATCTTTTCCCTGCATGGCTGACAAGCTCTCTTTCTTAGCCTGCGTGCTATCCTTGCTGTGTGGAGGTGAGCTGGCTGCTCTCTGGGTGAGTTTGGATGTAGCGGTGCTATCTGCTTTGCTCGTTTTCCTTGCAGATTGGGATTCGTGGTGTGAAGCATGGAGCTTGACTGTGTGTTCAGAAGCAAAAGGGGGCTTTGGCAGCAGTGCCTTGGAACCTTCGTTTGAGTGTGAACGACTGGGCTTTGCATCAGGAAGTAACCTCCCCTTTTCATCTGCAAAACGTGAACGATTTAAGATTAAGATATTAAACATGAACTGATTGGTTATATGGTTCGTAATACATTGAAAAAGGCTGATGAAACAAAATTACATTATTTATTGGATCTATTCTATTCATCATCATCACCACCACCACCACCACCACCACCACCACCACCACCACCACCATCTTCTTCATCATCATCATCATCATCATCATCATCATCATCATCATCATCATCATCATCATCATCATCATCATCACCACCACCACCACCACCACCACCACCACCACCACCACCACCACCACCATCATCATCATCATCATCATCATCATCATCATCATCATCATCATCATCATCATCATCATCACCACCACCACCACCACCACCACCACCACCACCACCACCACCACCACCACCACCACCACCACCACCACCACCACCACCACCACCACCACCACCACCACCACCACCACCACCATCATCATCATCACCACCACCACCACCACCACCACCACCACCACCACCACCACCACCACCACCATCATCATCATCATCACCACCACCACCACCATCATCATACACCACATCATACCTCTTTTCTGGTACTGCTTCATATCTCCCATTTCAGGTGGTCCCTTTGTTGGTACAGGTCTGTCAAGGCACGATTTCCTAGGTTGCAAGGCCTCATAACTCATGGACTGCTTGAGGACCAGAGACCTCACTCCACCTATGTCTTGTGCATCCTCTCCTGGCTTACCGTGGGGCAAGCGGAATGCCTTGGGGCGGTCGAACCGGGCTTTCGGAGCGACCTTCTCTCTAGATTCCCACACCCGTAGCTCTAGGTTATGGTTGAAGAGCTTCAGGAGCACATCCTTGGTGACATGAAGTTTGTGGCTGGGTATGAGAGAGGAAAAATGATACTAGCATCAGTACAGTGATCAAATGTGTTTTTATACTCTAATAAGACCCCCAGAAATGTTGTGATGCATGGACAATGTGACACAGGTCATGGTAACTTTTTTAATTCAAATCTTGTGCATCTTTTGACACCAAGTTTTATGAAAATGGGGCAAAAAAAAATACCCTTACAAAGTCATGTGACATATTATTTATCAACCCAGGAATGGAACATGGATGGGTTCTGTGATTTTTTTTGTCTGTGTAAATTACTTCTGATTTCAATCTGTTTCATCTAAAACATACACCTGGGCCCTATTGCACACAACTTACCATTGATGGTAACTTTGCCATCAATGGCAACTACAATGGAAACCTTGATTTTGATTGGCTCTTGAGCCCTGTTACCATGGTAGTTGCCACTGATGGCAAAGTTACAATCGATGGTAATTTTTATGCAACAGGGCCCTGATGAAGCCTCAAATTAAAAAACTCAACAACACAACGAATCCAACATCTTACCTATGTGACCAAGCAACCCATGTCAGATCTCCCTCCTGCCACGTCTTTAGCACCTTCGAATCATGCTCTGTGTAGATCTTAGCTGCCATACCAAACGTCACCACATCCGTTCTGATGGGCTCGGCATCATCGGGAAGCAGGTAATACTGGCAGTGGTAGTAGCCCTGTGCCTTGGGCGCCTCCACTATCCTCTGCTTCTTCTTCTTCATCACATCCTCCAACTTTGGCATGTCTGGGTCATCCACTGTTGAGGTAGATGAAAATGACATGATATTGAAATGATTACTTTTTCTTACTTACAATGAACAAAATCCAATAAAAGTTGAAAAAGTATTTGGGAAAAAAATTATATAAAAATTAATGCAGCAAATCAGGACGATGAAAAGTTGAACATGGTCAAAATGTAAATATTTGATTTGACAGTACTGGTATATGTATTAGAAAAATGCAATAGGCTAAAATCAACATTGACCTTGGTCTGTTCCAATAACAGATCACTTAATACAAAAATAAAAATAAACATATAAAAAATGGAATTTTAATAGCTTTCAGGCTCATTGACCCTTATCTCAACCTTCTGTAGATGTATAATAAAGGTCACCTCTTCGGCTGAAAGGAAACTTATGGTTCAAACCCCTCTACTAACATGTATTATGAGGGGGTTGAAGATAATTCTGCATTAAATGACAGTCTTGATTGAGTCCTAAATTTGTACTGATCGATATACCTGTTGGTATGGCCTTAGCAATCACAACCGAGAGTGTAACGGTATGTTCTCCTTCCGGTATAACAGGTTCATCTTTCTTCTTCCTGGACCGTCCTCTTCTTGAAGTATGAATGTCAGCCGAACTGAAAGAGTCGGCTGTTTCTGTTTCTTCTGATGTTTCTGTACTTATCTGAAGGAGGGGAGGAGATATGCAAATAATTGAACTGTAACACTTCATGTAAATTTGTACATATAGCTACACATCTGGAGATCTGATAAAGTCAAACTAATATGGAGCATTTCACTAGCCTTGATTTCAATCAACATACTTTGATTGCTATATAAATTTCGTTTGATTTGTGACAACTTGCAAATGGTGGACACATCTACTTCATGTGAAATAAACAAACTTATAAATGGCAATTTTATACAATTATCTTTTACATTTCAAACAGTAATTCACATTTTGCATGCTATATAACAGCTCTCATTAGTAGAAAACAACAAGACGGTTTCAAACCTGAGATCCAGCCTGCTCATCTGATCCTTCCTTCCCTCCATCAGCACCATCTTCCTTTACGCTCTCCACTTCTTGACGGTCTTGGCCACTAGTTTCTGACTTTCCAGCGGTGGAACCACTCCTTTCTTGAGAGTCTGACTTCAAACTTTCTTCCTCTGCTTGAAGGCTTTCTCTCTCTCCTTCTAGGGATGGAATCGAGCCATCTGGTTGTTTCTCACTCTCCCCTTCTGTTGTTTCACTGCCGTTGGACGATTTCCCTTCTTGCTCTGTGGCTGACATCTTGATGTGTTTTTTCTTTTTTCATTGAAGTTTCATGCTTTTATTCCTGATGAGCAGAAAAATGATTTGTTATGGTTCTAATCTTATATACAAAAGGCAAATCTGTTTGCATGTTTTCTCAATTACATATACATTGTTTATTTATCTGATTTACCTGGACGGTTGATTTCAAACAGTACACCTCTAGATCTTGATCAAAATTAAAAGTTAGTCTAGATCTACTCTAGACTGTAATTCCTTTTGCCAGGAAGTCGCAACCAACAACTTTGCCCCCCACTGTTGAACCTATAGTATCAAAACCTTCCTGGAATGAACTCCCCCAGGACATCATCAAGGCCAATACTATTGGCAACTTTGTGTCAAGGGCCTCAAGACAGGATTAATAGCTCAACCAGCAACATCTTTGACTTTATTTAATTAATTTATTAACTTTTTTCAATATCACATCATTTGTTTTATTTAATCACCCTCCACACAAGATAAGTCACATAATTCAAAAAGAAAATAAATTACTGCAATGTGACAGACCTTCTTTAAAAGCGACATAATAATCAGTTGTTTGCAGTCGCTCATCACTCAGGAAGAAGATAAAGTTAAGACTACATTTAAATGCATCCTGCATTGCATGATCATCATGCATGATCAGGATGATGCAATTTGAATTTGATTATCTTCCTGTAGTCTACACTTCAAATCTATAATTTTCCTCATATTTGGTATATAAATTACAAATATTCATGTTGTTTAGTGCTACTTGATGCATGTTTTCTTTAAATCCACAGGGGAAATGGACAGCTTTATTTTGGATCGTCGCCCGGGCCCGCGCCAGACACCCCTACCCCCCTTCATCATTACCAGTCATACATCCCAGTCACTGCCCGAAGTTCGTCGGTCGCATGTCTCACATGTGGTGGTGACAGCGGTCTTTTCGTTGTTCAGCGACATCAAATAACATTAACGGACACAACGATAGACTTAGTACAATATCTAACTTTTTAACATTCCATATCACATGCAATGCATATTAGTAGAAACGGTACAATATTTATAATTCTATCAGAATTGACATAGATTTCTTTATTCTTCAACAATCAATTAGTTTACTTACAGATTTATTGATCAAAATCGTGTCTGCTCAGGCACAAGTTGATATGACAACGCACAAGCTTCTCTAATATTGAACACGAGATGGCGCTATAAAAGTAAACAAGTTGTCACATGCATGAAAGAAGTAATCTTTTGCTCTGAGCTGTTTTGGGGCAGTGTGTTTTAATTTACTCGCGACTACCCTAGTTCTACCGTCAACTTCTACATGTGAAGGACGTACGAAGGAAATGGGAAACAGGTAAATAAGAACAATATCTGGTAACTTCATTTTTCTTTTGTTGACCTTTTCCCCTAATTCAGTGGCAGGTTTTCTCTCTTTAGTTTTGGAGCTGGAGTTGGAGTCGTCTGCTTCCGAGTTCCGACCACTGCAATGGCAATAGGCCTCTAACAGTTAGATGTCAGACTAGGCCAAGGTGGAATCAATACGCATTTAAAATAGCATTGACTCTCTATGCTTTGCTGGAGTGGGTGGAATTGGTGGGAATTGGTGATAACATATTGTAGGGATTTATTTTGAACTTCTGAAACTCCCCCTCATATCCATGATTCATCCCTTTCATATTAATAGGTCATCCCTCATTCACATTCACCCTTTTCATCCACCATCCTTTCATCTGTCTATCTCTCTCTCTCTCATTGGTTTCAATGTTCACCTGATGCAGTCAAGCTTATAGTATAATTTACATATACTATGAATATTCAATATATACCCTTTGTTTATGTTTGAATATTCAAGAATACTTTGTGATGCTGATTTATACTTGTATGGGACTATATGAATATTTATTGGTTTCTTCTACTTTGCATGGAATGTATGTGGATAGACCGAAAGCTTCAGTCTCTATAATCGTCGGTTGTTCCACTGAGTCTACGTCTGGCTCCACTAGACCTCCGGTTATAGAGACTGAACGACTGCCTATGCCAGCCTGTGTTGAACTTATTCCGCTAGATTTTAGCCGCTAGGCCCCTCCCACAAACTTGCCACGGCCGTATTGTTATGCCCCCAAAATCCCCCAAAATGTCATTTTACCTCGTTCATTTCCAATTTTAAATTAGGCCTAGGCTATAATACATCGGTTCCACTTACTAACTTTATTGATATAATCCGTTTAATGGTCCCTTTTAAGGAAATTATGGGTCAAAATCGACATCCATGTTGAAAATCTTGCAAGCCGTGTTAAACTCTCGCTGCCGTCAATCTCATCCCTTCTAGTCTACGCCGAAGGCAAAATGATTATGAAGGAAAAACTGCGCCATCTACACGTTCGTAATGGCGTTATCACAGTTTTTCCTTCATAATCATTTTGCCTTCGGCGTAGACTAGAAGGGATGAGATTGACGGCAGCGAGAGTTTAACACGGCTTGCAAGATTTTCAACATGGTTGTCGATTTTGACCCATAATTTCCTTAAAAGGGACCATTAAACGGATTATATCAATAAAGTTAGTAAGTGGAACCGATGCATTATAGCCTAGGCCTAATTTAAAATTGGAAATGAACGAGGTAAAATGACATTTTGGGGGATTTTGGGGGCATAACAATACGGCCGTGGCAAGTTTGTGGGAGGGGCCTAGCGGCTAAAATCTAGCGGAATAAGTTCAACACAGGCTGGCATAGGCGATCGTTCTGTCTCTATAACCGGAGGTCTAGTGGAGCCAGACGTAGTCTCAGTGGAACAACCGACGATTATAGAGACTGAAGCTTTCGGTCTAGTATGTGGAATGCTACATAGAATGCTGTAATGCTTTTATACATTAAAACCTGGTCAGTTAGCCAGTAGTTATCAATCCTACAACATGTCTGCTGGGCTGCCTCTGTGTTAAGAGTGCTAGGAATTAGTGTTAGAACCGCAACCCTACATTGGTGGCAACCCTACAATATGAACAAATTTGACCCACATTCGGCCAAAAGATCAATGAGGCATTTTGTGTACCTCCCACACAGACAGAAAATAAGGTTATTTAATAAAAGCACCATGTGACAAATAATCATTGTGATTCAAATTGATGCAAGGATTTTTTTGAATTGCAATGCTTTTCACCAGAATCTTCTTGGTAAAAACGACTTTTACAAATCTCAGCCATGCAATTCTGCCACTGTAAATTGAATGGAATGTCTCAACTCAGTAAGCATGGCTGAGATTTGTAAAAGTTGTTTTTACAAAGAAGATTCGGGTGAATAGCAGTGCTTATTCAAACAAATATTCGCATCAATTTGAATCACAATCATTATTTGTCGCTTAATCCCTGTTAATGACCATGTTTTCTTTTTCGTTTGCAAGGGGAGAAGAAGATATGTCACGTTAAAGACATCATAAAGATCAGTGTTGTATGCGTATATATTATATACACAGGCCAGTAACAGCTATGTTGCTTGTAAATTTGTAAGAGGGAAAATGCTGATTGAAATGATAATGATGAAATAGCAAATAATTGAGGAGTATCATAGGTACCAATTAAATGGATATTTGTATAAAAAAGAGCCCCCGTCAGTAATAAAAGAGCCCCCGTGAGAAGGCTCACGGGGGCTCTTTTTTCGGGGGAAGAGCCCCCGTGGACAAAAAATTAATTTGAGCCCTGCTAGTAATACTACATTGTATACAGGAGTTTGAAAGTCTGTTTACCGTAGTTTACCATAATACTGGAGGAAGTGTTCATTTTTTTATGTCTATAGATTAGGGTTGACAGTCTGACACATATTGAGTAGCTAGACGCTTGTCGTCTGGATCGAGGCTTTATGACATGACATTGTTGTACTGTTGCATAAAGGAGCGGTTCTCTAAGTCCAACTTGTCTAAGAATAATTTTTGGTGGGGGATTTTTCATGGATTCATATACTTCAATACTTGTTCACCTTGCAAAAATATTTGTTGGCTTGTGCATGGTTTTGGTTTTGCGTAAAAAATGTAAGAAAGGAATAGTTCAAAGAATAATGAAATTGTGAAATACCTGTACATGTAGCCATTGTGATCCAGGGAAAAAAAATGAAATTTTTGCTGCAGCCTGAAAAGAATTTTGAAAGAAATTGTATATAATAATATGGTTCATTAAACACTGTAAATTATAAAATTTGGTTCTTGATTTATCCTATAACATTTATCATGTATCTACTCTTCTAGACTCTAGATGGTTCTTGACTTCATGTATAAATGTAATATATGAAGCAGTGTCAAATTTGTACCCTGTTCAAAAGTTATGAGAGTAAGTTGAGTTCAACTTGATTGTCATGATGAGGCCCTCTTTTGGCGGGCTTGCCATCAGAGCTCATGGAAATGCTCTATGCAAAGAACTTGACGGGAAACAGGTTTTGAGCCAGCAGAAGCGCGTAGCAGGCTAAGCAGGGGTGAATCGTATGACTCATTCAGGTGTACAGGTGGTGGGGGAATATTCAGCCAAGGCTCGATCAAACTTAGCAGCAGTATCAGCACACTTTCTGCACCATCAGTGCTTACGCAGTGTCTGGCTGTGTAGCGGTGCATTCACGTTTGCCCCTATGCATGCTGAGTTAGACTACAGAGCTGGAGCAAGGCAAGGAGAGTGGTGGGCGAGACGAAGTAAGAGGGCCCCCCTTGACGTCGGTAGCGCTGACTTTTACAACCCGTTTCTTGAGCCATCTGGTTCTGTGGATTCTTAATGTGGAGTTCCTCCCTGCTCTTTACAAGGTGGTGATAAACTCATTTCAGTCTTCGTAATTCATTTGTGCCTTATCTTGTCTCTTGGTCTCCTGAGGATATATCTGTCAACATTTTTTTTTCTTTTCTGCCCTGTCTTCTGGTTTGAAAGTGGAATACATCCTTGGCTTAATGACATGATCCAGGGTGAACATTCATTTGGCAATTTGTGAAATGAAGTAATATCTGATTTCATTTGGACACCTTAAAATCGTTTGTGATTGATTTTATTTTTACTCTTCAGCTGACCATCTTTTGATCTGTAGCAGGATTATATTGCTTTTCCTAAGCTGGCTTTTAATGTTGTCTCTTGAATAAATGAAAGACATTGTTTTCCACTTTGTGATATCTACTTGTTCAAAAGAAATTGTTAGACTTGCAACCAAGACGACTTTACTTCGCTTTTATCTTTAATCTGTCTCTTGAATAAATGAAAGACATGTCCACTTTGTTGATATCTACTTGTTCAAAAGAAATTGTTAGACTTGCAACGAAGGTGACTTTACTTCGCTTTTATCTTTGATAGTTTGATCTGTTTTTTTTCTCATTGGGGTTGCAGATTATTTTTCTATTAGGAATGTACAAATGTTAATGGTTACTTTAATATGTAGAGGGTTTCAATTAGTCTCTTTCATAATGGTCATAGTGACCAAAGTAGTCATAAGTCTATTGAATAATTGTTCTCTCTCTCTCTTCCTGTAGACGTCATCGCCCTGTCTAAATGTTAGGAACTATACCAGCCATGGACGAGGAGCTAGCTGGTGCAGTAGTGCGGTGTGATGCGGGATCAGAGGGGTGCACCATAGAGGATGCTGCCCCAGAGAGAGATAAGATACCATCCCTGGAGGAACATTCTAAGGAGGAAGGGGATGAGAGACAGAAGGAAGGGGACAATGTGATGAACGATGATGATGATGATGATGAGGATGATGCTTCCTCTGGCCCAAGTAGGGGTAGGATTGATACAGCAACAAGCGGTGGATCGCTGGATGAGTGGTGTGTTATGTCAGAGGCATCGGTGAATCGAGAGATTTTTCAGGATCTTCAGTCTCATGATGAGGTGAGAAAGCTTGTTTTTTAATCATTTATGAGTCATTTGCATTAGTGGAGTAAGAACCAACCTAAGACATAGCCTTGGATTTGGGTAGAACGGATATATCCCTTAAAACATTCTTCATTTTTACACTAAATATATGTCTTGAGCTAGTATTTTATGTGTAGCTTGATAAAAGTAGATATCTTTGAAATGTGTTTTACCTATTTAAAGAGAAGGTTGAGTTCTGGGAAGAGTTGAAAAATAATTTGTGAGCATCATCATTCTTATTATGCAAGTGTGGAAGAACATCAGATAAGACATGTTCCCTGAAAAGCATGGCTCTTCAAATGCCTTTATATTCTAAATATGTCATGTAACATTGTAAAACTCGGGGGGGGGGGGGGGTAGGATTTTTATGCCACGTGTTCGTGTAGTCCCATATACATCTTTCTGTGTACAGTGTTTGTAACTTTACCAAGACTTGGCCAAATTTCTTATCATTTTGATGATTCCAGAACCTTGCAATACACACTAAGTCTTATATGCTAGATGATCAACCTTTTCTGGTCGATTCCACACCGTTTCTTTCACAATGCAATCGCAGGACCATAACTCAACTTCATCTTTAAGATCTAGGGTAAATTATAGAATTCAAAATTTTGTAACGGGTATATCGGATGTATACCTTGCTTCATTTTTAATTGTGAGTGTAGTCAACGTCAAGAAGGATTTTCTTTCATTAGGAGGTATCTCCATCATCATATGGAATACAAAGCTGGAGGATGCTATTCATATTTGCAAAGACAATACAAAACAAAACAAAACAAAACACAGAGAAACAGAAACAAAATCAGATTTATACTCAACTTGATGATGTGGATCAAGCTTTTTGAATTTAGAAATCAAATTATGAATAAGAAATTTAAATATATCCTGCAGTATTTTAGAAAATCCTAAATGTGTGTACGTTACCTGCTCTATTTCATTGTTTTTCTTCAAGATCAAATTTCATTCAATGGGATTTTTTTTCAGAAGATGTTATTATACTATCTAAAGCATGTTCAAGAGTTACAAGCTTAGTTTTTGTTGAAAAGTTGGATCAAATTATCTGACGCTGCTGGGTCCCATTATGATCGAGACAGGTGCTTGATCTTCACACATCGGACAGCAGGTCTAATTAGCGTACAACGTTTGAACAGGAGATGCTCTGTAGAAAGCTCCCAGGAGGGGTGTGATCATCAACATGAGGCTTGAAGGGGGGCTAACAAGAACAGGGTGGGAGATAAAATATGATTAATCAGACATTATTAACATCATGGGTGTTGGCAATGTGAGTCATTGAATTTGACACTGGTTCATGTTGTAATGAGAGCTTCAGAAGGTCTTAGGAATGTTCCTCCTTATCGCGTGTCTAGATTGACTTCGTATGGAGGATCGATTTCATTTAATTGTACAGACACCATAGAGATGAAACCCAAATAAAATTAATTTTAGGAGATTGTTGCTAGTTTGGTTATGTACATTGTTTAGTATATTTTGGGAGATGGACACTTATCAAAGAAGCAACATATTTTTTCTTTTCTAGACTTTCATGTAATATATTTTATAATGTTTTTTTCCCCCTCAGGTGTAGCATTCTAGTATACGTTAGGATATGATTGATAAGGAGATCAAAAGAGAATTCAAATCAATTGATTATAACTAATTTAATTTTTAGCATCCATTCACTGTAAAAATTTTGATGACAAAAATGTAGGAAGTTTATATAGTGACACAAAAATGATGCCCTGTCGCTCACCTATTTTGCAGTAGCGGTGATTAACTCACCTTCATTTAATGTGAAATCCTGTTCTGTAAATAATCCCATTTGGGCATTATTCTACCCTGTTGCTGCTACTGCAACAGCAGCAACAGCAGCAGGATAGCATGGGCAGGGTTAGCACAGCTAGGGCAGCATTGCCGAAGTGAACGGCGGGGGATTAAAAGCTGTAATGGGATATTTCCTTTTGGTGTGATTACAGGGACTTACGCTGCAAAAATAGCCGCTGTCAAGGCGCATCTGACTAAAACAGAGCCACATGAGCAAAACATGGCTTCTTGTGTTCCAATCTGTTGCTCAGAGATTGTCAGAATATATCAGTAAAACATTTTATATAGCGTGTTGCATTATAAATGCTCGGATACTTTCATTGCAATTTCAGGAGAATCGCTTTGGAAAGTCTTAATTTCCTTAATTCTAGGGTATTTGTACTCATCCCACTTTTAATCATGGCAAGGTTTGAATAGTGAATGCGTAGGCACTAAATACCTCTCATGACCCAGCCTTGAATGCACAGTTTATGAATTTATAAATGATATTACTGGTTATTTTATTGACAGGTTTGACAGGTTTTGTGTAGGGCACACATAAGGAACAACTTTTTGTGTAGATTCTTGTTATTTTTGTCATTTAGATTAAAGTGAAATATTAATTTGTACTGTCATCTCATGTACAGGTAGCTCAGCAAAACAATTTCACAAATTAATAACATTTTGTAATTTTGTCTACATCTGTCAAACAAATAATAAAGAAAAAACAAAACTTAATGCTGAAGTAACTTATTCTGTTTAATACTTGACAGTAATGCTTTATAACCGGAAATGAGTATATCATTTACACTCATTTTGGTGGCTTCCTGACTAGTTATAACAATGCCCAGATATTCCTTGATTTATAGCTGGGTTTCACTTTTTGTTTTGACATTATTCTGTTGTCATTCAAACTGTCAATACTTGAAGTCATAATGCTTAAACTACATACCTATTTGAAAGATGGAAGGGGGGGGCGTATTTTTGTCTGTTTGTAATGTTTTCAATGCCACATTCTTGTACAACTGTTGATATGTTTGCTGCAAATCATTTTCATTGAGGGCATTATTTTACATATTGTAATGGGAGAAAAATAAACTATCCTGATATGCAGTAGTTATGTATAGTTAAGTAAATTGTTGATGCCTCCTTTTGACACAGAAAATGAAGTATTGTTGTGTTAAACAATATAAAAAAAAGGGGTCAAGGCATTAATATTGATCTCAATTTGATGTCATTGTGTCATATATGAAGGTTGGCCAATTAAGAATGGGGAATTCTTTATCATTTGAGCTGATATTATGATTTATGAATTCAAGGAAATGATAAACTGTGAAACAGGAAGTCCATCCTGATATTAAATTGGTGTTAAAACAGGTCGAAGCAGAAAAATGAGAAAAACAGATCCATGCGAGTTTGAGCAAAATGCTATGAAAAAAAGAAAATTATGAATTTTTAAAGTTGCTTTGCTTGCTATGTACAGAATACTTCATAAACTTTTATTTCCTTAGTTCATTATTGATGACGGAATATACCTGTTTCATACAGGGGTTGTATAAAGACATATTGGCAATAATTATATCTAGGTTGAATGTACATGTATGATTAAAAGGGAAAATATAAAGTTTTGAAGTCTTTTAGTACAGGGCAAATTGGAAGCGAGCTCTCAAGATATGTCACAGAGTTGCCAATTTGTGTTTGATTGATCACACCTTCAAATATTCATAATTTTCTTATTTCTCATTGTTTTTTGTTTAAAATTTCACTGACCCATTTCTCTCATTGTTGTGCTTCTATTAAATCCAACTTAATACCAGGGTGGACTACCCCTTTAAGAGTACTAAAGCTGAAAATCACTGTGTATTGTGATGGTTTTATAGGAATGAAAACTGTTTATGAATAAAAGCTGTGAATATCTTCAAAGAACTTCTGTATAGATCTTCAAAGAACTTCTGTATAAAGTGGGTGGGGCAAGATTTAGCGATGTTTATGGGGAGGGGTAAACTGAAAGGATAGAGGGCAGGATGTCAAAGAAAGTAGGGTAACAGGGATCAGGTGTTCCTTTCAAGGTTTCCATAGGGTGTAGGTCGGTCAAGTACACATCTGGTGAATGCATACAAGAGAAGTGGTAAGGTATCCACTTCCAAGGGGAAAAAATATTGAATTTTTACTTGGTAACTCCTGTACAGGTGGGTAGAACCAGGGATCAAAACTAACAGGCACCCAGGACACACTGGTGCTCAAAATATAGGCCCGGACCGCCAAATTTCATTTTTTAATTAAAAAAAGCAAAAACAACATATCACTCGATGCATACAGATTCTAAAAATTTAAATCCAGATCCCCTTCCCCCCAAATAGTGTAAAGCTCTGGTAAAAGGGAAAGGGCTACACCATTTTTTCTTTCATTTGGGGGTGTGACTGTATGGAGAAAAAAATTTGGTCTGTATGCATGATCGAGCCCAATATTAAAATTTTGAAATTATGTGATCCAGAGTTAGAATTGGGGGCCATACATCCTTGGCACATGTCAGTATCAAGCCTTGCATATTATAGTCATATACATAAACATGTAGTAGAGTGATGGTTAATTCACATAATATGCAATTAGATAAACAAAGTCAACTATGTATATATTCATTCAGTGTACAGTTTGATTGCAACTCCAGTCTGTAAAGCAAGGTGGTAACACTTTGAAGAATTGATAGCAGATAATAAATAATAATAATAATAATAATAGCCTAATAGTCCACTCCAAATTTTATTAAACCGAAACGGAAATTCTTTTTGCCCAATTGATCAAGAAGGGTACATGACCTGGCTCTCAGGGGGTAATAGGATGGGATGAGAGGAGTGGTGAAAAACAGTGCTCCAGCAGGGAGATGAGGAAACAGGATGTTTAGTAAGGGAGGTTAGAGGATCATCAAACGGCCTTGGGAGAGGACCCAGCACAGGTGTTTTGATTTCAAGAGATAAATATATAATATCTCCCCTTAAATATGAAATATCCAATATGTGTCATTTTGAATTGGGTACAAAGTTTAAGTTACTGGTAATATGTATATTAATTGTCACTAGTGGATTTTCACATTCTCAAAATATTGAATTAAGGAAATGGTGAACAGAAATTAGTTGAAAATAATTGCAGATTTAGTCTTCATAAATTACCGTAAGACG